AATGTTGTTATAAACCGTGTTCTGATGAAGTTGCGATGAAACATCCATTAAAAATGAATGTACAGCCATTTATAACAAATATCCTGAAATATTTGATTTAAAATAATTTAATATTTCAGTATACCAATTAAGAATGATCTAATTAAGGAATATTTCAATATAATTTTAAGTAAGTATGGGGTACTTGAAAGCGACTTAAGTGAAGTTTACTTAATGTTCCTTTTATTTTTACGTTGCCTGTAACTACTGCATTTGTTGAAAGATCATTTAACAAGCTAAAACTTGTAAAAAACTATCTTAGGTCTACTACAGGCCGGATTAGATTAAGCGATCTTGCTTTACTCTCTATAGAGAATGAAGAAGCCTAAAACCTTGATATAAATGATATTATCAACGAATTTGCAAATAGAAAAGCAAAAAAAAGGGATTTTTAATTTTATTATTGCTTAATTTTTGACTTTTGTTATTTCATGATTTTAATTTGTGTTACTTTTTGTTTTTATGACAATAAACAATTTTTTTATTATAACATGATATTTTTTATTCTTAAACATACTCATGAGGGCCCCCAAAAAATGTTTACCCGGGGCCCCATGACTTCTAACTACGCCACTGTGCAAGATCAGCGGAATATGGCATGTAGAGTAGTATACATATAGTATATAGTCAAAATCACGAAAGATGACTATTACGTCATACCATAAATTGTACTGAAGTAATGGACGTAAGTCGACCATAAAATCACGATGTCAGGAACATAGCGACAACAAATTTATATAATAATTTAGCGAAGTTAGGTTATTTCACTGATTATTTTTATTTTATTTCATGGTTTTGAGTGATTCCTTAATCATAATTTTAGTGGGGAGTTTTTGCATTGAAAAAAACAGTTATGAGTAGAGTACCGTGAGACAGGAACACCGAATACCGAAGTATTATTCGAAAACAACCTAACCTGCTTTAACAAAACCTAACTATTCATCTTGCAAATATGATCTATCATGCAACATGAAAACATCGTCTATCTTTGTCAGATACATTCAAATTAGTTTTATTCAGACAATAAAATTCTGTTCGTCTCCGTCTAACATATCTGAAACTTCATTAAAAATATTCACAAATCGCTGTCGTTTGTCTTTACTATAGACTAAAATGATGACGTAATCGTCATCTTTCGTGATTTCGACTATATAGTGTTAATACAATAGAGTCATCAAAAAGGTGTTTCCCAGCCGTGCATGGAAATTAAAACTGGATCCATATGAAAAACACAAATTAAAAATGGCAAAGATTAAACACAAGTGAAAAGAACACAGGTTGACACTTGCCGTGCGCCACTGGGTTATAAATATTGCATCTATGCTAGTGGATTCGAGGGACTTATCAAAGCAGGTAGCAGACGGAGCGGTAACGCGATATGCATATACGAGGTGGGTGCGATATGATGTATATATACAGGGTGTCCAATATAGAACTGATTTAAATTGCGCGCCATTTTGGATACACGCATTTCAGTAGGAGGCACCGCAGTAGTTGCTTAAAGCACATGTGTCTAATTTATCAGGGAGCGCTACACGATCCCACAACGCGTCCGTATTGTTAAAACGTTTTACTTAAATAATGAGTCGATTGTTGCAATGATTCGGAAGCTATGACAAGAGTTCGGTCGAAATAATGTGCCCGGTCTCAACACCATTCGTCAGTTGATGCGAAAATTTGAACAAACAGGTGAAGTTAAAGACTTGCCAAGGTCGGGCCGTGTTCGAACTGTTAGTACTCCGGAAAATACGGAGAGAGCTCGTGAAAGTGTAGAGGAGCGCCCTGAGACATCTACCAGACATCGTTCTCAAGAACTATTTAAAAAAAGCGTAATTTAATGAGGTTACTTGATTCCATGAGGTAATATTATTTAGTAGAGTAGCTATATAGTATATAAGTGCTATTAGTTAATATCAAACATGGTTGGCAAATAGTTTTGCACGCTCATTTCTGTAATCTGAGGAATTTTTTTCAATAAAAAGCTCAATAGTGAGAGTACAAAACAAAGAAACGGTTTTTTGATGCCATTGCACTACATGGAAAATTGTTCTAGAGGTTAAGCCCCCTTGTACTAGAGGTTGATTCGAAGGCATTGGAAGTTTGGAGTCAATCTACTTGACGCCATTATTTTGTTTGAAAGGCAGCTGAATTGGGAGTATTGTTCGCTAAATTTGTGACATTAAAAATCTGTTCAGCCGTTTTAAAGCAGGAGTTATTAAAAAAGGACAATTTATAATTGGAACTGTGGACACTGTGTATAAGTATTTTTATTCAGAAGAATTGGACGTTCTTTAGAGATTATAATATGTAATAGGATTAGCTTTTTAATGTTTGCAAATTAATTCAGAAGTTAAAAGCGCGTCAAGCAATTATACACGTACTTTACTTACCTTCCTTCATTCATACGCTATCATTTTTAAGAAATGCAAGATTTTTGCGATGAAATGGATGCGGTGAAATTCGTAGTAGTTCATAGACCTCTATCTTATTAGCAATAAAAAAGTTTATTAAAATATATGAATATTTATTTAGTTAGTTTTAATTAATATTATCGCGTTCGACGATTATTAGATTTTTACTAACTGTAAGTCGTTAAGCCATTAAAGCTACTGAAGTAGTATTCGATGGTTGTGTGCTGTACGGTTCCGCGGCTAAGTCTCACCTAACTAAAATTGACCGAATACAATATCAGGCCTTGAGAATTTGCATGGGAGTCATGAAATCAACACCATGTCCAGCAATCTTAGCTGAAGCAAGGGAATCTCCTTTTTCATTACGAAGAAGGTACTTTGCAGAGAAGGCTGTAGTCAAATACAGAACCTATAACAAATACTTGCTTAATAAGATATCACAATTAGTAACTACAGACTTGACTAACAAGTACTGGAAAAAAAATCCTCACCACTGCTAGCTGAAGCTTTCGTAGAGACCAGTCATCTCGCTAATTTAATTCATCCTATGGATAATTACCCGTTATATGTTGGCCCTTATGAAGTTTTCCTTAATGAAACAACCATCACAATCCCTACATATACCGAAAACTGTTATTACAATAGGTCTGTTCTATCTGCCGTATTGGAAGATCTCAATTGCCACACTGTCGTCTATACCGACGGCTCCAAAAGTGAGATGGGTACTGGGTGCGCGTTCTACGTTCCACAAAAAGATTATTGCAAGGGATACAGGATTCCTGACCTGTGCTCCATATTTACAGTAGAAGCCTATGCGGTACCACAGGCGATTTTCTGGTGCCTTTCGCAAAATATTAATCATGCAACAATTATTACAGATTCGAGATCAGTATTAGAAGCAATTAAACAAAATCCTGTTAGATCATATGATAATTTTTTATTATGCAAAATCAGAAACTTACTCGTCGCTTATCAAGCCAAAAGAGCAAAGATAAATTTTGTTTGGGCAAAAGAGCATGCTGGCATCAGAGGCAATGAGATGGTTGATAATGCTGCAAAAAATGCAATTCACTCTAGTACGATTACCCATGTGCCACTTTTTTCTGATTTATTCATAGAGATCAGAGGTAACATCAAGAAAAGATGGGATTTGATCTGGTCCAACTTTGTAGTAAACTCTCGAAATCATTATGCTCTTATTCACCCGACCCTTCCCAATATAATTCCCCACACAGATCTCTTCTATATGAATAGAAGATTCTCCACAATTATAACGAGATTGGGATTGGGCCATGGTTGCTTTCCTGCTCATCTTCATCGAATAGGTGTAATAGAGTCCCCAAATTGTGCTTGTGGTAAATCTTCTATAGCCGGTCTAAATCACATATTTTTTGCTTGTAATCTTTACACCAATATCTCCAACCAATTAATCGCTCAGATGATTAAACTTGACTTCCAACTACCTTTAAGTCTGACTACCATTTTATCCTTTCCGGATATAAAAATTTATTTAGCGCTAATTCAATTCCTTAAAAAGGCAAATATTACTATATAAAATAAACCTTGTCTGGAATTCGTAACTATTCAGTTATATCCACCCCTTTTCTTTCTTTCTTACCGTCTCTCACAATGATCAGATAAGATAAATCCATTGACAACATTTTGTGGCAAATGGACTCCAGTTTCCAATGCCAATATTTTCACACACACACACACACACATACCTGAGACTCGGGACCTGTCACCTCTTGGCAACTAGATGTTCGGTAGGAGTGCCACAAGGTTCTGCCCTAGGCCCCATACCTACTCTTTCTCATGTATACAGGGTGATTCACCAGTCGTAACGAAAAATGGAACATCATACACGGGACCGTATTTTAAGGGCGGTCTCCTATGTAACGTTTTTTCCTCTAGGGCTTCATCAAAAAGATACGGGGTGTTTAAGTTTGAAAATATTTTTTTTAATATCTTCAAAACTGTCAACTTGAATGAACTAAAATTTGGAATGTGAATTTGCCTAAATATTGTTCAAATTCAAAAGTCTTTACTTAAAATGAACGTGCACCTGTGGCGGAGATACAGGGGATTAGTGCCTTGGAAAACAAAGTGCATTTTTTGCCAATAATAATCGCTAAGAAGCCTCTTAATACTAATAAAGCCAAATTTCAACAGAATCGAGTAAATATTTTCTAAGACATTAATAAAAAGTTTTAATTTATCACGCTGTATCTTGAAAACTGCATTTACGGACCCATGTTTATAGAAAAATTTTTTCATTTTTTAACAAGTAATCACCTTCTAAAATATCCTCATCTATTTTTCGAACGCCCTGAATACTAAATATACTGCTTGCAGGTATATTTATAATTTCTTCCATTTCCGGCTGCACCGAACATTCCTCCCTCATTCCGTTTCGAATATTGACAGAATGAATATTGGTATTAGTCAGGATGAAGCTTGACAGCGAAATGGTACATTTAGTGGAAAGTCATTTGGTTATATCTTCATGGTAATAAAACTAATATTCAAATAATCAATCATTTATTCTATAAAATAGTTGGCAAAAATAGTAACCTCAACAAATACAAAACATAATATGAAAAACCAAACAGTACAAACTTTAAAATAGGTATAGTATTTATTTGAGAACGAATAAATATGTACAAATAACTTTCAGTAACCAAAACCCATACGTTGAGAATAATAAATGCAAAATATTCATTTCCTATACGTGCTTCATACGTACTTAAAACGATACGCCACCAGACCGGCCACGCCAACAGCCACCACTGCCCCTAAAGTTGCCCAAACACCAACCTGAAAAACAGAATCTTTAATAGAACAGAATGTTAAAATATGAGACCTTCAACAACAAAGGAACAGTCTAATTTGATGAGAAGCACTGCCGACGTGCCGACTATATGACGTTCGAGCAATGCATAACGCGCCTAGTCGTTCCTACAATTGTAGCCTTTATGGCCTCCTTGTCTGTCATATTTTTCTACTGTTCCGTGTCAGAGCTTTATTTTGAGTTTATGTTACAAATATCTATTTCCATCAAATTGTTCATGCTTTTAGTTTATCTTCTGTTATATCAGTCTGAAATTTGCTACAATTCAAAAAGAAAACCTAGCCTCAGAATAGGAGAGCGATGACGCTGACTCGGAACAGTAGAAATCTAGAAATATCCTTGTGGGTGAAGAAACTTTACTAAACAAGAGCGTAGTTAGAAAGCATGAATCCGTAGCGCAAAAAAAACAACAAAATACGACTTTGTCTACAGATCTAGCGTTGACAGATCCGTCAGGATTGCGTGTATTTGCAGTCACATTTGTGGTAACTGAGGCTCGTGAAAAAGACTTAGAATTAGAAATCAATTTCTTTATCTCAAACAAAGATGCTGTTTCATTCACTCACCTTGCTACCCTGTTTACTCTTCTTCTTCTTACTTTCTACCCCTTTAGTACTCTTTGTTTCGTTCTGTTGTGGAGTCCCGCTAAACATTCGCCTCGCTAACTCTCTTTCAGTTTGCTTCTGCTTTTCCAACTTCCGACTGAGGTTGTTGATCTCTTTCTGAATGTCAGCATCATTCGGGGCTAATTCTTTGGCTTTCATCAGGCAGCGCATTGCAACGGGCAAATCATTCTTCCCAATGTACACCTGGAGTTAATATATTACCGATAATCAATATTTTATATTTGAAAAATAACGTATGAAAATTTAAGTAATTGAGTTGGAGAGGGAACTTGGCATTGCCAACTCGGATTACGTTGATGGAATTTGACATAAAAATATCAACACAAACCTTTTTTATCTTATAAACTATCCATGCAAGAAGTTTGGGCTCATAAACAAACAACATAGAGCTTTAATAATGGGTGAGCCATTTAAAAAAGACATGACTTTCCGATCCGAAAGCGCTTAGGTAATATATTTTAGACATAAAAAGAAGATAATTTTGAATAAAACTGTCTGTCTTCTGTCGTGACTCTTTTGTCTTGAGTGGAGGGTAGAAAGTGGATCTGTAGAGGATCGTGGATGGTTCACGCGATCACGATTCAGTTTATTCCTTGAAGCCGACCATGGATGATATTTTGGTTAAAGTTAAAATAGAACAGAATGGATGTTTATTTAGCTATAAGCTACAATATTACAATAAGATCAACATAACAAAAATCATATCATTTGGCTCTTGCAAAATGTAAGTTGTGTACTTTTGAGTTTTAGTGATATGTTAGTGAAAATCAAACGTTTGTTAGCCTGGGCGATCGCGAAATTCTCCCGATGAAAATGTGAAGTACTAGGTTTATGTTTAAGATTTAATGATGTTGAAAAATGTAAATTTGTGTCCCTATAATTGTTCAACTTGCTTGCCAACTCACGAAATACAGGATTGCCATTTTAGCCCGCTTTTCTAACGTTCTCACCTTTGCTTTTCTGAAATGCGCCTTGACATTATCTGGCTGGCAAGAGAGAACCGTTTGAAGACTTGTCAACGCCTGGTCATACGCCTCCATCTTGATCTGCGCAGCAGCCATGTTGTTACAGACGCTCACTCTGTTTTCCAAAAGTACCTGCAATTCAGTATCTGTGGCTTCTTTCTCAGTAGTTTCTACCTCATTCAGATAGTCTAACGCGCGTCGGTAACACTGGACTGCTACATTGTTCTCTCCACGTTGATACCACCAGTTGCCTCTTTCTTTTTTCTTGTTTCTGAATGGTCAAATAGATATTGTCAATTTGCAGTGTCGATTTCACGTTACCCCTGCGTTCATGCAGAATGCCCATTATGGCATTAGATGTATGGTATGTGCACCGAGCACTACTTTTTTTCTCAAAACTGATTCATTATACCAAGAAATTAAACAGTTCTGCAGCTTGGAAAATTTTAGACCAGTTTAGAGTCGCAGGTTTATTTATAATATTTTCAGATGTTTTGTTTTGTAAAAGTTCAAGACTCTTGCTAGGCATATATTTTTTACTGTGGAAACCAGCAGTTATGATATCGAATTAGAATTGAAACTATATTTTGACATTAGATTTTTGGAACACTTACATTTGATGTACATTCAATCCTTACTATTACAAGGAAAGCACATTTGTAAAACATTAAAAGGTATCTATATATATATATATATTGCAATGCAAAGTCCCAAGTTGCTCAAATTTCAAAGGATCACCTAAGAGAATCGCTGCCATATCATGGCCATCACAAACACTATAGGTTTTTAAGCTACTTTTCAGAGAAAGCGACTATTCCTGGCATGCTGGCTGTCATGTCGATACCAATTCACATAAAATGTAAAATCAAATAAAAAAAAATATAAAATGTAAAAACGCAATACTGCAATGCAGTTTTGGTTTAAACTGATATGGTCTGCTCCATTTGCAATATTTATGACACAACAAAACAATTTTATTGCTGACCTTCAATACAGTAATATTTCATTCTTCCCCTGTACTTACTAATAGGAACTACTAATGAGTAAAGTCATAAATGTCTGTTTACAAATACATGATAACCATGTAACAAGGCACTAGAATAGTCCTATGATAATATGTATGTGTATAAAAATGTTTGTGAAGTTTAGACTTGAATAAGGATATAGCTAAAGATGTTACCCTAGTGCATGTGCACTATTATATTTAGCCTTCAAATAAATACCAGACTCACCCAAGGATTTTTCTTTCCTGAATAGAGAGAGCACAAGCATTAGGCTCAGGTTCTACAGCTACTAACTCAACATCATAGATTATGGCTGTATTGGGTGGTATTTTTGTGGGCAAACCAATGTTTCCATAAGCTAACCTAGGTTGTATTTTTAATCTACATTTTTCTCCAACATTCATGAGCCCTAGTGAAACATCTAGGCCTTGTATAACCTTCAAATATTTAAAAAAAAACAAATTACTTTAAAATATTGTTGCCTACACCTAACCACAGATTCAATAACTTAAATGCTTTTTCAAGCACTAAAATCATGAAAATGAGTATGAAACTGCAATTATTTGAAAAAATAGATGTGAGATAAAACAAAACAACAAAATTTGTAAATTATAAGATACTGGAAAAAAATGTGGCTCCTCTAGAAGATTTATATTAACTGACATGTTTGAAACACCTGTTTTTTGATTAATTACTCACTTCCAACACAATTTTTTAATGAACTATGATTCTATACAAAATAATTCGTAAAGCATAATTATAATGGACCACATATATACAACTAATATCAAATATTCAAACAATTCTTTTTGTTTTGTTTATGCATTCTAAATGCTTTAGTGAATCAAACCCTATTTGAGAGGAATCCAAGACTTAACATAAACAAGTAAAATTAGGCATATCTATCTATTAAACTTATGTAATAATGTGAAACATATTTTACAATACTTACATCATATTCCCCTAGATATACTTCAAGGTTACCACAAGACTCCACAACTGTCTCATCTTCCAAGTAACCAGTATAATTTATAATACATTTCTCTGAACGTTCTGCCCTAGTATCTGGCTTTCCTTCAATGATAATTTTTTTCATAATCACTCCACTTCCTAGGAGATCTGTCCACTCTTCTTTTGGAGCCTCTTGCTCAGTTGCATCTTTTCTTGATTCTTGTTCGGGAAGATCTTCTGTATCATTTTCTGATGTTTCTTCTTGACTCTGGGTGTTTAACGCATCCGTGTTATGTGATGTAGCGAGTTCTTCCTTTGACTGTGGCACCTCTTTGATTTCATCGCAGTTTTCATTGTTGGTTGTAATTCGAGGTGGTGAACCGTTTATCTTAGGCTGTTCTTCGTAGATGTCTCCTCCGCTTAGACTTTGTGGGATTCCGTAAGACATAGTGGTGTCTTTGGCATGTTCTAAGGTATTCTTGGTTTCGGTTATCTTTTCGTTATCGATGAAAGCATTGGACATCTTGATGCTGAAAACAACGACAATATGCTGGAAATGTGTGCTAAGCCCGTCAAAATACCGATATTAAAGCCGTTTTTGAGTTTAAAGCGAAAACAAGTGAAATTATTCCAAATTGAAGATCCTAACCTAAAAACTTCACGACGTAAGACGAGCCAAAACGCATGCGTAAAATTAAGGAATGCGATCACTTACCAGGGACATTCAAAAGTTACTAACAATTTATAGAGCAATACAAAAGTAACAGAATGATTGCGACAAAATTATTTCACATATTTTTGCCGTTATGAAGATACAAAGGATTTTTGACACCATCACATCGATGAAAACTTTCCGAATTTTGATTGATGTGCTCAATGACATTTTACCCACTACATTTCCAAATACAGCATGATTTGGGCCTTTATAAAAAATTATCTTCAGTTCGCAACATCTTACACAGGAACTCTGCTAGAAAAAGCAACAAAGTCGTCAAAACCGATTTGTTTATGTTCATGCACCATGAAAAAATTTCAAGAATTAAACTTCTTCACTGAAGTTTTTTGCTTCACTAACCTTCAATTTTTTTTATAACGTAGTTAGTGTTTAGTAGAGGGAGCTGAACATAGAATTAATATACAATAAAAATACACACTTATCAAATCAGAATATATTACACAAATGTTAACAGGTTTATTATTTCATCACATTCAAGCTGCTTCATCATTAGCTTCTTCTTTCTTGGGAGGCTTATAAGCCCTACATTCTGGATACTTGTCTGCCAAGAAGGTTCTGAGTTCGCCATATTCTGCTAACAAATTAATCCTAACTTTATCTTGATTTCTCAATTTCTCTTGCTTTTTCAAATAAACTTCATAAGACTTCAATCTCGTATAGAATGGAGGAGGTTTCTTCTTTCTCAGTACTACCTTTCCATCAAAACAGTACTGTTTCCAGTCCAGTACTTCGTCTTTGGGGATTTCTTCGTGTGTCCTGCATTCTTTAGGAGATGCAATTACATTTGGGAAATAATTGTTTTCTTTGCAAATTTCTACCAAATGAAGTCTTTTTTGTTCAGCAACTTCCTCAGGAGATTTCTGGTGGAAAAAGAAAACGTATTTCATAAAGCTTTTAGGATTTCATAATCAAATTATGAATAAACAAAACTGAATTAGTTTTATAGTCAAATACACCAATTATATGTAAAATTGAATTAGGAACTGTTTAAACTGACAGTCTCATTGAGTTTAGAAGATCAAGTCATTCTCAAGTACGTAATAGGGCATTTTTTGAAATTTCCACAGAAAATCAATATTTTACTTTCAAAAAGTTCTGAAAATTTTCACTTTATTTTACGAACGAGAGAGGCAAAACCTGCCCACCAAAGTTGTCTAATTGTTGTAGTTTTTTGAAAGAATGCAATTGTTGTAATCATGCTAAATACATCTTGAATAAACAAAATAATTAGATGTGACAAAATGTCCTTTATTTTATATGACATTGACAGTTTGACATGAAATGTACGGTCACGTTCTATTGGTATCTGGAATAAAAGAAAATCTCATTGACCAGTTCTTAGGTCAGAGATCTGCAGGATTCAAATATAAGTTAATCTTCTTTCATTGTTGAAATTCCAAATACGTTTTTGCCAAAAATTCAGTTGTAAAGAAGGAATTTTATTTAGGTAGATATTCAAGTGAATTCAAACTTTTAAATTGATAGTCTAATTCAAGAGACCAAAGACCAAACAAAAAAGTTTATTATAAAATAAATCAAATTTAATCATACAGCAACACTCTTTATACGTTTCAGCAAACTGCATGGGTGGGCAATTTTGCAAATACTGCCACTGACACGGTGATCAAAATAAAATTGTGACGTTCTGACCAGCTAAAACTGGGTTGTTGTAAAATCTCCACTGAAACTATTTTTCAATTAACACTCAACAGTCAAACAATAATGTTTAAGCATTTTCCAATTCAACTGATTTATTTATTCTTGCCTCTTCTTCCTTTGCCCCTATGAACTTGTCTGGTAAGTAGGGCTGACGGACTTAGCAGACCAATAAGAGCAAAACTCCAACGTCATTCTACTTTTACCTCAATATTATTATTTATGTACACAGTATTTGTGAGTGGCGAAATTTTATATTAGGAACATAAATTTTGTAGTACGAGAACCTATATTGCAGATAGTTCTAATTTAAATAAGTATATTCAATATCTCACCTGTCTTATAAGACCCAAAATGAATGCCTTCATGATATGATTGACATTGGTAGATCCTTCTACTTTGGCATGTAGATCTTTTATTCCCACTACATCGCAAATAGATTTGATAGCTCTGTGACAAACCAGACCAAAACCTTCAGGCTTTTGGCTTACATAGATTTTAGTTGAGCCAAATTGTGTGAAAAAGTCATGGCATACTGAAAAAGATGACACATGCTTAAGCATAAATATGGTATAACATTTAAAAAGAGAACCTTGGGCTGTCAAAAGCAGCCTAAATGTTCCAGACTTTGAGTTCTGGTTATAAAAAGAATCAGATAGTGATAAATTTTGGATATAATAAGAATGGCACAATTTTAAATTGTTTGATACAAAATCTTCATTTATATTTTCTACACTCACCTGTATGATTTCTGAACAACTTAATATGCATCAATTTCTGTCCAGATCTATTTTTAGCCTTTCTCAAAGCAGTTCTGGCCTCTAGACCTCTTCCCATTGCAAATCCAACTAATCCTTTCTTATTTCCAGTAACCACTACAGCCTTTATCCTTCGTTTTCTGCCAAAATTACCCTTCATATTATATACTGTCTTAAGTTCCAACACTACACTGTCAAAACCTGCAAATTTTTCTGGAAAGAAACATGATTATTGATTATTATTAACAGTGGAACAACAATATGGTTTTTAATAATGGATCTTCTCTTATACCTTCTCCAATGGGATCTGGTGGTCCAATACTTCTTCCAGGCATCTTAGCACCAGACCATCCTCTTTCTATAGGACTTAATTTTGCATGCTTAAATGTCCCCATTTGATCCCTCAATTGGATCAGTTTCTTTTCTCTTTCTGGATCTTCTGGTAATTTCTGTTGCTCTACCAGTTCTTTTCCTCTTATGATAGGTGAAGAAAGACCTGGCCATAATATATTTGCTTTACCTAGAATGAAAAATTACATGAAAATAGTTATATCTGGTACTAATCTCAGATCATCCTTGTGTCACTTATCCGACTCAAGAAACCAACATTTGTCTAGTTTTAGATGAGCTTACCAATTCCAATAACTTGGCCTCTATTCAAATCCTTAATTTTTGATTTGGATACGTTTTTTCCACGGCCACGTTTTTTTCCAGCATTACTGACTGAGGTGATGCCTTTCCACAGATCCTGAGCGGGTACTAAAACAAGCAAATGTGAGATACAAAAATGAGAAACAAGTTGAAGCATTACATTTGTTAAAAAAATTGGTGTTCCTAGTCGCAGTTGTGGAAATTATGCTTGTTCGAGGCAGATCTTCTTCGAAAGGCTTCACAAGCACTGGTACTAGCCTACATCTTGACGATACAGTTAATTTCTGTAAAGTTTTTGTAATGTTGAGAAGTTGAGCCATTAGAGTTTTTGGAAATGGAGATTGGAGAACATAACCCAACTTTTTTCCTTCTTCCACTTCTCCGTATGTTCGTGCTCTGTCTATACCCTATTTGTGGAGTATCCATCACTGTAGAATGACAGCTGATGTTCTAGTAATATCTCAAAATTCCCCATATCGGCACAGGACACATAATTCTGACGAATCCGTCAACGCCAGGTAGACAGAGCCGAATTTTGTTTTAGTTTTTTTGTACGCTTCAGACTCATTTTGTACCTGCTAACAGATCTTTTATTTAGAAAAGTTCATTTGCGTACCAAAAACAAAACGTCAAAAAAATGCAAATGAAGATTGGAAAACTGCCGCTTTGACGTAGTAAATGACTCAATCGTTACCCCGGGATAGACATACGTTTTGGCAGTTGACCTTGTCACCTAGATTAAGCGTTGCCAGCTCATCGGACAATTTTGCTACCTCTGCTATTTTGCTAGAATGTTATTCAAATAGAAACATTGAATAAAATATTGAGGGATACCAATGGAGATATATAAAATTTGAGGCGTAGCAATTTTTGCGAAAAAACTAAAAAAGAAAGCTGTTATTTACATTTTGCGTCGCCCGGCGTCTATACGGTAGAACGTTAATGTGTCTGAATAGTATCACCTCTACTAGACTTTAGAAGACTATCCGTAGCTAAATTTGGAAAACAGCCGCCTAAACGACTAAAAATAGTATTTTGTTCGAGGCTTTGCAGAAATTAATGTAAGTACATAAGAATACTTACACGAACGTTAGATTAGTGCACGTTTCTGAAAATTTCTTTTATAATACCGGTCAACGTAAACATCGAGTCGCTTCGGGAGCAGACGCGCAGAGTGGGAGCTGGAAAGGGGCGTGGCTGTACTACCCGGCCGTACCGTATCGCCGCAGCGAGGTACAGCACTCACACGCTTCAGTCTCTCGGCAACCGTCGCCGCAGCGGAATGTCTTTGCGTTTACAGCTCCGAGGAGAGCTTTATTCGGTTTAGCTACGTTTTTTCAGTAGTGGTATTCACTATAGGGTTCTCGATTCTCTCTCAGTGGTGCATTGGCGTTTTGATGTGGGTGTCAAGTGTCTCCAAAGTGGAAATTAGGTCTACTTTCAGCTCATCTAAGGTAAACAGGATATCTGTGCAGCAAACTAGGTGAGCCTTGCATACTCATCTACTTGTGTGTTAGGGTTGACATCCTATGTCATAGATTAGTCATATGCTGAGGTATTTGGGAAAAACTGAAACTTGGCCAAATCGTTATTTTTGTTTTAAGAAATGTCAAAAAACTAACGGTACTATTTAGGCACTACATGATGGTGTTTTTAAAAAAGTGCTAAACTGTACCTAATAGCAGCTTTTTCTACGAATTCAACGATTTGTTTTTCTACTTTTTCATTATATTTAAGCAGGCGTTGCAAACAAATGCTTGATTTCAGATTGTGTTATCTTGGCCACCCAATAATACATATAATAAAAAGCAATTTACAGAAACGTGCACTAATCTAACGTTCTTGTAGGCATTCTTATGTACTTACATTCATTTCTGAAAAATCTCAAAACTATTAGGGAGGCCTCGAACAAAATACTACTTTTAGGCGGCAGTTTTTAACTCTTCAATTGCATATTTTTAAGTGTTGTGCAACGATTTCGAGAAAAATTTAGCTACTGATAGTCTTCTAAAGTCTAGTAGAGTATATTTCAATAGTTGTCTTGCATGGTCATGTTATCTTTACTCGAGACAGATATAGTTATAAACTCGTTACAAAGCCCATCTCTTTTTTTACAGCTACACGATTTTTGATCCGACAGATGTCTCTGTCACCGGAATAAAATGTCAGCACCTGACTCTGACGAATAGATTGACACTATTGACAGTGGCAGTATTTTCAATTTTCCAAAAGAGCTTTTGAAAGTTTTTTTGGCAATTTGTTGAAGTAGCAAATTTTTGGAACTAACGTGCGGTAATCATCGCTGCAATCATGTCCTCAAGCTTGTTGATGTTAAGAAATGTGACAAAAATGCCTCTCAAGTGGTAGTTATTCATCTGTCAACAAAGTATATTTATATTTTTCAATTTATTCGATATTGTAGGGCTGCTGCTAGCTTATCTACATCGTCTGCCAGATATGTTGAACCAGAGATAAAAAACGATGTAGCTTTATTGAATCCGGAGGAAATTGAACACAAAAAGAAATTGCAAAATTACATAACCATTGAAGGAACGACGGTAAGTAATCGTCCCACTTGGATTTACCAACTACTCACTTTTCAGATGTAAAGATTCGAGTATCTAAAGATAAACCTTGAAAATTTCCCAAAGTCGTTCTTCTCATTTTAGACAGACATTTCTATTATAACTGGTGTGCCAGAAGAGCATGTTAAGGAGCGTAGAGTGAGAATATATGAGCCTCCCAAGAACTGTATGCAGAGTGGCACCAATAATATTGGCCATTGGGAGATGGACTTTGACAACCGTGAAAGATGGGAGAATCCTCTAATGGGTTGGACCTCAACGTAATATCATGCTCATAAAATAACATGCGTACTTTCTATAGAATGTCCCAGACAAGATTCCTTAAAATACACTGCAGTTACTTTTTGTGATTTCATTGGTTTTTTTGGCAAATAGAATCCAGGTAGTCAGTGTGGGAGAAGTGGTGTCTCAGGAAAGGCAACTGTCCATTAGAGTTCCGCAGGGCTCAGTATTGGGTCCTATATTATTTCTGTTGTACAGGGTGGCGCAGAGGAAACGCACGATTTTCACCTAAGCATAACATTTTTTATTTTCAAGATAACTTTGTTTCAGTTACAGCTAAATAAAGTAATGATAGTGCACTTTTAAACTAATGATGGTAAATAACGTCACTCAAGTGTCGCCCTGCTTCGCGCTCGCACATCTCCAACCGCTCTTGAAAGTTGTGCATTACACGTAAAATCATTTCTTGTGGTATTCTTGCAATTTCTTGACGAATAGCAATTTTCAGTTCCTGTAACGTACGAGGCTTAAGGTAACCCCACAAAAAGAAGTCGCATGCGGACAAATCTGGGGAGCGTGGGGGCCAAGGGACATCGCCGAAACGGGAAATCACATGTTCAGGAAACATCTGTCGAATCCATACCATTGATGCTCTCGCTGTGTGAGCTGTGGCACCGTCTTGTTGGAACCACAGCTCTCCCATGTTTACTTGTTGCCGTTGAAGTTCGGGTAACAGAAAATTTTGTAACATGTGAACATAACGTGCTGAAGTAACTGTTACTGCTCTTTCTTCCTCTTCAACAAAGTAAGGACCAACGATACCTAATTTACTGATTCCGCACCACACAGTTAATGTTTGACTATGCAATGGTCGTTGCTGTAGCTCTTGTGGATTTTCGGCCGCCCAATACCTACAGTTCTGCTTGTTTACATATCCTGTTAAATGGAAGTGTGCTTCGTCACTCATCATTATGACGACGTCAGGATCGTCAGCAAAAATGGCCCGCATTCTCGCACAAAATTCTCTACGCTGTGCAAAATCGCTTTCCGTTAGCTCTAGCACGATCATTATCTTGTACGGATGATATTGTAAATCGTCATGCAGAATGCGTTGTAACGACCGACGGGACATACGCAGAGTTGGAGCTTGGCGCCTAGTGGACCGTTGGGGACTATCAAGGACCGCTCTTCTCACTGTTTCGATATTGCCTGCAGTCCGCACGGTACGGGGAAGGCCAGGTGGCTTCCTCTTCATTACGGATCCAGTACTTCGAAATGCTTCAACCCATCGGAGTATTGTGTTTCGATCTGGAATTGGCCCGTGGCGTTCAACATTGAACTGTCGACGGAATAAACGTTGCACGATCACTACAGAATCATCGTTTCGAAAAAATTGCTCGACGGCAAACACACGATGCTCCGTCATCCACGGTGCCATGGCTGAAACTGCATCGCATGTGTTCTCTGCTGGCGGTGCGGCGAGGTCATATCCCTATTCTGTGCGAAATACCATTCGGTCAGAAAACATGCGTTTCCTCTGCGCCACCCTGTACATTAATGACTTGCCTTTGGCGATCATAGATTCTGCTTTTAGCCTTTTGGTGGATGACACTACTCTCTACATTACTGCAAGCTCTGGATGAAACAATATTGGAAATGTAGAAGCCATACAGCCCAGATATTAAGGCATGGTTCAATGGTAGTGGACAACTAAATCAAAGCAAAATCCAACTTTCTATCATTTCATAAAAATGCCTGCTTAGTTTAATCAAACATCTTTATATTTGTGGTATGGTGGGAAGAAAATTTCAAGTTTATTTCACTTATAGGGGTGACCCGCTGTCAAACCTGAAGGTACAATTTACCTCCAAAGAGGAAGCCATTGAATTTTGTGAGAAGAATGGCTGGAAGTATTACATTCAAGAGAGCAAGTTGGAGAAGAAATTCAAACCAAAAAGCTATGGTATCAACTTTTCTTGGAACAAGAGAACTAGAACATCCACCAAATAATGTGTTTGTTGTTTGTAAATATAATTATTAATGTAATAAAAATAAATCATTACTTTTAATGAATTGTTTTTGTATTCAAGCACATGTTAGATGAAACCCGCAATATTCTCTTTTATTTCACTTATTTTCTAGTGTCAGATGATTCAGCTCCATCAGTTGTATCTATGCTAGCCTAGTTAGCATTTTAATTTTTAGGAAGGTGGTAACATACTTGTAAAATTTCTGAAACAGTATCTTTTATTTCGAATCACATTTCATCAATATAAACAATTTAAAACTAGAAATAATTTACTGTTATACTCCACAAACAGCTCAACAAGTTCAAATAATGACACAAGTACATTGGTAACTTAGTTGCCTAGTCACTCGCAACTTCATCGACACATTAAAAAAATAACACAACTTTGTTGGAAAATATATGTGCGAGTGTATGAACAATTGTTTAAAACATAGCGTCGTCGCCCTATGGACGCGCGTACAGATATAAAGGACATAAAAATGAAACAAACAAACAGGTTGTATAAATGCATCTCATCGAGAGTGTGGCAGGGAGACTCAAGTACAGCTCATTCACACATATCGTTCACCATCTTCTCCATTTCCTTGTCTTTCTCTAACTGTTGCACTTCTGCCATGGTGACTTCCATATTGTTGGTGGGGGTGGATGACTCTTCGTCTTCCTCTTCTTGATCCAAAAATGCTGATGGTTTCAATTTCAACAGAGCATCTTTCAGTTGCTGATACACCTTTTTAAAGTTTTCTAATGTGGTCGTCGGTGATTTTTTTGTTGATCTGTAAATAATCATTACTTATTAAATATCAGTGAGATACTGCATGAAAGCTTCACTATAAGTAGTTTTCAGTAGTTTTGGCTGTTATGGATTAATGTAGAGTAATGGACAAAAGTACATAGACAAATTAATATTGTGCTGTATTTCTTTTTTAAGTTGTTTTATTAATTCACCAACCTGTATAATAATTCGTTATAGCATAATACTCACTTATACATAAATAAATTCATTAGACTCCCTTCAATAAAAAATTAATTGAATAAAACTGGAACTATGAATGACAAAAATATATAGACAAAGCAAAACAATTATAAAAAAAGAAGCAAAGTTCAATGAATTATAGAAAACCAACCATGTTTATGTTAATATTTTGTAGCATAACATTATTATCAATCACCGCCTGGCATCGTCTCGGCGTAGAATGTAGAAATTTCTTGATATAAGATTCATCAATCTGAAAGAATTTCTTTGCGAGATTTGAAGTGTGCTTCGGGTCATTGATCTTAAGGGCATATTGTCTTCCATATTGGGTAACATGATATGCTTTAGTATGTCTGTGTATACAAACTTATCCATAATGCCATCTATTCTATGTAAAGGTCGCATGCCAAACCAGGAAAAGCACCCCAAAACCATAACGGACCCGCCTCCATGTTTGACAGTGGGCAAAGTGTACGTGGGGTTCAATCTTTGTCCACTAGGACGTCTAACGTAATGAACACCATCTGATCCAAACATTCTGAACTTGGATTCGTCACTGAAACATACCCTCTTAAAGTCACAGATGCTCCAATCAAGATGAAACCGTGCAAATTGTAATCAGTTTTTCCTCGAGATTAGCGGCTTCTTACTCGGGCGACGTGCAAATAACTTCAAATCATTTAATTTTCTATCTATAGTTTTTGTAGAAACACTGACAATTCCTTTTGTCTTGATTCCGGATTTTATTTGTCTTGTGGTTTTAAACGGACTTTGGACGAAATTACTTTTATTAATCTAACTGATCTAGCATTTAGTTTTCTAGGCCGACCACTTCTCTTAGAGGCTTCCAAGATACCTTTTTGTTTACATTTGTTCAATATTGCCCAAACTGCTTTACGCTTCAGCTTTAAATTTTTGGCAATGTCGACTTGACGTTGACCATCTCTCAATGATCTTAGTTTTTTTAAAATAACTCAACTTATTCCACAATACTTGATGAACACAACCTAATCCTCTTCTGACACGAAACTGTACTAGGCTAATGTTGAAAAGAATTTGTCTACATATTTTTGTCACTCATACAAAAGTGCTTATATTCAGACTTATATTGTGTTCATTGCAGATAATATAAAAACAAGGAATTTAGTTTTTCTCCTAATAACGCATTTGTTTATGGAGCAATGAAGTATGAATTCGTTTTCTAAAGGTATTTAGGTAAATATTCATATTTGTCTATATACTTTTGCCCATTACTGTATATTATTTTCAATATGAATAAATTACATCAGAATAAAATTCTTATTTTACATTGCTGCACATTTTCTTTGAAAAATAATATAGATTATGAAAATACGTAAAAAGGCAGTAAATTTGTTTTTGCAGAGTATAAAACCTTATTCACTTGTGTTTTGTTATACCACTCATTCAGTTTGAAAAAATCAAGAATTTTGAACTCAACTTTCTCAGACTTCGATGCCTTTTACCTAAGTATGGCACTATACTTCCTAAGCCAATAGTGTTTGTGAATATAGAAAGATGCATAACATACCTGCTACTCTTTTTCTCCTTAGCCACCTCTTGTTCAACCTCCTCAACCCAGGCGCCGACCTGTGCAATGACCTCATGCCTTTTGAGGTAGAAATGCGTCTGGATGACTTCTTTGAAACAGGGACAGGGGTTCAAAATTTGCTCCAACATTGCCCATCTTACAGTCGCTTGGCAAACGTTCAGGTTGTAATCTCGAGAGCTAGCTGTTCCAGCAGGGGTACCTGTGTGCCGAAAAGTTGACGGATTACAAAACTGATAATTGCAATTTTTTACAGAATATTTCTCAAAAAAATTCAAAGTCTCTAGGCAATTTTTAAGTGGAAACTAGCCATTCTTTTGCAAAAACCACTAGCATACTGTTTTTTTCCGCTAAACATAAGAACTTACCAGCTTGAACATCATTGATGTAAGTGCTTTAGAAATCAATTTTGTTAATGTGAGCTTTGATAACATACTTTTACAATAATGATATACTTTGACAAAAAAAGTGGTAGTAGTAACCATAACAACCGTATAACACATAACTTTGACAAACTATCTCTGAAGAAACGTCAAGGCCTCGTATTTTATTTTGAACTAATTGTATCTCAGCTCTTCATGAACGATCTTATTTGTCTAATTTTTATTTTTAAGGAAATAGTGCACTATAGGAAAAAAATAGAACAGTAATTCTTTGTTCAAATTGAAGGTAAAATTCTAAAAATTGCGAAAAAAAACAGTGGCATACTTATTTATTTGGAAAAATAATGCTACTAATCCCCTGTATCTCCGCCACTGGTGCACGTTAATTTTAAGCAAAGACTTTTGAATGTGGACAATACCACATACCAAATTTTAGTTCATTCCTGTTTTGAAGATATTAAAAAAAATTGTTTATTTTTAAATTTCAACACCCCGTATCTTTTTAATGAAGTCCTCGACGAAAAATGTTACATAGAAGACCCCCTCCCCTCCTTAAAATGCGATCCTGTGTATGACGTTTCATTTTTGGCCACGACTTGTAAATCACTCTGTATTTGCGAGTACCAAAAGTCACCTCAATAATATGTTTGCGAGAAAGGTGACCTATCAAAAACGGACATGTATTACGGAAATAATTTCCGGACCTGTTTGTTTTGTTTTTACTGTAACGTGCTGAAATTGGCCTTCAATTTTCCTGCCAACATTTTATAACACACTATATCACTTTTAATCACTAAACAAAAAGATCTGATATGACCACCTGAAAACGCAGATCTTGCTCGCGGTCAGCCCGGAGAAGTTGAATATTTGGCAAAATTGACAGCTTTTTCGCTTCGGAGTACTAAAAGAGCTCGCCCAAAATTAGTCTTTATCCAATCAAGCGTTCTGTTTCAATAGATTGACTGTTGTACTGCGCATATCACAATAGCAAATACGTATCGCATGACCCTCGTATTTCCTTTCACTTCCAAGTCCGTCAGGCGGAATAATCAAGATTAACCGACCGTGAACAGATAACGTGCTTATAGAAAGCGATAACATAAGTCTCCGATAGCCGTGATCGTCTAGTGGTTAGGACCCCACGTTGTGGCCGTGGTAACCCAGGTTCGAATCCTGGTCACGGCAATGTGCAAACATTGTCACGGAGGAGTTTTTTTTTTGTTTTTTTATTCAAAAAGATGGAATTGGCGTCCATATTTGTAACAAATTTAATTAGTTGCGGCATTATTAGTTATTTATTCATCACTTCGTATTATCAGATATCGAAAATGAACATTGATGTTCGTCTTCGTCACAACATACTGCTACTAATTGAGGCTCTAGAATAACCTTATTATTTGTAAACTTAAATCCACAGTTTCATTATAACCTATTTATTGTTGCGATGTTACAAACAATTGGTATATTAAGGAAGTGGCGCATCAGGTGCACTTTATTCAAACTTTCTTGTAGAAAAGGTATCTTTTATCGCAAAACTGCGGTTCTACAACTCATTTGTTTTGCTTCCCACATAAATTAGCGAGTAAGTATTGTAATCGTTGAAAATTTCGAAAAGTAGATGTTTTTGTCACGCATTTCTGTCAGTCTGTCTGTCTGTTCGCGAATTACTGGCCCCTTTATAACTCGGTAAGTACTTCTCGGACTTTGATCAGGTGTTAACACATAGTTACCATTAGTTCAAAGGAGAAAAAAACATTGATGGTTTTTAAACTCGATCCAGAGGCAGCGGAACTACGTCTAAAAAACGATAAAATACAATTTGCTGGCTCAACCACTTGTCCTTGTTTAGAATTTTCTGGCATGGCTAAAAACGATTGTATATGATGCACCCAGAAAATTGTATCACAAGACTTAACGAAGGAGTGGGAAATACATTTTCGAGACTTTAATCAGAAATACAATAGAGAAGCGGAATTTTACGAAAGATTTTTGTGTAAAATTTTTTGTCGAAAAATGTGTGTAGCGAATAATTTTCAAAAGCTGCCATTTGAAACATTCGATTTTATGTTCATAGCAATTAAAAAAATGTATGCACATACCTCTTGCTCTTTCGTACCCAGGCTCGTTGAAATATGGCTCTGGCACAAGAATCAAGCTTTGAATTGAAACAAGAACCTGTAGGAAACTAGAAGTCTGGGCGTTCCATTTTTCTTCAGGTCTACCATGCCACGTGTTTAACACGCTCAGGCACACCTATAAAAGCACAAACTCATTTTTAATTTAATTCCTTATTATTATCAAAAATATCATGGTTTTCCGAATATATGGCTCTCGCTCCTCTCTCGTACATCTTACGACGTCAGTGTTATATGGATTTCTCTGTTTGCCTAATAGTTTGTTTTTGTAGAATAAGAACGTTTTTAAACAATTTTGGAAAAAGAAACATAAAAGGCAAAGTAACTGCTTAAGGCTGCGCTTTTTTCTACATTGTAACTAACTGTTCTTATAATAAAGGAAATACTTGCTAGTTAAGTAAGCAATTTGTCTACATGATCAGTCAAATTTAATTTATGATCAATGGTCAGTCCCAAAAATTGTATGGTGTTTCAATACATTACTGGAATTTATAAAATGAAGGGATCATTTTTGATCGATTGTATATCACTATCAATTTTTGTAATAATTTCATTTATATCTGATAGATGAGTTTGCTTACCTTGCCGTCATTATATAGGTTAGGATTAAAGCGTACAGTATGCCTTCCTGTTGTCTCTAGATTGATCATCATCGGAGACAAAGGATAATCCGCGGGGAAGAACACATCCAGCTCAAAACAGCCATTGGCGTACGGGGTATCCGCAGGACCTTCAAAGAATAAAAATGAAGGTACACATTAGACGACTTATTAACTCGTAATATGTAACTAAAGTTTTCCACCGTGGATATATCATCATTGCAGAGAGTGTACACGGCCATTCTTCCTTGGTGCTGCATTTCTAGAGGCAAGACTTGTCATGTGATCACCTCCAGCACTGAAATAGTGCTGCCATTCACAGTCCATATCAGGATATGACGATGGAGTTGTAAGTATAATACTCGTGGCAACACATAAAGGGTAAAGAGCAATGTGAAATTTGTCAGCTAGATGATTTACATTTTGAGCCAAAATAACTGTCTGCAGTTCTCTGCACGGTTTTTGTCATATGAAATAAATAAACGGATTGATTAAGGCCATCTGCGGAGCTCAAGCTTCCTAAGAGACAAGCCGATCCTTAAGGCAGCTGCTACTCGCTCTTAAGGTAGTATCAGACACAGCTACTTTTGCTGCGCAGTTTTTTAGCAGCAGCTGCAAGTTTCGTATTATGTTCACGCACAAAGCAGAAAGTAATAATCACGTTTCGGCTACCACGTTGGCCTTTTTTCTAGTATGAGCATATTTTGATTTTTTTTTGAGTTGCGCGATGTTAGAACTTCAGCGAAGATATGTGGTTTGATTCGGCCATTATATGGAGTCCTATAAACATGAAAACCACAGGATAAGTTTCAGGAGTCACATCAGTATAAAATTATCATGTATTTCATTTCAAACTGCCAATGTCAGAGAATAAAAATTACTTTCCTCGCATTTAATTTCTAGGCCGAAATTAAGTTCACATCCCTAAGGACAGTGCAATGGAAAACTTTATTATAACACCCTACAACATATAATGTCACAGCTTAAGCACGAAACTTTACGTTTGAATCTTGGAGGGTAAGTCTTGCCACTAATTCTACATATGAACGAATGTTCGAACTTACCTGTGATAAGTACTTTCATGACGTCCAAGCGTGATGTGTCATACCTAACAAAAACTGAGCTACTATAACTTAAGGGTAAACTAGTGGATAAGGTCACAGCCTCTTGTGCAATTCGCTTCACCCTTGCAGGGTGAGATTGCTCGCCCGTCGTCAGTACGTTACTTTCGAAATGGTGCGAGATCACAAATTTTATTGTTCCTTCTGGAAGTTCTGTTATCATTTCGTAAGAAGCTGAAAAATAGTCATTATTAATCGAATGCATTTTATACACCATCTACATTAAAAAAAAACGTGCGTATTAAGAGAAAAAAAAGAACGTGTGATGGAATTACAGTGCTGATTTTGTTTGAATCAATTTGTGATAACTACTGGAGGTTGAGACCACATGGGGGTGATAGGTTTAGCCACAAGAGCTAACCTAAATGTTGAGAAAGAATATAAAGGCTGTAGGAATATAAAACAAAGGGAGACACTTCAAAATCAGCAATAAGCGAATAAACAGGGCATAGGGTAAAATGAGAGAAAACCACAATATTGCATAAAGAAGATAATTACAAAAAGAAGGTAAAGGAATCACCCTATATACAACAATTGTATCTTTCTACGTAGTTCCTCTGTAGACTGTAACACACTTTGGTTGAGTATCCTTTAAGGAAATATCTAATTGACATTCTCCAAGACGACTAATGTACCATAGGTTTCGTACTTCTAGGTTTTTCCTTAGGGTTTGTTAGTGCATCACAAATACGCAGTTTTGTTTCAAAGGTTGCATAAGTCAACCGGTATGTTTCGGCGATAGTTCTGGGTGGGTTTTGGCGCTTGTCGTTTTCGGGACGATGGAAGAGGGTGACGTGAATGGTAGATTAAAAAACGACATAACCTGATGATAGCTTATCGTTTTGGGAGGCTAGACGTCCTTTGGGAGCGGTCCTGGGCTAGTTTTACGCGATGCCGTCTTAAAATAAATTGTAGCAGACCGTTCAAGCTGTTGTCGCAACACACAGTAGAGTAGCGAGGAGAAAAAAAAACAAGAGAACTGCCTTATGGAAGACACATACAACAAAATATATTGTAATTGTAAATAGTACATGAAAAACGCCACTATGGTAGAAGAAACTTCAGTAAAAAGTAATTCAGCGGCCAGAGAATCATGGAGTCCTACCAGCATGAAAACCACAGGACAAGTTTTAGGTGTTACATGGAAAAATGCATAGTCCACTAACGTAAACGTCCACTCTGAATGCTGAGAATCCACCTTAATGATATGTGCAAAAATGTGCTAGCCCAGTTAAAGCTTACTACTAAAACTTTAATTTTTTAAGGAAACATCAAAAGTTGCGTTGCTTTTATAGTAGCTCATCGTACCTCCTAAAGTTCTAAGGTACCCTGATATTCAAGCATCACCCCTCAGCTGTACTATCCTGTCACAAAGCGATGTGGCCTCAGCCTAACAGCCTGTTAAGTTACGATATAAAATATCTGACCTGAGTCTATTTAAAGAAGAGTATACTCACAAAACTGCAGGTTCCTCATAACCTTAATATAATACTCTTCCATTGATGTAACAGTCTTCTTATCAATCATGGTGGGACTGTCGAACGCAGGGTCGCATTCCACCATTCCACTGGTGACTTTAGACACTAGATTTGCTGTGTTTTGTATATCCGGCATCAGTGTTGCTAATCCTTCGCCTTGTTCCAATTCTTCTAGCTGTTCGCCCAGTTTCGATTTCACTTTTGTTTTTGTGTTCAACCTAAAAGAGAAAATCATTCAGTACTCATGATTAACATAGGTTCTGTAGATAAATAGGTTCTGTAGATAAATAAGACTTTAATAACACTGGATGCGAAATTGGATGATCTCATGACGATATATAAGAATGCTCTCTTTCAAAACCCTATGCTTTGAGAATAAAAAATACCAGTCAGAGTTTAAATAATTTGAAGCAAACACGTACAACGTTTTGAGTTATTTCTATACACAAGTCACTAGATTTATTTTTTCAAGTTGTATCTAATGTATAACAAAATCATGATGAGTTGATGGTCTTTATTTTAATTTAAACATTGTAAACAATTATACAAACCTTAACTTCGACGCATAGGTATCCACGTAAGACTTCATGTTCCGCAACAGCAAAGTGACAGACGGTTCGCTGCTGCCTTTTTGAGGCAGTAATAGACTGACTAGTTGTGAACTGACCGCCAATGCCCTGAGTAACTGGAGAACTGCCTTGTATAGGGGGATATGCCTCGCCATATCTAATACTGAAATCCAAAGAGTATCATATTACCTTTGACATAACGCCATCTATTACCAGAATCGACCACTGGGGGACTGTAAAGCACCAGATCTCAGTTTGCGTTTGACAGCTCAGTCACCACTGTCACCGCTAGAGGCTGATGTATAGAGAAATAAAAGATTGTGAATCCTTACCTGAATCGTTCCTGAGATAAGAGCTGATAGCGGAAAGCAAAGCACTTTGAGCCAACAGCTCATGGAAGTTAGATGGCAGTACGTCGCCGTTAAGCTCCTCGTCCGCTTCATCGTTCGGATTTATGTAACTGGCCAACACTTGCAGAAGCACTGTCACGTGCTCTTCTTCGTTACGTTGTTTCAGCAGCGCTTGTTCAACGTTCCAACTTTGCTGGGTTGAACCAGTACCGAAGCCCGTACCTGAAAGAAAATACGAATATTTGAGAGAAAACACAAACTCTATATAGCAAAATGACAATGCACATTGAGAAAAGTACTAACATACGAGATCTGTAAATTAAGTGATGAGACTGGCAACGTAGCGTTCGATCTGGCGACACTGGAGCCGCCGGGATTGGAGGGCAGACACCTTCAGTATAAGTTTGAATTCGCTCGAGTCATTGATTGTCCGTAGAGATTTTGTTTTTGAAACAGTTTTTTCTATTGTGTTCTAAAAATGAGTCAATTTCAAGCAACCGTGTGCTATCAGGTTCAGCTTCACACTTGGGCATAGTGCAAAGGAAACTCTTCCTAACAAGCCTACAGAGATAATGTATCAAGAGCCCAGGTTTTTCGGTGGCCCATTGGCCCACCCTGTATGTACATTATACATTTACGCAACGTGCAATAACGTAAAGGGTACTACTGGTTAGGATTGCATCGCATAGCAACAAATTCGAGTAATTCGACTGAGAGTGTGTTCTTCCTGCACCTTCACAAACTAGCTACTGCTGAAGGTAGGAAATTTCGGATCAAAATTAATAATTTCTTGTCGACAGTACGGCCCATCAGAGCCGGCGTCCCTCAGGGTTCGGTTCTAAGGCCAATCCCTAGCGACTGTGAAGTCTATCTATATGCTGATGACACTGCACTGGTGTCCCAGTCGCATACCGGGAATCTGGTTCACGACAGGTTACAAAATGCGCTGGATGAGGTATTAGAATGGGCAGATCGGTGGCTAATCAAAATTAATTACTCAAAAACGCAGGCTATCTATTGTACTAAAAAACGTAGCGGCGCCCCGCCTGAGGTTACAGTGAATGGAGCTCGCATACCATGAGTAAATTCTCGGTGTCACTCTTGACAGGGGGATGACCTGGCAGAATCACACTGAAACGTTAAAAACTAAATTCCAAATTACGTTTCGGCAACTCTAACCTTTACTATGTAGAACCTCAAAATTAAGTTTGGTTAACAAAGTTCGGCTATACAAGACGGTTATCAGACCAGCAATCACTTACGCATGTGCAGCATGGTGTTTTCTTACCAAAACGCATATGCGTAATCTGCAGGTTTTGCAGAACATAACCTTGCGAACCATCACTAACGCACCATGGTATTTCTCCAACGAGACCCTTCACAGAGATCTACCTAAGGGACTACATCAAACTTCTGGCGCAGTTACGTTATAGTCAAGCGGAATCGCACAGCAACCCTCTGTTGCGTGAGTAGGTAGACTACACAGTCGAGCAAGTTCGTAAGCACACAAGACCGCGGCTCGCACTGTGATCAAAATCAAATCGTGCAATGCTAGATCCAACCAAAAAACGATTTTTGCCACACAACTAATTTTTGGATTAATTTAAAATAACCGAATACCAGTTAACAATAGCAAGGCATCACTTTAACCGGCGCACTTCACCCTCTTTGCTCTTCCCCCTTCCTTCCTATCTTTCTCCCTGACTTCGTCTGGTATCTGGGCAGCCAGACCTGACAGACCTACTGACCTACGATACTTTAACAAAAAGCGAAGGTCCCACGGACCGCTCTGACGGACAATGACGAATAGAGACTAGCTACTGCGTCCAGACAATGTACAGAAAGGCCACCTTCCCAGGTTTATGGTTTTTTAAAGACCGTCGCCAAAAATGACAACCGATACTATAAGTTTGTCGTGAACTATATTTATCTGAAAGACGTAAAATTTGGTAATCCGAAAATATTGCGATTAGTCTATCCATAAAACATTAAGACCACCGTGATCAGACCTACCTTTAGCCCAATACAACTGCGACTTATCCTCCTTGCCGCCCTTCCCATCCTTCTCCCCAGTCTGTGCACCTCCTTGTCCTCCGTTCGCACTGTTAGCTTGATGATGCGTGAACACTCCTAAACATGCTAACAGCAGATGCACCACCCCGATGTTAACGCTGATTCGTCTCAATAGGCGGCCGTCATCTGTACTCAGAGGCGTGGCGTCGTACAGTCTTTTTAGAACTTCGAATGGTAGGGTGGGTAGGCTGTCGGCTAGGGGAGAGTGGAAGATGTCGCCACCTGTACAAAAAATGAATACGGTTCTTTTTGAAAAATCGAAGTTTCTCCATCCACATCCAAGATAAAGTGAGACATATCAAACGATGGCCATGCTCTTCAAGTGATCGCAGTACAGTTTTGATATGGTTAGATTGAAGTGTCGGTATTAATGGTTGGTTATTAATGATTTCAAATGGTATAAAAAAAAACAGTTAAATCAATTTTTTCAGGCGTCTTACCTTCTCCATCATCAGTGACACCAAGCACCAATCGAAGCAAGCACAGGGCTTTCTTCATATCCTTGAGCAGTACCTCCGCGTAACCAGGTAGTCTGAGGAACAGTCCAAAGGCAGTGAGTGAGTGAGGAGGCACATGCGACACAAGACCGCAGGATTTTGATGATGAGGTGGTGCTTATCATCTCTTCGCTGATGTCTTCGTAGATATCATCAGATTCTGAAATATTTGAGAATATACATCGTTGTTTGAATATTCACTGCGCATAGTGGTTCAAAAGTCCTAAAGCATGGCCAAAACTAGAAAGATTCATCAAAATACATCATTTTTCGAAAAATTATTTGGTTTGAGCAAATTGGAATTTTTTATGTTTCTGAGGTCGCTGATGATTTGAAAAAAAAAAATTAAAATAAAAATGTCAAAATGTTTGCAGAAGATCGTGGATAACGGATTTAATATTGTTCCGTTAGATGCAACCAAAAAATTTCTTAACTGGGTATCTGATAAACAGACCACTATTCGAAATAGAGCGGACTCTAATGGAAGCTTTGTCTAAACTCTTTTTGAGTTCACTAATTCCATAGGGTTCCTACCATTTGTGCCGCGTCACAACAAAAACAAGAATTTTGCGAATTAAAATCTATGTTTATTTTCATGTAGCGTAAGTGCAATGTGAATATGGTAAAATTCCGTATTTGAAAATAGACTTACCGTCTACTTTGATCCATTCGGAATCCGATTGATCAGGAGCGGCTTTTTCAACGCCCGTCGTTTTGACAGTTTCCGAGTAAATTGTAGGCAAGTGTTGGGCGAGTAGTGCTAGCCCGCCCATCGAACTGAACACTTGTAAGGCACTACAGACTGGCTGTTGTAGGAGTAACGTCGAGTTCACCTCGGTGGTCTTATCGTCAGACACTGAAACAGAAAAAAAATCTACTATTAGCATATAGATCAATATAGTCTCCGACCATCTCAACATACTCTTTCTATCTCCACTGCCATGTTGCAAAGCATAAAAACCGATACAATTTTCCTTAAAAAAAAAACGGTTCATTTTTAAGTATCTGCCTTCCAAAACCAGATCATAAATCAATCCCCCTAACGATTATTCATATTCTCAGAATTTCTCAACGACTGAAAAGGAATTCTCATAAGCTGCGACAACAGTACGTAACGTGGCAACGCCGAATCGTACAGACGGTGGTCGACATGACGAGTAGTGGCGGCTTTATGGTACGTATACTTATTTCAAATCTTTGAATTGGGTTGGGCTTCTTTTGTGAAATACTTTAATCAATGCTGTTAGTCCTGCACATAAATGAAGTTGTGATGGTCTCATCTATAACCTGTACATCACAAAGCAGATCCAGCATCCCAAGTTAAGAGAGTGGCGTATGTAGAGCTAAAGTTCAAGGGATGGGGGGTCATAGTCTCGAATAGTTTACCTAAACATTGCGAATTTCACCACAATACGAGGGATGTCTTTTAAGTTTTGCATATGGAAATAAGACAACACGGTAGGTAGTTTTAAATAACTTTATCGTTTTTCGAAGTATTCTCCACGAAGATTAATACACATCTGCATGCGCGCGAACCAATTTTCGAAGCACTTGTCCCACTCGTTTGCTGGCAGATCCAAAACGGCATTCTTGAATGCGTTTACTGCTTCTTCTGGTGACTGGAACCTTTGACCACGCAGTCTGTTTTTAGTTTTCGGGAAAGTAAGGAAATCGATAGGACTTAGATCGGGACTATATGGAGGATGGTCCAATAATTCCAAGTTCTCTTCCGTTAAATACTGCCTTGTTTTTTGGGCTGTGTGCGAGCTTGCATTGTCTTGGTGGAGGATGATTCTTCTTTCGGGGTTGATTTTTCGAAGCTCGGTGATGACTTTTGGCAAACAAATGGTGGTATACCAATCCGCAGTGACAGTTCTTTGCTCATTAAGAGGAATTGTTGCAATATTACCCGCTTTTGACACAAATGTCGCGACCATCTTTCGAGAACGGATGACTTTTGTTGGCTTTTCTTCACCTTGACACACCCAAACAGCCGACTGTCGTTTATTTTCTGGTTCATAACAGTAAATCCACGATTCATCACCTCTAATAATGCTGTACACATTTTTTGAGTTTCCGGAATTGAAACGGTCAAGCGTTTTTTGACACCAATTAACCCTGGCTGCTTGCTGCTCTTCAACAGGTGGGGTATCCAATGAGAAACTAATTTTCTTACTCCTAATTCTTCATGTAAAATTTTTTGAATTGAGGTCTTTGAGATCTTCAAGGACGTCTCAATCTCGCGATATGTCAGGTGTCTATCTTCAATGATGAGTTTGCGCACAGCATCGACGTTTTCCTGGGTGACTGCCGTTTTTGGTGCACCCACCCTGGGATCGTCACTAAGACTCACCCGACCACGTTTGAATTCTCCATACCAACGGGAAATTGACGACTGATGTGGCGCTTCGTTGCCGAAAACAGACAGTAACACAGCAAGGCATTCTTGTTGCGATAATTGTCTCTGAAAGTTGTAATAAAATGTTCTCGGTTGAGTTCCATTTTTCTAATGACTTGGTAACACTTAAAAATTCACTGTAGTGAGAACACTGCACGTATTGTTGTGAAACTTCGAATTTAAGTTTACTAAAGAGTGAGGTTAAGATTCAGTACTAACGTTCGATCCGCGCGGCCTACTATGTTTCTATATGCAAAACATAAAAGACATCCCTCGTATAAATCTCTTCGTATCTAGAATCTAGCCGTTCCTTCTTGTAAACGGGATCGTGGATCACGAATCTGAGGTGAATATCTTGGTGATACAAATCTGATATCAGTATTTTGCTGAGATAAAGATAGAGAGACCCTAAAAGGCCCAATAGGGTTTCGCGAAACTATGGGCGCTCTTTAGGCTTCCGCTTGAGAAATAAAATATAACACGCGTTATTTAAAAAAAGAGTAAGGTGTGTGTTTTTCTGTTTTCAAAATGTCCGCGAAAATTTGTTAGATCTGAATTGTGGTGATGAAATAGGAATTAATAAGTTGATTTTTTTTTTATTGAATTGAAGAGCATTCAATTTTCAATTGCCGAGACGAAAAGCTGGCTGTTTGTTTAGCGTTTTTGAAATCATGGTCTCAAATTGTCCCCCTGTAAAAAGTTTCATTCGCTTGCAGGCACGGTTGAAAATGGAAATTTTTTACTGTGAAACTTTAAAAGTATGGACTTTAAAATATATCTTCCTTATCAGCACGTATCGTCGGATGTTCATCTACTTGCGCACAATGCTTTGAGTTCTTCAAAAGATCATGCCCACTATGTTTGCTTCCCGTTCGTCCGTCTTCAAGACTAGACCTATACCGTACTGCCAATGAGCACGAAACAGCGCTGTCTGCGGTTGGTCGTGGTTATCTTTCTAACAATGTGAAAACTTACACAAAAGAACCGCCTATTATAAAAAAGGTATACATACTTTTGGAGTTGTAGATCTTAATGTGAATGTAAGGCCAATTGGTGGTGGTTCCCTTGGACTCGATCAGCCTCAACAACTGACCCAGGTTGATGCTGAGCGGCAACGACTGATCGGGTGAGTACGCGTCGCACTTTACGCGCATTCCCTCGACTTCAGCGGCCGCTCCCGCGTTGGTACCGGCCGCACCCGCTGAATCAGGGGCGTACCGCTTCTTTTTAGATTGGGGAGTTGCGGCCGTGGTATTGGAGGTGGCTGCACCGGAGGCGGCATTTGCTGCGGCTGCGGCGGCTTGCGATGATTGGTTCTTCGCGTCTTTGGCACGTTTGTCTTTCGCTGTCACGCCGGCCGCCATACTCAGGTCGGAGTCTTCGTAGAACCAGTTTTTGAACACGTCCTGGAAAATATAATGTCGATAAAAAATAAAGCATTCGGCTTTTTTCCATTCATTGATAAAAATGCCTTATAAGCAATCATGGCGCTTAAGTATCCAATATACTGATCCTCAGGGTTGGTGTAATAAAAATACACATACAGAGATAAATAGTCAATTCTCATCCTTATATACCTTTAGAACTTTTATTCGATAAGCCAAGCACTACAGGGTGCGCAATGAATTTGTTACATGTATACCTCAATTCCCCTTGTGCAACAGACACTTGCGCACTGAAATGGCTTTTCAGACGAGTTTTGTGAAATGAACCTCCTTGAAATTATGGAAAACGTTGATATAGCTTGTAAATAATTGTGTCAAATTTACAATTTAAATTGTTACTTGATCTTACCTTCTTAGCAGCCGCCGACTTCTTGCTCAGCAAAGAATCCGACTTGTACGACGTCCTAAAGAACACATGTTGATCCAGTATCTCTAGCAACGTAGTATTCGTATTCAAATACAGCATCGCTCGGTTGTAAGTCTGCTTGAACGATGGATGCGCCGGCACGTACGCATGCGACAGCTTCGAATTCTTGTACAACGTTTCGTCAGCTTCGACGCTCACCTACGGACATAAACGATACTCCAATACTACGAGCCCCTTTCCACTTCAGTTGGCCCAACTATTGAAATCTTAGTTTTTTTCTTATCAAACACAAATAATAAAAATGTAGCAGGGTGTTATAGGTTCAACATATTAACAATGAATATTTTGATAATATATAGTAGAAAATACCAACTTTATCACTCGCTAATCAAGTTTGCAGCATAAAAATAACACATGTTGCAATTACAGCATATCAACCTATTTTCATTTCAATGCAAAATAAGTCTATAACGCATAGGTGGCTGTGAAAAATAAAAGCCATGACAATTGTTTTTATTAATCACAGCTGTCATGCCATTGACGGAAATGTGGATACAAACAAATATTTGGAAATCGCTTTTACCAGTGATGGAAGAATGTTTGACATCCGGCCAAGATTTTGTGTTTCAGCAAGATGGTGCAGCGTGCTGTCAGAATACGTTTAAAAAAGTTTTAAGTAGTTAAGGTTTTCAAAATGGGTAGAGGAAAGGTTATTAGTGAGAAAATTCGGTTACTGATAATAAAAATTTTTAATTCTGGGAAATCAAACTCAGAAATTGCAACTTTGTTAGACTTATCGCGGTACAGTGTGCGAAAGATTGTTCGAAGATATAACGTAACTGGTTCAGTTAATATTAAGCCACGATGTGTGAAAAAAAGTAATATCACAAATGCCGACCGAAGAGCATTAAGAAGAATAATCGTGAAGGCGTGCCAATTATTTACAATTAAGTGCTCTGTGGAGTGACGCTGTTGAAAGGAGAATTTTGAGGTCCACAACTCATAGAGAGGCCCACAAACTGGGATTTAGCACTTGCAAGGTAAGTTTTCTTATAAAAAAAGGTGAAATAAAAACCCTAAAGTTGCACAACTTGTTTATAGGCCAAAGAAAAGACACTATTAACTCCACTGAAAAAGAAAAATCGGCTTAGATGGGCTAAAGAACATAGACAATGGACACCTCAACAATGGTGTGCAATACAATGGAGTGATGAGGCCCGATTCGAAGTTTGTGTTGGTGACAGTCGCAGTAGAGTTATTCGCAAAAAAATGAAGCATTCCAGGTTGACTGTCTGAAGAGAAAAATGAAATTTCCAGCATCCATTATGGTCTGGGGCAGTATGTCATCAAAAGGAGTAGGAAAACTTCATTTTATTGATGGAAATGTGGATACAAATAAATATTTGGCAATTTTAGAAGAATCGCTTTTACCAGTGATGGAAGAATGTTTGACATCCGGCCAAGATTTTGTGTTTCGGCAAGATGGTGCAGCGTGCCATACCTCAAAAAAGGCTATAAAATGGATGGAAGAGAATAATGTACCACTTTTGAAAAGGGTTTCTAGCAGTCCAGATCTATCACCTATTGAAACTTTGTGGCACGAGATGAAATGTGTTGTACGACAACATCCTGCTCGTACAATCACCGAACTGAGACAAAAGCTTCAAGAAATATGGGATTGTTTTACACCAAATTTTTGCCAAAACTTGGTTAACACTATGCCCCAAAGAATTTCAGCCGTAATAAAAAATAAAGGTGATGTTACCCAATGGTAATATTTCAATTGTTGCTTTGTTAACTTCGCGCATTTATTCACACATTGTTTATTTGTTCAGATGTTCTATTAGTTTTAGGTCTAAGTGATTTCAAATATGTATTTTTTACGACTAGAGTGTATCTAAAATGTTTTTGAGAAAATAAATTGTTTTAGAAGTAAATAGTTTCGTCATGTTTAGTTTATAAAGGCATATTTTGGTACAAATCTTGAAGTGGGCCAAGGGGCTCGTATAACCACTAGAGGTACCGAAGGTGTTACCAAGGTATCGAATGTTTATTGATTTGAGAAAATACAGACGTTAAAGTTATGATTTTTTCAATGATCATGCTATAAGATATCGATACTAATAAGCTATACATCAAAATCCAATATGTAGTAATAATACGTTCACGTGATCGCTTGGCAACAGATGGACAGACAGACAGTTCATTGGCAAAGGGGGAATCGGCTCCAAAAAAAGCAAATACTGTTTTTTTGGCCGGGAAAGTGATAGCGTCTGTTTTTTGGGATTGTCATGGAGTTAATTTAATCGATTATCTTCAAAAAGGAAAAACCATTACAGGAGCATTCTACGCATCACTACTTGACAAGCTAAACGTAGAGCTTGCGGAAAACGGCAACATTTGCATAAAAAGAAAATCCTGATTTATCACAACAACGCACCGTTTTGCATCTCAGCGGTTGCCATGGCGAAAATCCACGAATTACGGTTTGAACTGCTTGACCATCCGCCTTACTCACCAGATCTAGCCCCAAGCGACTTCTTTTTGTTCCCTCATCTAAAAATTGCGCTCGGAGGACAGAGATTTTCGTCAAATGAAGAAGCAATCACCTTCGTGAACAATTATTTTGCAGACAAAACGCCTAGTACTATGTGGGTTACAGAGATGGGAGTATCGCTGGGAGAAGTGTGTGGAGTTACAAGGAGACTATGTTCAAAAGAAAATTCAGACAGAATGCCTTGTATCTTTCGTTAGCTCGGAAACTTTTCAGACCACCTTCATATAAATATACAGCATGTCCCGATTGTCGAAATTTTCCTTTACCGAAACAGTTAAGTTTGAAATCTAGCAAAACCAGTTAATGTGTAGTAAACAACAGAGGAAACGTAAAAAAGAAATACAAGAAAAGTACTCACTATATCCGTTTGATACGTAATTTCAGGTACTGCCCTGACATGATTTGTTGGTAATTACAGCTTGAAATTGCCACCGTTTGATTCAAAAACACAACTTTATTAACATCTTCCTAAATTTCCAATATTTGCGGCTGTTTAAGTCTTCTGCTGCTCACATTTAGACGGCCTTTGCACAGCATAAACAAACTTATGCTGCTCGGGATGAAAACATACAAGGCAACAATTTGAATACACTCGCGCATTATCAATAGCGTCTAGAAGACGCTCAGTCAAATAACATCAAATCCATAACTTCGTTATTGCTGTAACAAAGTGCCTATTTCGATTTTTCATATTCGATTTGTTGGATATGCTGATACTGAGGCACGTCGGTTCTTTCCACTTTTCACGCTGGATGGTGTACCGGGCTGGTCCATCCAGATTTTTTTAGAAATTAATATCTCGATTATATTAAGGTTTTGACATATCTTCGATTATACTTCAATTCCACGTAACAAACAGCGGTTAAAACCGCGTAATTTGGTAGTAATCAGTTTTGTTAGGAAAGTAAACAAACGGAATATTTTCCTTATTATTATGTCTTTGTAAACTTAAATTGTCTCCTGACCTCATTGGACCAAGTGAGGTCAGGAGCTGATAAAAGTTTACAAGCACGAAATTACATTTCTTTTGTAGTGTCGCAGTTTGAGCCACTGCTGGTTACGCGCTACTGCAGTATCACCAGTAATATATTAGTAAAATACCAACTTTAAGGACACCCTGTATTATTTCAGTCGTAATTATAGAAATGAACCAAGTTAAATAGCATTTACAATCAACATGTTGGTATCAATGAATGGTCGCAAGAAATGTTACTTACCGGGATCTTCTCGTTTTCTAGTAGGAGTTGGAGGATGAGACGACGCATGAAGCCGGATATGCCATTGGATTGGAGGTAGATTACGTCGCAGAGCACTTTAGCCAGGCGGGCTTGGTTCGTCGGGTGGCAGAGGCAGCATTTTGACAGGAATTTCACGCATACCTGGTTAAGAAAGAAATATAAGTGAATCCGACGTTACAGTTTAATATACACATGGCGTCTATTAAATATACGAACACACACAAAGCTTGACAACAATGGCCAACACGCATTTTTTATTAATTGATGTTTGATACAAACAAAAGTGTCAATATAAAAATAAATAAATAAACGCATACTTATACAGGTTTTTACTAATAAGAACGGCTCGATGTTGGAACAGAACATGTTTTATATAAGATATCAACCCAAGGACCAACGAATTGACATCTGTCAATTTAGATTACAGAGATGACGTTTCTGGTGACAGAATCATCCTAATCGATCAGCTACGATATTCGACGTTTCTTAAGAGAAAAGATTCTCCGGGTTTAAGAAGCCAAGACTTGGAGTGGTTTTGCAATACAATGCAAAGTTGATAGATTTTTGATGGCCTAATAAAAACAACTTTTGTGTTTCTCGAGATACGAAGGAAATACTTTTCCTCTTTAGCCAAGATATCTTGAGAATAACAACAATTTGAAAACGGGCGAGCCATGGTTATTAGAACTAAAAACTACTATCCGTCCCCGCTTGATTTCTCTTGAACAAACAACCCCTGCGCGTAAGTTTACAAAACATCACTCACCTCTTCCAGCTGAACATGCGCCTCTGTCTGCAAATGCATCGTCGTCATTGCCGGCTTCTTGCACAGCCACTGCAGGATGTGCAACCAGAAGGACGATCCTTCTTCCGAACCCAGCCAATCGCGCATCGTCTTCACATCGCACACGTCGCTGAAGAACTGTAGGATGCTAGTGACGTTCTCCAGCTTCGCCATCGGTACCGCGGAGATGCCGTTTTCGGAACGGCAGAACTCAAAGATGGCGCCGTTCAGGAGCTTAGGGAGGCCGGAGTCCAGCAGCAGTTTTATTGCTGTTGGGGATCTGCTGACCTGTAGACAGATTTATATGTTAACGAAAGGTGGGGAAAAAACTAAATGCACAGCAAAACTCTTAAACTACTTCCTGATTTGACATCCTCTAACATAATAATTTTATCTTTGAAACAGACTATAACAAAAAAAAAAAAAATAGAATGGACTTACCAGAGCTATCGTCTCCAACTGTTCCCTCGACAAATTCAAAGTGGATAACTCCCCGATGCTGAGATGCCCGTACCACTCAGAATTAATTTCGAACAACCCACCCTTTGAATCATCCGTCATACCTTCAGAGTCTTTTCTGTCATCGCTTATTGAAGCGTCGTGGTCCGTCGTAAAGTTTGCCACCAAGGCTCCGACCTTGCAAAAGAAATAATTTTGCAGTTCATGGTTAATTATATCAATGATGAGGTTAAATAGGTCTCAACAGGTGACAATCGTGTAACACAACCATTGTTTGATTGAAAATTAATTTTGGGAACAAAAGTCGTACAACCGCGCGCTGTTCTCAATCTTCTCAATAAAAACGTTGGAATGCTAAAATTCCATCTTACCTTTTGCAACAGCAAGGAGAATAGCTCGGGCCTAATGTAGCACATTGCACATAGCAACGAATCCAATGCGTATTTCAGACTCATATTCTTCTCGGCGTTGACTTTGAGATTGTACACGTTCTCGAACAGCTCGGTGGTAACCAAGGCCTTAAGGTCGTATTGCACATCCGTCTCCTTCGCCGACCAAAGGATGGAAGCCATGGTAGATACGTAAGCGGCGTTACAATCGTCCGTGTTGCCGGTTTCCAGAGCTTTGGCTGCGGAGGTTTGCACCCAGTCCAGTATCATTTTCACACGTTGGTATGTATTGTGGTCCTAAAGATGATTAAATTTTAGATTATAGCGTTTAAGAGACATTGGTACTGCAGAGTTGTTTCTTTGAAACCACTGCCAATAATGTTAATGTTGAACCTATGGTGGACATGTCTCATCAATGATTATGGTCAATGCCCGGTATGATATTGTGCTCTTTTCTGGTCAAATATAACGGGTGCGTCATCTATTACTTTTTTCTATTTGAAAAATCAACACGCTTTTTACGAGGTGAAATCGAATTTTTTATTAATAAATGTAGGTTGGTTTATGTCATTTATGTATGAAAAATAACATCAGTCATGTAACCACCGCGGCTTCGTTTACAAGCCAACATCCGAACATCAACATTTTCAGTGACTTTTCCCAGAATAATCGGGTCTATGGCCGCAATTTCAGTCCGAATATTGCGCTTTAGGTGTTGAATTGTCCGGGGACCATTCGCATACACTTTTCCTTTCAAAAATACCCAAAGAAAATAGTCAAGAGGTGTTAAATCGCACGATGTAGGGGGCCAACTGACATCTGAATTTCGTGAAATTATGCGGTCTTGAAATTTCGTGTGCAATAAGGCGATTGTTTGGCGATATGTGTGAGCCATTGCTCCGTCTTCATGAAACCAAAGATCGTCGGCACCAATACGATCCAATTGTGGCCACAAAAAGTCTGTTAACATGCCGCGATAACGATCCCCGTTGACGGTAATGGCCTTTTCTTCGGCATCTTCAAAGAAGAATGGTCCAACGATACCACCAGCCCATAATCCGCACCAAACAGTCACTTTTTTAGGATGGAGAGGTTGTCCATGATATTGGTGTGGATTTTCAGCCCCCCAGAATCTGCAATTTTGCTTATTACGTACACATTGAGGTGAAAATGAGCCTCCTCAGAACAGAGCACTTTGGCCGAAAATCCGTCTTCTCTTTCCAGCATCTAATTAAGAAAAACACGCCGCTGTTGATGGTCTGCCGTCAATTCTTGTGTTAGGTGGATTCTGTATGGATGGAGGTGTAAATCAATGTGTAAAATCCGGCGTAAAGTGGTCTCACTAATTCCCAATAGTTGCGAACGGTGCCTAGTCGAAGTGGTTGGATCTTCTCGCATACTTTCACTCACTGCGGCTATGTTTTCACGAGTACGAGCTGGACGAGCATGTTGGTATGGTCTGCGACCTTCAGCTGAACCAGTTTCCTCAACACGATTAATAATCCAACGAATTCCAGACTCTGTAGGGCGTCCATGTCAGCCAAAACTTGTGCGAAGTTTGCGAAAAGTATTTTTTATATTTCGACCGTTTTCGTAATAAGTTTGGATAACCAAAATGCGTTGTTGTGTTGTAAACAAATCCATGACTATAAATGGCAGACCTTTGAGAGTTCATTTATGCATACAACATGACTTTTGACTCGCATGGAACACATAAACTTATAGGTAAAAAAAAGTAATACATGGCGCATCCAGTAGAAGCATTGGTAAATAACACATCAAATATTTGTTATGATTGGGTTACCTGATGCTCGCAAATCTGATATAGTAACTCGCAAGCTGACTGATAACCTGTAACGTTCACCAGCCTATCCTGCCAATTCCCGTCAAATGCTACCAAAGGCTCCATCACGCCCGGTCGACTATCTAACAATACTTTTATTGTCTGAAAACCATTTTCAGGACTGTGTAGTGCTAATTCTCTCAAAACCTGAAAAAATATCAATGTTTCAAATACCGATTACGTCTCCTATCTGCTTTTAAATATGAATTACATAATAGCACTTTTATAACCCAAGGGGCGTACAGTCAAAGGATATAATGTGCGAGACCAATAGTAGCCTTCACAAAATTTTTGATTTTATATCGCGATCATGGCGTGTAGTGGCATGTAGTTCCATCCAAGGGAAGTAAGGTGAAAATCTTTTTTGTTAACATTAAAAGCAGTCATTAATTGTGATTTATCGGGTTAGTAGTGATAAAAAGAAACAATTTAAATGCAAAACATCTAATAATACGTTGAAATGGATGTAAAATATGTTAAGCCTTACCTTTTCTAGGCACGGAAGATACACTGGCAGTATATGAGACGGTACTAATAAGAGACCGCAACAGGTGGTCAAAAGATGGGGAACATTGGACGCTGCATCTATAATATCTTTCCTCAATTCCATATCTGTCACAGCCGTAAAACAGTGATGCAGCAATCTCAACCTGAAAAAAAAAAAACGATTTTGATACTACGGACATATCGCGTATTTCAACTTCGACCTTCACCATTGGGGCCTCGGAAACGGTAATAAATGGGAGAAAAGTTGCACATTTAGGTAATTACGAAAGTAGCACTTAGATATTTTCGCAATCCAGAGTATTCTCGAAGATAAACGAAATAAATTTTATCTTCACAATATCGTTTTTATTTTTTATTGATTATTTGAAATAGGACACCAAAACACACACATTAATATTGTCCCTTTTTCTCCTCTACGAAGTGGCATGATTAGAATTTCAATCTGATGTTTTGTCTCTAATGTTCAACCATGAAACTGAAACTCTCAGTACACAAATATCCTGACACGGGTTTACGACCATTCAAATATAATTGTGGGCTCGAGACTGGGTAAAATATATCTATGATTAACCATCTTTGATGTGACAATTCCAAAATGTTTGAATTGCGAACATTTTTTACTACAATCTAAAATGAATCTAAGGACATTCTAAGAAAAAACTTCACGATAACGATACTTCGTCGCTTATGTCAAATGCACTGATGTATCAAATATAAAAGATAGTACCATCATAAAATGAAGTTATCTCGAAAGTAGTTAGACCAACCGATTGTCTCAGAAAGAGGGTTATGTTTTTCGCGCGCGACTACAGTCCGAACAGCTTGATGGATTTTGACGCATGAAGTGTCGTTGCATTCGTCTTGGCAGTGTGAGTGTCACGGGATATACTAAAATTTTATAAAATCAAAATACCGGATGTTTAACGGCCTAGAAATTTCTATTTCATGGTTTAATCGATTTTGACATTTGAGTCCTCCGGGGCGGAAGTGTTCAGTGTCCCGTCGGACGGAAATGGCTTTGAATTTTATGGCTTGAAGAGCTTGCGAACATACGAAATGTCTCTAGATTTGTCTTGATAATATGAGTGATAGTGAGTATACTAAAATTATATACAATCAAAAACTGAATACCTGAAACGACCATTTCAAGGCATACAGTCCAAACAGCTTGCTGTATTTTGACATTTGATAGTACAACTAAATCCTCATTCTTTTCGGTGTACTGCAGTCGATTTGTTTTTTTTTAAATGTACTTGTTTAAAAACATTTATTGTGATCATTGTAACTACTCACCATCCCAGACTATGCTTGCAATGCGCCTCGTCATCAGATTCAGCATTTTGCGTCAAACTTCCACCAAAAGCGTAGTTCCCCAGCAATCTGATTTGCAGCAAACCAACTCCGTTTGCATCGTGTGGTCGATACAGCCTGATCAGGACACAGTTGACCACTTTTGGCACAGGTAGATGCATGCGAATGTACGTTAGGCCGCTGGTAGGCAATGGTAAACAGGCTGGAACCAATCTTGACGGTCCGTTTGCAGATACCTGAAAAAAAGTGGCGTTTACAAGCCGCTATAAATATAACGAAGCGACAGTTTGGCACAGGAAATCGTTTTGGCAATTTGCACATGCATCCTTTACACGAGCCATTCAATAATGCCAGTGTTTCTTGCCATGAAAGCTTGTTGTTCCGCCATGAAAGGAATTGGCATTTCCAAGAGGATAACTGTCAAATATTGCGGAGGAGGAGACTAGAGGGATAACTTTCCTTCCACAACAAAATTCGAGAGAAAAGATTGAAAGTTTTATTTTCTATTCGGTGCCCATAGACGAGCATTCTTCCCCTTCTTTCAATCATTCCAGTCTTTTCTGTGACAGGTTCATTGTTCCGTCACAAGAGGAATAAATAAACGACAATCTTTCCGATAAGGTTATCACAGGCACATATCCGTACTGAAGTAACACATTTTCCTACTGTCATACATTCCGGAAGGAAATGCTCAAACGATTATTTTCCTTCCCTAACAAAATTCAAGAGGAAAAACTGAATTTGATTTTCCACTCACATTTGTGACATGAAAGAAGCACAGGAAAGTACGCTCGTGTGTGAGGTACAAAAGTCCGATATACTCAATCGGTAAATAGGAAGCTGACAGAATTATCCAGAAAAGCCCCATTAATTTATAAAAAACAATGTAAATAAGGGAATTGAAAGTAAGAACTTAGGAATGGATTACCTCCAAAGCAACATACGAAGGGCACGTCGCCAGGCTACCCGCGTGAGGTTGCAATTGCACTTCTCGTAGTAAGATGGCGCTTGGAAGTTGTAGTATCAACTCGGTATGCACTTCTTCCGGGTAGAAGTGGTACGACCACAGGGGAGTTCGGGCCCTCCTATGATTTACGCCCGCTAAACCTATAAAAAATCAAATAAGTGTAAGCCATTAAGCGCATAAGTCTGTGCAAAAATTTGAAAACAAGTGTGGCTTCTTCCCCAATTCGCTACAAACGAGGATCTTTCTACTGGGCCCACATCGACGTTCATACAACGGGCCCTTGTACGAGATAAACAAACCTTTATGTCGCGGAATGGAAACATCCAGAAAAACGGTCTGAATACATTCACGGAGCAGCATCAACTACCGTAAACTAATATAAAATCAATCAGTTAGTTATTGCTATAGGAGCGTGTCATTTGTTAGTGTTTTTTAATCCGATTTTGTTTGTATGTTTGCTCAGATTTGTTCAGCAATAATGCTACAATGTCAATTTTGTATAATTATTCATTTACACATTTTCTGAATCAATTTTCTGTAATTTGATATTCTTGTCTATAAGATTACATCACTATGCATTTTGGGCATTCATAACGCGATTTTTTAATTTCACCTTATACATTTTTAAATTCGAACACTGTTTAATATCATTATTCGATTTATTAAATTCAAATACTCCCATTTGAAACACAGATTTGCTAGTCATGCTACTATTACAATTTTGCAGATGAAAATCAATACTGCTCTAGATTCGTAATTATGATAATCACTATTTAATTTTGTGAAGTTTTCTAAATGTGGTGGTAATAAATGAATTTTTAATCTGACTATGCAAAAGAGAACTTTTACATTCAAACTGATCGGTTTAGCTAAATGGCACGCGACGCCTGTATTAAATACTGCCGTATTTCGTATATTTTCACCTGATCTCTTGCTGCACAGGACTGGATTTGACATCGCAGATTTATCAGGGACCTAACAAGTCGGTTATTTTAAGACTTTATATTACTAGGACGACGTCATTTCTTTACAAGAACTACACCCCACTTTTAAAAACATCCTATACATTTTCCTAACCCTTTTCGGCTTATCCATCTACTAACAAACTTACCTTGTATGAGCACGTCAGCTGGTTGCGCAGTATTCGACTCGCACGTGATCGTACAATACTTCGCAAAGTTGACCAATGCCATCTTGTGCTCAATGCTCGCTTGCAGCATCTTCTTGGAGGCGGCTGGCGCCTGACACGCGAAGCCGCTACCTGCCACACCCGAACCGGTACTTGCTCCGCCACTAGCGTCAGTGGCAGCTGTATAGGGCCCGCCCCCTGATTCAGCGGAGCTGCCTCCACCGCCTGCGCCGGCCCCCACGCCGCCGCCACTGAAGTGCTGCATAACGGCGGCGATGGTGCCGGTGCGAGGCAGGATGCTTGGGGAGCTGCTGCTGGATATGACGCTGTTCGAGAGGATCGTTACGCCACCTAGGTAGAGGTTTTAGATTAAAGGTAACGCTACAACCAAGGTCTCGCCGACCGCTGTGATATCTATAAAAATATGATATAAAAGCAGCGGTACGCGATAGATACTCAAATTGATTTCAATCAATTACAACACGTGCAATTTTAAATATCTACATTTTTATGTTTTACATCGGCATGAAAAACTTGGGGCATATGCGAATATACATGACCTTTTGAAAACGATCCAAAATAAATTAAGCGTATATACGATTTACCATATACGGAACCAACTGACACATTATACAGATAAAAAAAATTATTACACACTGATTCTATTTATCGTTTCACTTTCCAAAAAAAGTGGATCTGTCCATATGTACGTATACACAATCTGACACAATAATGTCATCACTAGACGTTTTAAATCTCAAATAGCTGGAAAAAGCGTCTCAACTATATAATAGACTTCCTGAGTATTCAAAACAAATAAAACACCCTCGATATTTCAAAATAAAATTAGACAAATATTTATTGTTTCTATAATATAATGATGATATTGGTATTAATAAAGTTGTTATATATTTAATAACAGGTCGTCCATATAATTAGGTTTCTTTAAAGTGACGGTCCAGCCACTAGAAAATTAAGAATATGAAATGATAAAACAATGAAAATACCACGGCATTTGTGTAGAGAACATTTAAATCTTTAAACAGTGCAGGAAATCATCAAGAGATTATATTATATGAACATGAAAGCAATAAAGCGCCAACTTATTTTAGCAAATTTACGTTGAAAATATCTGGGCATGCTAACATATGACACAGGATCAAAAGACAATTATTACGAGTATATAGAAAGGTTCAAAAGCAGAACACTGGAAAAGGATCTGTTTGATGAAGGTTTAAGACTTTATAATGGTTTACCACTAGTTGAAAAAAGCACAAAATGTAAAAATATCTAATTAAGGACTTTATATTTTAGATCCAAGTAATATGTGGCGTTTATGTTTGTGTTAATGTAATAAACACTTATTATATATATATATATATAACAAAGACCATCTCTGAAAATTGTATGCACTTACCAGCTTCGTGGAACTTTTTCACAGTCTCTTCACTATCCAACACCACTTGTTGTACAAACCACAGTAGCGGCTCGCTTAGCTGTGGCGTCTGTGACAGAAACGCTAGCAATGGCTCAAGCAGCAATTCCTTTCTAGAAGCCTTTCTCGCCAGCAATCCTAACAGATGAAAAACTGCATCAGCTACAGTGTTTGGTTCGCTCAGATTGCTAAACGCCACCTAGAAACGAAATTAAGTTTGCAACATGTAATTCGTAGACGATGGAGCTTTTCAGTTATCATTTTTGAAATTTTAGCCAACCAAGGATTCTTACAGAGCGACCCCAAAATGGAAATGAAAAAAGCGGGGTGGTACGTTATGAAGACATGCGAACATTATTTATTTATTACCATTTACGCATTCATGACGTTTTCCAGAACTAATGATAGTTCCTTGGATTTTAAAAAATTTTAAAGAATTTCTAGAAAAAGTTACTTTTCTACATTTGACCTGTAAGTGTTGAAGGAGCCAGTTTTCGGTGATTACATAAAAAACTGGAAAATCGAACAAAAAAATCGTTCACTACAGATGATGGTCAACCAATCCATCCAAAAAGGATTATCCAGCTGGCAACGTCACCTTTACCTGCGACTAAATGAGAATAGCCGTGCTTAGACGCCGTAAGCTGTTTTTGGGAGTCATCTCTTATCTCTCTCTAATTTAATTCGGCTTGTTTAACTGTCTTATTTATATATCTACTCGTTGCTCTAGAGTAGCCGCGAATGCAAAACCTAAATACAAGAGTGCCGCGATACCTATGCCGTTAAGAAGTTGAGCTCTGGATACGAATTTTCAACTGAAACAAACTTGAGAACCTGAGATATATATATATATATATATAACTTGAGACGTGGTCATTGTCGTCTAGACAAGTTAGGAGAAAAATAAAGCTTCCGCCTTTAGTTGGATACTTCGACAAAATTCAAGCAATTAGTACTCTTTATACTTTATTAGTCTCTAGCTTTCAATGGACTATGCCATCATCAACAGGAGCTGCAATAACATTAAGAAGAACTAGCAACTATTGTGCAAAATGATTTAAAATTACAATTTTTTTTAAATTTTCGTTCCATCCATAGACACTGACACTACCAGCCTTCTGTCATCTGTCAAATGCTTCATTCTACTTATGATCCTGTGCCACACCATTTTGTGCAGCATCAGGTTGTTTCACGATGTAACATGTAATAATTTTAACTTTCGTTCCAAATATTTTTAATCCGTTTTTAAGTGATCCTGACATACAGCTGTGTGTATTTTATACTAATTTTAACGAATGTACCATGGATCCAGCTTTCACCAGGTTACTAAACGTTTCCCTCAACTTAACCTTTAATAACATTTAGCAACAATCTCACATACTATTGTAAGTAACTTAAAATCATTTTGCACATTAGTTACTAGTTCTTCTTAATGTTATTGCAGCTCCTGATGATGATGGCATAGTGCATTGAAAGCTAGAGATTAATAAAGTAAAGAGTCCTCATTGCTTGAATTTTGTCGAAGTACCTATAGCTAAATGCGGAAGCTTTATTTTTTACCTATATATATAAAAAGCTACCGCGACATACTACCGTTCTATAAATTAATTTTTATTACCTTTTGCGAAACATTAGCTAGCATACAAAGTGACGAAGACTTACAGGCCGCCAAGCACCTGCAAAGCCTGACGACCGTCGGTCTGTGTTGCAAAACAACGTCCGCAAAACAGGGCTGTTGACGTGTAGGTGGGGCCGGGCTGTTTTCCTGTTGCTGCTGCTGTTGTTGTTGTTGCTGCTGTTGCTCGGCAGCCTTACTCTCGTCTGTTTGAGAAGTGACCGGTGGTGAGGATTCCGTCTCCATCGCATCCTGAAACAAATGTCAACTTAAAGCGTGTACATAGTCCCAATGTACTGTGATAGCCAAAAGCAAGTAACCAAATAGGTGAATATCCATATTTCTGCTGAACAGTTTACCAATACACATATTCAATAAATTAAAATACTTACGGTTTGATCGGGTAAAGGCGTGTGCACTAATTTACCCATCAGCTTTAACATCAAAATCAACAAATCCTCATATGATACAGGTCTATCCTGCTTATTGGCATCGGAGCCCAAGACACTGGCGAAAATTTCACTAAACGAATTAGAAGACATTGTCTGTTTTTCTCCTATCGATATACACTTAACTTTTTCTCTATTCAACACGTAATTATGAACTAAGGACGCTGAAATGAAAAAAAAAAACAAGTCAAATTCACTCAGTATGATCTACGGATATAGGCATGAATTACAAGGTAGGGAAAGGCACAGCCTTAAGCAGTTACTTTGCCGTATTTGAAAGTGGCTGTTCCCAAATTTGTTTAAATAGTGCAAATTCTACAAAAACGAACTATTGATACAGTAGCAGACAAAAGCTTGGAAACAAATATTAACATTATTATGAATTATTTCATATACCTAAATACAAATTATGAAGGAACAGATAATATAAATATTAAAGTCTACCTTTGACTCCCGTACTAATACAAGGTCTATCCTATCAATATTCAAATTCTCTGAAAATAAGAACATGCATGTCTTTGAATACCACAGTTTTTGTAACGACAAAAGTATGGAGACATTTCAGTTTTGCCGTATTTATTCGTTCTGCGATACTCTGATATTTCGTGCGGTAAATAATAAGATCAGTGAGAATGGCAAAAGTAATTTTCAAAAGATTTAAGAGACCAAGTAATTGAATTATTTAGACGTGGTGTCAGAAATGTTGACATTTATCAAAGATTAAAAATGAACAATGGGTCGATTTCGAAAATTATTAGTAAATATCAAGAATACGGATCAACAGCAGCGCGGCACAGATGCGGAAGACCGAAAGAAAAACGATTAGGTTTTGGATTGCTACATTAAACGTTTGTCCCATGAAGATCCTCGAATGCCAGCCACACAAGATGTTCAAAAGAACCGTAGAAAAGGTGCGGAGAATCTTTCTGTCAGAACAGTGCACAGACGCTTGGTGGATTTTGGGCTTTTTGGTAGGCGTCCAGTGCAAAAGCCTCTCGTTTAAAAAAAATCGTATTGCTCGGCTTGAATTTGCTAAAACTCATCCAACTTGGACAGAACAACAATGAATTACAGTTTTATGGAGCGATGAAAGCAAATTTAACTTGTTTGGATCTGACGGTACGGCATTATGTGAGACATCCAATACGAAAAAGATTTGAAGTATGAGTTGTCAACAGTTAAGCACGGTGGAGGCAACATCATGGTTTGCGCTGTTTTTCTAGTTCTGGAACGGGTCCAATTGTTAAAACTGTTGGGAAAATGGATCAAAAATTTTACAAAGATATTCTTGGTGAAGAGATGCCTTCACGATGGACATTCCAGCAAGATAATGACCCGAAGCATACCTCAAAATTCCTAAAGGACGGGTTCAGACTAAAAAATGTTAATGTTCTTACATGGCCTTCGCAATCCCCGGACCTAAACCCTATAGAACATCTCTGGCGGCATGTTAAAAGACAACTGACAAGAAAAGCTTTTAAAAATAGAACTATTTATTTGATTATGTAAAAAATATTTGATAAAATATCCCAACAGACGTCTGTAAAAAATTGGTGTCTTCTATGAGCAGCAGATATCAGGCAGTGTTGAATGCTAAAGACTATGCTACCAAATATTTTTTAAATCTTTTTGTTATCGTATTTAATTTTGTAATAAAAAATATGTTTCCATACTTGTGTCGTCTCAAACATAAATTGTCGTATCCTCAAGACTCTAAGCAAACTATATGAGAAAAAAATAGTCCTTAATAATAAAGAATAAAAAATTTTAACTTTTAAAAAATTACTAAGAATGTTTCCAAGCTTTTGTCCGCACCTATATATAACAAAAAGCAATACTAGAGCTACATGCAGGGCTTCTGTTGTAAATCTTAAAATAATGACTGTCGTATCATTGTTCATTTTGGAAACAGCAACTCTGATTTTAAAAATAAATCTAAATTTCAAACAAATACAATAGACGAAAATAAGATCTTAAATTAGTAGTACCTAAATCAACACTTCTGAAAGAACCAATAATGTATAATGGTCTGAAAATTTACATGTATCTCCCTGATGCTATCAAAATCAAAGATATTCCGCCGTAAACTTAACTTTTTAATATGTAAATCATACTAAACCGTGCGTGAGTTCTACACTTCACAAGCATGTATCTCTAGCTCATCATTAAACCTACGGGGCGTAAAATGGAAATGTCCAGAAAAACGATCTGAATATACTCGCGAAGCTACAGTAGCATTTTGAAGACGCTCACTTAAAACTATCAGTGAACATCGTATCTTATGTCATTTTCGGTTTTAATGAAATTCGATTTACAAACAGCTGGGTTGATTACAGGACGCTCGGGTACGAGTAGAATACTGACGCAGGCCGCATCTTTTCACCTATCATTCGCTGGACATATAGGGCTGCACTAGGAAATGCAGATTTTTTTGGAAACTATATTGTCTACTTTAACGGCCACGAGAATATGCTTATTTTTAGAATAACTAAGTCGTGTGAATGAAACTCCCAACCTTATAAACACCCTGCATTAGAGATTGAAAAAATATTTTTATTGATACTCAGACACAAATAGAAATTTACCTGTGCTCTCCAAGGTGCTCATCGCAATGCTAAGATCCGTATTGGTGAAGTCCAAATAGGACATCGTCTGTAACAGTTTGCATTGGGCGTCCAAGGGCCCCAGCATCGATGCTATGGAACCAGATGGCTGCGCCAACTGATAGACCACTTTCAGCAGCAACGTCTTCAACAAGTTGCCTAATTTGCTCGAGGAACTAACTATATCACATCTCATTTGTAATCTCACTAAGAAGTCGTGCAGGGCTTTGCACAGCGTAGGTCCAGCCTGAAGAAAAAATTAGTAAAACAAACTGCTCCAGTATTAAATACGAGTATATCGGTATTATAAGCCGAAATTCCAATATCCTATATGCGAAAATGGACTGATGTAACCACCAAATACAAAAAATATAGAGCTATTTATTTACATCCGGATTTTTGCAGACATCTCCTTGGAAATTTGCCATTTTGCTTGTCCCTCAGTGGAGGGCAGTAAATCTCTGAAAACGATTTCTAACTACAGTAGGTAATCAGTATCTTAATAAGTTAACCGCGGGTAAAGGGTACATATGTACTTAGTAATTTATCTTCCATGACGTGATGACAAAAGATATTTGTTATTACGTCATTTTAGAAAAAATGCAATATGACAACTAGTTGGTCGATCCGCACGGCTACTATGTAAAAAGCCTATAAAACGCCAAAAAAAAAAAAACAATAAAATGTCATCTCGCAGACTAGGTAGTTTTTAGGGTGCAAATAGTTCAATTCCACGTTTGCTCGCTATGATCGCTGTAAGCGTCCATCTATAGGGGAATGACTCAACTACCCGCATAGTTGGTTGCAGAAAGCAAGTATATGTTTTGAGAAGCCGGGTAGTCTGTAGAGAATATGTGAAATAAAGAAAGTTGGAAGAATAGGAAGATCGCTTCTGGATGATTGTGCATTGGTCTGTATAGGTATAAAATCAGTCATATTTGCTGCGTGAGAAAATTATTACTGAATGTGCTGCCAATGAAGTATATATATTAGCTGTGCCCAACGGGTTATTTATAAGTTGTCCTTTTATTTTTTCAAAAACTATGAGGAGCACTACGCCCGCGTTCTGTGCCAAACATTGATAACTGAAGCATCATGACGTTTAGGCAACACATACGACTACAAAACGAGTTCACAACAAGTGTCTATCAGCTAAGGCAAAGTTAACCTACATAATGTCACAAAAAACAATATAATGTCAAAATAATATCTGTGCCTGAAACCACAACAATTGACAACGTCGCAACATAGCTACCGTAAAAGATGCGTAAGTGCTTCATTCATATTTCGAATGTGACATTGTGAGTTTTCGTGTTGCGGAGTAACTTGTCATGCGAATTTTCATTATTTTTATCTGCAGTACTTTTTTGAGACGCACTGCCTATGCTACGCCACTGGATCGTAAGCTTGCAAATCATACGTCCCCCAAATGAATTAAAAGCCCATATTTTTAGTAGCCCGTGGAGGTAACAATTACAAAAACTAGTTTTGCCACTCGCCTAACCGATTTGTGCGTCCTATCCTTACAATATTCAACAATGCTATTTTTATTAATAAGTTACTACTAACTTGACTTACCAAAACTTTTCCATTAAAAACGGGACCCGTACCAGATAGCAGGTTCAGAAACATCTGAACTAGGTCAGGATGGTTGACAATCGTGTTCGCCATTTCTGACAAATCGAACCACTTTTTTCCATTGGTGACATTACACACCAGTGTCAGCGTCTGAAGACCTAGGCACCACGTTGTTATGGACAGACCTGTATGGAAATTGGAATATGTTAATTATTGTCTTTATTTTATATGTAATACAAATTGTCAATAAGATGATGATAAAAATTATAGTAAATGTATCTATACTACTTCAAAGGTCATTTGGCAACGCTGTACTTACCAGGTGTCCAAGCGAAAGCGCTAATCAGATAGTTGACAGAACTGCAGTTAAGTACGATCTGTGGCATGACGGCTGGTGTGAAATGCTCCCTCGCATTTGAGCTGTTGCCGTTACCACTCGCTGGGCAATTCAAGGTCAGCCATAGTTGCAGAACATGCTCGATCTTAGAAGGTTCCTGGTTTTGGAGGTTCTCGAATAATGACGCGAAACAATAGGTCAGGATCTTATGGTTGCTTAGCGAGGATTCGTCTGGCATCACCTCCACCTGAAAAAAACGTATAATGAATTGACAAATTGATTTCTGAACCTAACCGCTTTACAAAGGTTGTCTATTGCCATCCGATTCGTGTTGAGAAATAAGTGACAACAATGACGGTTGACAATCTTACGATGTAATTCAAATATCGGTTATTTTTATTGACAACCCATATTGCTACAGAACAACACCTTCAACATTATTATATACCTAAGCGCTATGAAATTAAAACTAATAATATAAAATGGAAAAAATACGGAGCAAATTTAAAATGTCGGAACGCAACGCTTTGTTGATCCGTCTGTCTGATTTAAAATTGGCAAGCCTTTGTTCTCAATGTCACTGATTGTGAACCTGTCAGTTTGATCAGTTCGAAAAAATTGTTATTTATCGGATTGTTTTTATCTTTCTTAAGTATTTGATACCACAAACTTAATTCTTGACGTCAGTCGGATAATCTTTACTTTACGTCAGATGAAGTAAGGGAAGTGGAAGCTGCAAGGTGATACATATAGTTATTTACACTATTTTCCAACTTTCAAATGTAATTTGTATAATACATAACCTATAAAGACTCGCCAAGAAGCGAATAAAAAACAATCAAGTGACATTTTGGGGACGGTGATGTCACTGCGAAGCGAGCCAAAAATAAATCAACGTCAATAATCGATACAAAATACAAAAAGAAATTATGATTATTTCCTGTTGCTGAATTTTTCGTTTTTTAATTGTAGCGTTATCAAAACTAACTTTAAAGTCAATATACAAAGTTTATCTATATGCCTGCATTTCCAATGCAAGACAAAATATACTGACATGCGTTGGCCAAGGGTTCAGCTGCGTAATCGTCTCAGCTTGCGACTGCTCCGATGTCACGTTCTGCAGCAGTTCTTTCGTATGCTTTATTATCAACTTCTTCAGCGTGACTTCGCTGCCAGCTTGCACTCCCAATTCCAGCCTGGAATCCATGGCGCAGGAAAGACTTGAATTTCCAACAGTTCCGGCATTTTTCTGCGTCTTCATGGCAGAACACCAGGCCTTCAAAACGTCAATAAAGAACTATATAAAGATGAGGTTATTGCACACAATAAGCATTTAGAAGTTCCATAAGGGTTTGTTCTCGAACTAGTTAATTTCTGTTATATACGAATGTGATTTCAGAATAAGACGAAAATGTGAAAGGTGTTATTCTATGTGTAATTTTCCAAAAAAATACAGGAAGTGTGTCACGGACTGAACCCAATATAACAAACACTGATGATGCGTTGTAACGTGTCGTGCTGGAAAGGCCTTTATTTTAGCTTTAGTGAAGCCAAGCTCGACACTTTTCTACTCAACTTTGCAGATGATACACTAATATACATATCAGATGAAAATATAGACACTGCTTTAAAAATGCTAAATTCTGACAACAAAAATCATAAATTGGTTAAATGTAATCAAACTAAAATTGAATGATTCTAAAACAAAATGTATGCTAATAGGGAAAAAAAATGTTTGTTCATTTTTTTCTTTGTTCTGTTTACTTTGCGACAGACCTTGTAAAGTCTACTTGTAATTTAAATATTTTTAAAAGAAAATTAAAGAAATATTTCATGGACAATGAAAATTCTTAGAGATGCAAAATTAGTTTTTCTAAATGCCTGTATCTTATGTAATTGGTGTAGTTTTTTAAAAGAATGTAATTGTAGTAATCATGCTAAATAAATATTAAACAAAAAAACGAACTTAGGACCCAAACGAAAAGAAAATACATAATCATCATAATCATAATACACTATAGACTCATAGTATAGTGAAAGGCATTTAACTAGTATACTGTGTACTGCCTATCCTATAAAACAGTGTGTTCCATTAATGATGGAGAATTAGAGACTTGACCGGTTCTTGTACCGAAGTTTTGAATTAGATGCATGTAATGAAGACCGAAAATAAAAAAGATGTCGAAAATAAAACTCAAGGAAAGGTCCAAAGAAATATTATCTACGTACCTTTTCAAATCTGATGTCAGCCAGGAAGTCATCAAAGTCCGAATCTTCGGATTCGTAGACAGAAGGTAATGGCGGAAAACTGTTATTGTTAACTATCGAATTGGCTTTTGGCGGTTTTATTAGAGCAGCGCCGATATTAAGGACTTCATCGATGTTGAAGGAGTTTGCTATGCTGTCCGTCTCTGACGCATCTAAAACATATCCCATTAACAGTACGTTTTTTTTAATAGTTCTCGGTAAGTTTTGAAAGTGCATGATTTGATTTTATCACTACCAATCTATACTACATGGCACCTACATTTACTTAAAATTCAGTCTTATTATTGCTATAAAAAGTAAAGTTACCATTCGGGGACCACAATATCGGTGTGGCGTTTTCAGTTTCCATTTCGGTTTCTTCCGATTTAGTACATCCTAAATCAAGAACGTCCTGTAGAAAACAAGCTAAAGCAAATGGAGCCCATGGTATTTTACAGGATATACAAAAGTTGATCAGGTCCAAAAGTTGATTCTCCTTCAAAAGCTGCCCCATATGAAGTTTCGCTAACGTCACCAGCTTAGCTATCACCTAAGAAATGAATTTTGATACTGAGATTTAACAAAAATCGCTTTCCAGTTTTTTGGATTAAGGCAGGTTTATCCAAGATTTTATGTTATCATGTAAAGAGGTGGAAAGCTGCATTTGAAATTAGGTACAAATGAGTTGTTATATATATATATATATATATATATATATATATATATATATATATACAGCAGACGCTCGATAACGTAAACACGGGATAATGAAAACTTGCGCTAATGTAAACGCAAACTTCGTTCTATAGGATCAAACGGAACGCGCGATAACGTAAACAATGTGTACGCTCGATAACGTAAACAACTCTCGGCGCACGGAAACAGCGCGACGGTAAAATGCTGAAGCCTCGATGATTTATGTCGGGCGTCGAGGAGTCCCCGATTTATATATTATTATATTTTACGACTATGGCATCCACATCCTATAAAAGAAAGTGTTTAAAGTTGAGTGAGAATGTGAAAATCATAGACGAAGTTGCACTAGGTGCGGGTGTGACACAGTTAGCAAAAAAATATGGAGTATCGAAAGCAACGATCTGTAAAATTAAGAGTATGAAAACTCAAATTTTACAAAGAACGTGCAATACATTCGGAGGTCCGGGAAAAAGAAAAACTTAAAAAAATGCGAAGGCACGTAAAATGGAAAATTTCCTTCCTGTATAAGTGGTTTTTAAAACAACGGGAAAATCATGTCCCAGTTAGTGGCGAAGTACTTAAACAGAGAGCGAGACTGTTGAATGAAAAACTGAAAGAAACTGAAAATTTCGGAGCTAGTGATGGCTGGCTACAACGATTCAAAACAAGATATGGAATTCGACTGTCTATATCTGGTGAAAAATTATCAGCACAACCACAATTAGTGCAACCATTCAAAGAAAAATTGATGATAACAATTACCGAGCTAGATTTAAGAATGGAACAAATTTACAACGCAGATGAAAGTGGCGTTTATTAGAAAATGTTACCAGAGAAAACCTATGCTGCATCATTTGAAAAATCTGCCCCGGGAAGAAAGCCGGAGAAACAACGAATAACGTTTCTAGCCTGCACTAATGCTAATGGTTCACACAAAATAAAGCCACTGGTAATTGGGAAAGCAAAAAATCCGCGCTTATTTAAAAATGTTAATATCCCTGTTGATTCAAAAACCGCTTGGATGACTAGCAGTATATTCCTGAAATGGTTCCACAGGTGCTTTGTCCCTCAGGTATGACAATCAATTATCACAAATGCTCTATTCATAATTTGACGATGTGTATTCAATTTGTAGGTAAAAGGTTTCCTAAAACAACAGAAGCTTCCAATAAAAGCGGTTGTTACTATTGGATAATGCACCAAGTCATCCTCCCGAGCAACAACTGAGGAGCAGGGATGGGTCAATTTTCGTCATGTACATTCCGCCCAACGTAACACCGTTAATTCAACCGATGGACCAGAATATAATAAGACTCACCAAACTATACTATAGGAAGTTTCTACTTTCGTCTGTCTTATCAAAGAATCCTGAAAACTTACCTGAGGCTTTAAAAAAAGTAACATTACGAGAAGCTGTTTTAGATTTACATATGGCCTGGAATGAACTTAACCAGCAAACTATTCAAAAATGTTGGAACAATCTCTTTTGTACCAATAATGAAGATGATGAAGAAGACGATCTCCCCTTAAGCGTAATTAGAGAACGTTTGCGATCCAATAATGATAATGTTATTAGTGTGTCATTGGATGTTGTTGATTTATTGAAAACAGTGAAGCCCAACATTGTACTCCTGCTGATATTAATTTATGGAACGAAGATAAGGAGACGAATGATGCTGATAAGGAGGAGGATACGGACAGTGAGGATGATGAGAACGATCCCATTGAAGTCAGAAGTGTAGTGACTGACGCGCAAGCTATACAAATTTTTAACCAAGCTTTAGATTGGGCTAAAAGAAAAGAAGTTTCATACACGGATATTTTAGTTCTTCGTAAATTACGGGCGCAGGCATTGGAAGACAATGCTAAGCGCAAATTTACGCAGTCAAAAATTGTTAATTATTTTTCTTCTAATTAAAAAAATACTTATCGCTTAGAATATTTGTTTATTTTGTTATAAACAGTATGTATTAAAAGTTTCTTTTAATAAATCAAATATTATATAAATCACGTTCGCTAATCTAAACATTTCGATAAAGTGAACCACACTTGGATTAAATTAGTTTACATTATCGAGCGTCTGCTATATATATATATATATATATATATATATATATATATATGTATATATATATATATGGTATATAAAACCTGGTGGCTCTTTATTAGGCAGTGTTCTCATTCAAGCAACTAGACTTCAACCCGATTCCGACTTGTGAATTGGTCAAGCATTTGGAGTTTTTCAACAACAAAAAAATACCACATATACTGATTGACTGATCATTCGATAAAATTTGTCAAAACTAACACCATGCGATAATCGTTATTTGTGAAATACGTTACTTATACGCTATTCTTTCAATTTTTTAAGAATACGAATAGTGATTTATATTCCGAATTCTTACTAGTGTTTCACAACCTCAAAACGAGTCGAAATCGGATGAAAGTCGAGATGCTTGGTGAGAACAGTGAGTCAGTTTTTTCAGAATATTTTTTGAGATGCGCCTTACCTTGAAACATAGCAACATAAGATCCGCGCTGCTAGAATGATCCATTGAAAGCACCAATTGCAACAACCCTTTAGCCACCACAAGACAATGCGTTTGGTCGGCACGTTGTGGTATCTTCAATGTTGAGGTGCGAGAGTCCTTTGACGATTCCTAGAAACAAAATATATATATATAAAAATACATACGATTCAAACTGTTGGTTTATAGCACAATATGTTTCAACTCGGTGTTCTTTTTGAACCCGAGGAACAAACTTGGCAGAAACTATTTTCATTCCCAAATCTTCTGTTAAAATTCGCTGAACCGAACTCCAGGTCAACCCACTACTTACGGATAGTCGATTAATTGTCAGTCAACGCTCTGCAAGCACAAGCTCTCGAATTTTCTCAAAATTTTCGTCGATTCGGGCAGTTGATGGACGTCCAGAGCGAGGTTTGTCATCAATCGACATGTCGCCATTTTTAAATCGAGCAAACCACTCGTACACCCGAGTTTTTCCTATAGCATCATCTTTGTAAGCTATTTTCTAAAACAGTTTCAGCAAGCATTTTTACCAACTAGAAAGCAAAATTTCACAGATGCCCGTTGCACACTGTCATCGTAAAAAACGAAACAAGCACGAAACAGATCTAGCAAAAATAATGACTACATAGGACGAAAGAAGCCAGATCGACAACTCAGGTGACACTGAATTGGTAATGAGTTGCGCTGTATGACTCTAGGGGCAGACATGTGTACTACACAAGCTCCGCCCACTGCAATGCTATTCCGGTTATTTTTGGGTACCTCCTCGTATCAACAAATATATCTGAAATGTGCGAGACCGTGGATGGAAAGATAAGTGTTAATCGCAAAAAAGCATTACCCAGTTTAAAGCAATATATACAACTAATAAACTACTCAAACCGTTTCTAGGAGCAGATTCAACAACCTGATATGTGGACAATTAGCAAAAGAAATAAGTATCTGAAAGTCATAACACTTGACTACCAAAAAACCGAAATGACGTATCTGTGTGGAATAATACTGTGACGTTTTTTGTTTTACGATAATTTTGTATTTTGACCAATAGTAAATTAGCAGCTACAACGTCGGTAAAGATAAATCGGAGCAAAAACTACAGAATAAACTAGTATCCGACCACAGACGGCCAACCATGGACAGCTGTTTCATGCCATTCGGCAACTCTTCAGCATATGTAGACTTAGTCTTGGTGGACAACAAGCGAAAGCTAGGCAATTCTATTCAATCCTTAAGGTCTTTCGATATCAGACAGCATGGTGAGTAGACCATAACTTCTATAACCGGGAATCGGCGACATCTAGCGGCCAACAGACAGCTTGCTGTTTTCACTTTCGCAGTGGTCGGTTCTGGTCACAGATCTGATTACAGAATACGCTTCAAACTTACATAAAACAAAGGTCTTTATGTTTGGAAAGCTCACCTTGCCGGAATCCTTGGACCTAGCTGCCGCGGCTGCTGTTTCATAATTTTTCTTGAAGTTCTTCAGCTTGTTCAGTTTCTCGCACTTCAAGCCAGATGCGCTAGTGCCTCCCGATGATGAGATTAGCTTCGATTGCTGCTGATGGAAGGCGTTCTGTGAGTTTATCACCACGCTTGAATAGCTCTGGAATGGGCCCTATATTTACAAAGGTACCCATGGGTAGATGGCAGGAATCGGGAGGGGGGAATGTGATAACGACAGGAATTATTTTTTTTATATTCCAACTACCACGAAGGCCTAAACACCCATGGGGTACCGTGGGGCTGATGGTTCAATGTCCTCATTTTATTGTTTGTTTTAGATCTAATTGAATTGAACGATTTGATTTCCAACGTTTGATGAAATGAAGATTTTGAAAATGCCACATAAGACCAATAGAATATTACATTCTAGTTGATGTATGTCTCTATACTTATTGTTAAATTAAAGGGGTATCTAAAGACGCAAACTGTTACCAGTTAAAACATACAAGGGACTTAGTGTTTATGCTACAGATTGGGTATTTGGTATTGATGAAATGAATATTATACAGAAATTGTGTTTTCTACACATGTTTTGAACTATGAATATTTGTTCAAGGAACGCAATATCATGATGCAAGAAAAGTGATTTATGATGGGTGCATCTCAAGAAATTAAAATTTTAAACGTACGTAAAAAATAATATGCAGCACAAAATTATGAAAATAAAGGTAGAGGAAACAAGTTATAAGAATCTAACTCACCGGCAGAATATACGTCGCATTGGCCCCCGAGGGAAATATCCTTTTGTAAGGCTTCTTTCTATTGCCGCCCTTCACGTTGTCCAAGTTTGCCTTGCCGACCATCTCGCCAAATACCCAGTTCCAACGGCCAGTACTCGACGTGGTGCCGCCCTTGAATAAATATGTTTTATACAATTAACAATTATTATTATCATACACCTTAAATACAATGAGTGTGAAATAACATCAGCATTCTTATTATGTAACTGTAACTGCCAAATTGCGTTTTCTTATGCAATTGATGCATATAGCTGAGCTTGCACAAACCGTGTATTGCCTACTTCAACACTGCAACCCTGCTCCAGAGATGGCTCGTTTTTCCATCAAAGCTTTTCCGGCCGATATATCTCAAATTCAGGCATAAATCAGCAAGACGGCCGTTGTGCCATACCTGGCAGAACTTTATAATTATCGGTCACGGCGTATGGACTACCTGAACAGCATATCAATCTCAACCCTCAGACTGGAATGTTTCGCAATAAACATGCAGATTGCTGTTAACACTCTCAAACATAACACCGGTATGCAGCGACATATCAAATAATATACAACATAATAAAAAATTATACATTTTTAAATACAAGCTTCTAGTTATAAAACGAACTATTTGTTTCTAATTCGAAATATTTAAACGATAATGACGCTCCTTTATCCCAAGTTTTCAAATCTTGGCGTGTTACACCCTTTTTACACCCTGCAGTCGAAAACTAACACGTTTGTATTTAAGAACCTGAGTTATCCCTTAAATATTTCCAATCGGAAAAAATATTTTTATTTCGTTTTATTAATAGCTAATTAAAAGCTCGTTTTTAAAAATATTTTGGTTATTTATATATCTGAGCATTAAGGACAATGTTGTTTTAACATTATTTGAGTACTGGACTTACCTTCCCAGCTGACAGCTGCAATGACAGATACATCAGCTGCCACGACAGCAACGGTAGGTCGACGGTGACTGCAAGCAGCGCCCTCTTGCCGCTCCGTAAGGGCGCTAACGAGTCGTGAACTACGCGTAAAGCCGCGTCAATCACGGCGCTACGCTCGCTGGACTTCCGGCTGAGATAGGAGAGCAGCACGAACAGCCTGTCTTGGGGGAATTTGGCGGTGCACGATGTTGAGAAGGTCTCTAAAAACAATGATAAAAGATACTTCCTTTTATTCAACTAATGCAGGGTTGGAAAAAAAACAAAAAGCATGTTTGTTTTGTTTAAAACTGTTTTTTTTTAGTTTAAAACATTAAAATTTAGCTGAAAAATAAACATGTTTAAAACACTGTTAATACACGTTTAAAAAATTAAAAAAACTATTGCCTATATAATCCAGCAACGGTAATGAAGTTCCTTGAAAGTGTTATTACTATTTTTGATCCACCTCTATCAGAGCACATCTCTTATTTAAAAGCGGACGTCGGGAAAGTACAGTATACAAATAAGGCAAGCGCAACAGGTTTCATGGTTCTGTTTGCGTGAATGCCTGTTTCAGATTTGTTATATAGCAAACTTTATTCGCACCACATCGTGCCACTTACCTGTCAGAGTATCCGCTAGAAAATCTCCCCAGAATTTCGTTTGTCCGCACGACTTTTCCAGAAAAATCGCAGCCAGTAACTGCAATCTGAACGGCTGTGAGATACACAACGCCCTAAAGAAATGTTGACAGTCCTCTATCTGCATATCGGTAGACACGTCCAGTGACAATAATACCTAGAAGATAAAATTAATAAAAGTATATGTGTGTAGAAATGATATGCACTAAAAAGATACAATTCTCATCTAGAAGACTTTCAAAATGTTCAACAATCTAGGAATAAAAAAGCGGTGGTGCAATCATAACTTTAGCATGGATGAGAGATGGATCCATCACTACACGACAGAATCAAAACAGCAGTTGAAGCAGTGAGCGAAAACCGGTGGTTCAGCGACAACGACAGCGAAGTCGAAAAAGTCCTGAGATTTTCATTTATTTTCCATCAGGACAATGCACCTGCTCACAAAGATGTGTTGCCTTATTTGGCAACATCAGACTTCCGTCTGTACCCAAATTCAAAGAAATTGGAAAGCTCTTTTGACTACTTTCAAGGCCTCAACTTCCAATAAGGATATCTAATGTCGGAGAAATGTTATATCAAGTGTCTGGGAGTCGAAGGAAAATCGTTTTTTTAACTGGAAAACGCAGTATTTAATTTTCACCCTTGTAGACGGAGACTACTACTAAGTAAAATTCAACTTGCTGTTGTAAATTATTATACAAGAAAACAATCTGTTCAACTGAAAATTACTAGCTTTTTTACCAAATAATTTACGATTTTACACATACCTACACATTACGTATGCGTGTAATATGTGTATCAGATTCTGAAAAAATGCAAATTTCAAAATTTCGTATAACTTTTTTGTATGTATCTTTATTTATGTAATACATTTTAAGCTTTTACTATGTTACTTCTGCTGCTTTTTTAATTTTTTTTTTCATCCGCTTATAATAGACTATTTGTCACAGTCTCGCCGAGTCCATTATAAGCGGGTTGCATTGTAATTAATTAAATACTATTTTTACCTCCAGTAGATCTTCGGCAATCGACGTCAGCTTATCTGTAGACGTATTACACTCTGCCAACTGAGAACTACCATACAGACTAATCTCAATCCGGGCCATAACGTTGCGGACGATGTTCAGCTGGTGCTGATACCGAATCGTTTCTTGGTATGCACTGATGATCTTGCTATGCTCGGCATTGTTTACATTGGTACTCTTGTCCTTCAGGATGTTCATGTAAGTGGCTAGGTGAGTGGCGTTTTTCATGTCTGCTACCAGGAACGGGTGGAGAAGTTCTTTCAGTTTGGAGCAGGCCAAGCTGTACCTGAATATTATCATTGTTGATTTAGAACAAGAAGAATGCCATAAGAACAAGTTTAAATTGCATGTAAATGATATATTTTTTAAAAGTATGTCTTTTTTTTTTTTTATACTCCAACTACCACGAAGGCCTAAGGCCTAAGCACCCATTGGGTACCGTGGGGCTATGGGGGATACATGGGAAAGGGGGGACGCCACACGGACTCTGGCGAGGGAACACGTGTGCATGCAACATGCACACATTCTGGCTCCGCCTACGAGAACCGCCGGGTGGTACCTCCGCGTTCGACAGTCAGAGACCATCTACCACCTACGGACAATCACAACATCCATGGCCAAGAGAAACATTTCTCCTGGGACGAGACTCGAACCCGCACAGCGCACGGTGGCTGATCAGGAGACCGAAGGGTCTACTACTGCGGCCACCGCTGCTGCCTAAAACAAACACACAACATCCATGGCGAAGGCGAGATTCGAACTCGCGGCCCGGCCGGCCGGCTGATCAGTAGCACGACACTCTGACCCACGCGGCCAACCGAGGTCCCGTCTTTGCAATTTTCGATACGCAGGAGATTGCAAAAACATACGCAAAAAATATTAATAACAACTATGTAATAACCGTAACATAAAGCTTTCACGTAGTTTCGTTGAAATCCGCGTATATTTTACAAGGGGCCAAAGAGTCAAACCGAAAATGATGGAATATCTCAAATTTTTGCAATTATAAACTTCCCTTTGCATATTGGCGTAGAAAGTCAAGCTTGTTGAAAAATTAAATGTTTCCACGTATTAAAAAAATATTTCCTCAATGATCACTATGTGTATTGCTTACCTGCAACTGATATCCTCAGAAAGCTTTCCCAAAACACAAAGTTGCTTCTCCAAATCAGGGCAAGCGATAAACGGTGTTTCCTCAGCCAATTCTTGTGGAACTTCCTCAGGCAAGACAATGGTGTGTCCGTAAAAATATCCTAAAGGAATTCGGCATCGTATCGTCGACATACCGTACCGGCCTACCACAGTTATCTGTTGACCAAACAAATTCTTTTTTTAAAAATACAAAAAACTCGACTGTCAAAATGCATCAGGCCGTTTAGGCTGTAGCCCGTAAAATGGTAATTTTAAAGGAAAAACATTCAATTAAAATCAGCTATTTTTGTAAAATTTCAATACACACACTGTCACTCGCGCTGCAATGGAAATATTCAAGGCCTATCTAGAAACTTCTGTTTGTATGGAATAACTAAGGTTTGACAATGCCAATGTATGACGTATATTAGAGGAGAAACAGTGGCAATGTTAACATACAATTTACTTTAAAATCCTACTAAAAATACCCGACTAAAGTCAGCAGAAAATTGAACCGACATTGGGAAAATTTGTTTTTTTCTGTCTTTCTCCGGAAGTACTTTGAATTTCAAAACTTTCTAAGCTGTATTTCGTGAGTTACTTAAATACGCAACTTTGTCCCCATTTGAGCGACTTTGTATCTTTACCGTTTCCGAGATCCCAATGGTGAGGGTCGAATTTGAAACCCCTGGTATATAAATGCATAAGAGAGCGTAAAACAATCTCTTTCTGAGGCAGTCGCGTAAAGTGGGTTTTTGAAAATAATGATCCTTCACTTTCTACTATACAAACTAAGTCAGTATTTTCAATATTGTGAATGCAATAGTGAGAAGTGAGAAATGATATCACAGATATAAATAATTTTAGATAATAATCCAATAATGTACTTCACTAACCTTCAAGTACCTACATAGCGGTGGCGGTTGCAAATCGGTTAATAGCAAATTTCTAGTACCAATATCCATAGCCACTACCAACCTCGTTTGGTCTATATCTTCACCTTTCAGCCAGATATCCAACGTTAACGTCACCAAGTCCGAACATGATGGTATGAAGATGTCAGTCAGTAGAACAGGTTTCCCGAAGTCCAACGTTACTTGTCTCCTCGCTCCGGAATACATACGCTCCACAACGATCATCTAGGATTGGTGGAAAATTGTAAAAAATTGGATCAATGAATAAACCTATTTTTGCTGATACTCCAGCCGCTATAGAGATTTCACTTGGGTCTTGTGTTAAGAGTTAAAAGTCAACGTTATATTAATATCATGAATTTTGTAATACGCGATGGAAGTCTCCATAATATTTGGAGCCTGACTGTCGGACTGATTGACACAAGCGCATAAAATTGATACTAACAGTTGCAGTTTTTGTTCAAATAAAATATGCTTACCTGTTTGGGTGGTACGGCAAGGAGTTGTTGCCATGGCAGCGTCGATTGATTGACAGTTGGTACGATGACTTCCGGTTGCGTTTGTTGAGGGTCCGAAGAGTAACCTGCGACAGGAGTATTGCTTTTCACCGCCTTGGAGATGTTTTGATATAAAGCATCTGAAATAATTCACGTAAGCAGTCGCTATCAAACCCATATGGCTCCTAAAGGCTGTAATCGTAGCAACTGCTGCTCTACGTAAATTTTACTTTACTTTGTAAAAATGCATGTTAAAATTGTATGATTTCATGTGCTCGTCAGCCGTTTCTGAACAAACACTGAACTGAAGGAGGAATGCAAAAAATTGAGCAAACTGTGGATCAGACTATGTTTTGTCATCCTTAGACATGCTACCGATATTCTTGATATTTTTCTTTTCTGCCTTACAATTGAGCAAACTGTGGATCAGACTATGTTTTGTCATCCGTAGACATGCTACCGATATTCTTGATATTTTTGTTTTCTGCCTTACATATGACAAAATTTTCGAGAATCGCTATTTATAGCAACCTTGACATGTTTAACGCATCGTTGATTTTATCTATCTTGATTTTCATTTTAATTTAGTTTCTCGATTCCCTGTATTGCCTCAGAAGATGTTTTTATATTTAGGTACGTGTCTACCTAGAATAGAATATAAAATGCAACAAAAAAACTCAAGCTCGTCATTGACTTTGATACAGTGGCATAAAGATGACTAATCTGCAACTATGATAATACAGGGTTACAGGAAAAGTCGTGCTAGATCCGTTAAGGGCGTGTAGTACCCATCATTTCTGACTTATTTCATTATGAAACACCCTACCCTAAACTTAACCCTTTTCGAGATATTCAACTTTTAATGTTTTTATTGAAAATTGCCGATTTTTAGGCTACTAAATGTATTTATTTTTATTTTGTGTGTGTTATTATTACTATTATTGCATTTTAACATGTGTAATAAGATGCTTTAGGACGTCAATCATTAAAATAGTCCATAAGTTAATTGAATAGGCTGTAGTAGATAAGTGAATGTTAAGAAATTGAAAAAAATATCAGAAAGTTTATTTTTCTCTAAGGGATATCTAAAAAAAATATTATGGCAATTGTTCGGCAGATGTGTTTTAAAATATCTATGTTTTATCAGCTATCTAACGAGGTATAACAATCTAGGATTTTATTTAAATGCATTGAAAAAACTTAGTTTCATAGGCGACAGTGGAGAAGAAAATTGATACTTAGCCCTAAAAAGTAAAATAAAACAATAGGTAAGCATGAAATATCATTTATTAAATCAGGTTTTCACACAACTTTTTCTTACTCTACAGTTCATGTTCAACATGGCTGCCTCTGTTTCTAATACATTGTCGCATCCTTCTACGGAGACCAGTCTTTACAACTGCAGTGGTCAACGTTGTCCTTAGTTGATTTGCTGCATCGACAATCCTTTCTCTTAATTCTTCCACAGACGAAACTGGATTTGGCTCGCTGTAGACAAGACTTTTCATGCACCCCCACACATGAAAATCCATGGGGGTTAGGTCCGGACTTCTTGCTGGCCATGGCAACGGCCCACCTCGTCCTATCCATTTGTTTGGATAATTTGTGTCCAGCCAGTCTCTGACACTTCTCCTGAAATGGGCAGGGCAGCCATCATGTTGGAACCACATGTCCCTTCTCAAGTTGAGTGGCAGATCATCCAGCAAATCTCTGAAGTCTCCTCTCAAGAAGTTTTCGTAATTTTCCCCATTTAGATTGTCCGGGAGAAAGTAAGGTCCAATCAAATGGTTGGAGATAATGCCCATCCACACATTCACGCTGAATCTTCGTTGGGACCTCGCCACTCTTTTCTTATTGGGATTCCTTAGTACTTTTGGGGCCCAGTAATGGGCGTTGTGATAGTTAGTTATGCCATCGTTATCAAATTTGGATTCATCTGTCCATAAGATATTTCTTAGAAAATCTGGGTCTTCTACGTCAGCATTTAGCATAAATCTGCTGAAGTCCAACCTTCTCGCGGGGTCTCCTTCTTCAATAGTGTGTACCGGCGTGTAATGGTACGGGTATAGGCCAGCAGTATGCACTGTAAACCACACTCTCCATTGCGAAAGTCCCAGATCACGGGCAACACGATTAGTGGAAATGGTCGGATCCGCTCGAAAGCGTTGCACTATCTCATTGTCCTGCAGTTCTTCGTTGTCATAAATTCGTGGTCTTCCCAGGTCTGTATTTCGTCTCAAAACAGAGCCAGTTTCTCGAAGTCTTAGATAAACTCTGTTAAAAACGGCCACATCCGGCACTCGACGACCGGGGAAGCGAGTTCTGTATTCGTTGCGAGCTTGCGCAGATACACAATCGCAGTATCCGTAACAAATAAGCATATCAGCATATTCCTCAGGTGTGTAGGACGTCATCTTCAACACTTCCGTATCACAAGTACAAATCAGAGTCCAGTGAACAAGCACAGTATTCACAAATCAGAAGAAATAGTCCAGAATCGTAGCCAAGTCGAGGAAAAGAGCAAAACGATATCACATCTACTATGTACGAAGCACAAAAGCAGACTGACAACCAAAACAACATCCCGTGTTGGATTTCCAGCCCTAACCGGTTATTATAATATGTTTTCTTTCATTCGCACCCACATTAAATCGTCATGTCTCGCTCGCACGGTGCGTCTAAACTTGAAGGAGAATAGGCGTGGGAACTGCTACTGGAGCGTCCCAACTACTTTTTTTCTACGAAATGTAATACAAATCCTAGATTGTTATACCTCGTTAGATAGCTGATAAAACATAGATATTTTAAAACACATCTGCCGAACAATTGCCATAATATTTTTTTTAGATATCCCTTCGAGAAAAATAAACTTTCTGATATTTTTTTCAATTTCTTAACATTCACTTATCTACTACGGCCTATTCAATTAACTTATGGACTATTTTAATGATTGACGTCCTAAAGCATCTTATTACACATAATTTCATAATGAAATAAGTCAGAAATGATGGGTACTACACGCCCTTAACGGATCTAGCACGACTTTTCCTGTAACCCTGTATATGATTGTATATCCAAAATAATTTGCCGTACGAAAATTATAAGATGCACTGCTGATGTTAGATGCAAAATTATTAACTATGAGGTTTACTCCCTGAAGTGTTATAAACAATGACTTCACACGCCATGTTGGTCATTAAGAAGTCAAGTAATCGTCAGTTTTTGTTATAGAAATTGTTGATTTGATTTAAAGAAAAACAATCTAGAAACTAAAGTACGGCTGAAACTTTTTAATGTTTAATATCCGATAGCATGTACTCTGCGACATTGAAATCTCGTACAATTACAGCTTTTTCATCAATTAGTACCTCTAATATTTCGAGTGATTCGAAGGATAGGTCTAAATCGCTAGTCCTTACAGAACGAGTAATATAAATTAGAATTACTAGAAATGGACAATGCTGTACAACACACTTCCAAATGAGAAGACCTATTTGAGGAAAAATTTTCGCTGAATTAGCTAGTATCAACCACTTGACAACTTATAGTATCCTTACACGCTATCAGAACCCCGTCATCTGTAGATAAGCTAGTTAACTATTGATTTCTGTCTTTCCTAAACAAAAAGTAGTTCTCATGAACTAGTTCGTTATTGACTGGACGCCGAGACACATAGCTGAGTGATGTAATCAGTATTTTGATGGTAGAGGTTATATAACAATTTCGATAACACTCCCTCTAAAAAATGCAATCAAGATTACTATGACACTGACCTTTCATGACCGCATTGTTAAAGGGACGTTATACTAGTTTTCAGAACTTGACGGGGAGATACATAACTGAAGAGTGTAACAGCAGTTTTAAAGGAAGTACAATGATTTCAATAAATCGATTCTCGAAAAAGCGTAATTGTGGTTACTGGCATTTATATTTGGCAATTTTTTAATTTTTTCGCAAATAATTTTATAATACCATGCCGTAAATAACGTAAACTACATAAAAGAACTATTTTTAGGTGTACCAAGGACCATTTGTTGCTCGATACTCGTTATACTGGTTTTCAGTACATGATGCCTAGGGACATAACTAAAGAATGTAAAGACATTTTTTAAGGCAGACATTAATGAATAATGTTTTTTTGGCAAATAAATGTATTTGAATTTCAATATATGATGCTTCAAAAATACAGGATTTATAGCCATGCTTCAATCTATTATAATGTATCACGCCACTTCTTGCCTTTAAAATTAGTAAGAGTTAAATGCTCTCAAATCAAAGTGATCTCATCGGCGAGATGAAAAAAGATATTGCCGTGCGGAATAGAATTTGTTATCAAAGCATCTGGTCAATAACCAAAATTTGAATAATCCAAATCAGAGCTTCAGGTAACACAGCATTTGCCACGAATTACAAAAGCGTGTAACTAATACAACTTACTGATTTTATGCATGTATATGGTCTTATCAGCATCGTTGAGCACATCCATGATCCACCAATCGCTATCCGTCTTCTTACCTGTACTACTACTCACACCACCTCCTCCGCCACCCCCGCCTGCTGTACCCCCTCCACCGTCCGGGGGCTGCTGACTGTCGTCTGCCATTAACTAAAAATCGAAAGAAAGGATATTATAATAACAATAACCTAGACCTGATTATAATGTATTTTGATGTACCTGGTAAGCTTTTAGGTTTAATTGCAGTATGGAATGGTATAATATTTTGCTATTAGTAACTTGTTAGGTATCTCAAGTAATATAATTCACCAGAAATGCTGCGCTAGGGAGAGGAACGACCGAGGTACTTTTTAAGAAAACGAATTAATACTTCATTGCTCCATAAACAAATGCGTTATTAGTAGAAAAACTAAATTCCTTGTTTTTTACATTATCTACAATGAACACAACACAAGTCTGAATATAAGCACTTTTTTATGAGGAAAAAAAATATGTAGACAAATTTTGTTCAACATTAGTTTAGTACAGTTTCGTGTCGGAAGAGGATTAGTTTGTGTTCATCAAGTATTGTGGAATAAGTTGAGTGATTTTAAGACCATGCCGCGTGGTCCAGAAATTTCTTTCGATGTGAAAACTAAGATCATTGAGTTATACAAAGATGGTCAACGTCAAGTCGACATTGCCAAAAATTTGAAGCTGAAGCGTAAAGCAGTTTGGGCAATATTGAACAAATATAAACAAAAATGTATCTTGGAAGCCTCTAAGAGAAGTGGTCGGCCTAGAAAACTAAATGCTAGATCAGATAGATTAATAAAAGTATTTCGTCCAAAGATCCGTTTAAAACCCCAAGACAAATAAAAGCCGAAATCGAGACAAAAGCAATTGTCAAGTGTTTCTATGAAAACTATAAGTAGAAGATTAAATGATTTGAAGTTATTTGCACGTCGCCCGAGTAAGAAGCCGCTAATCTCGAGGAAAAACCGTAAGAACCGATTACAATTTGCACGGTTGCATCTTGTTGGAGCATCTGTGACTGCAAGAGGGTATGTTTCAGTGACGAATCCAAGTTCAATATCTTTGGATCAGATGGTGTTATTATAGCACATAATTTAAAATGGGAAAATCACATTACCAACAAGTTTAAAAAGTCAACTCACTGATATATCTGATTGAAAAATCTGTTAAAAACCATTCTACTGCTATGATAGAAAAGCTATACAAAATGTAAATTCGATCAATCTTGAATATGCACACATCATGGAGCCCGTATTTTGTCATAGACATCGAACTACTGGAAAGACCGCAACGTAAAATAACGCGAATTCCACCAGAGATTCGCCATCTACTATATATATATATATATATATATATATATATATAGGGGCTAGGGATTTGGCAACACCCTCTCCAAGAGGACAGAAAAGAGAGAACATCTAACTTGATAAGGATAAGGTTCATTTCAAACCGTGTGGTATACTCGTGGAACTCAGTGAAGGAACAAGGGAATTCAAACTTTTAAATATATACTAATCTGTGGTTCACCCTCTATTTTTTCAAAAATGCAGCAACACACACCTTCTTTCATACCCCCAACATTACCTTGTCATGCACGATAGCCGCATCCTGCTTTTCGATAAAGTTCTGCAACAGCGACTGCAATTCGTCCTTCTTATCGACAGTTACACCGGCAGTGGCCGCCCCTCCGCTGGAAACAGGCGCATGATCTTGATGTTGGTGCGCCATCGCCGCCAAGCCGTACTGCCCTAGTGTGGTCGTGACGTAATTCCCGCTGGAGGCGGGCACACTGACCACCGGTATGGCGTTCGAGGTCGTACCCCCTCCGGTGGTACCAGACGAGGCGGGGGCTGCCACGTGACATATCATCGACGAGGCGCCAGCGCTGCCCCCGGCCGTGTCGGCACGTTCCACGCGCGTGCCTTCGCTGGCTGAGGTGCACGTGAAGTGCAGGGGTTCCGTTTCGATCAGGCCGTGGATAAGACGCAGAGAGGCTGGAAAGGAATCAGTCTGATTTAGAAACTTGCAAAAAGCATCATGATTAGATTATTTAACATGTCTGTAGGCTCTAAAGCAGCATGAACTTGGACCCTCTGAGAAAAAGGTAGATACGAACAGTGTGTCCAGCTATGGTGACCCCCTTCTAACTTTTTTATGACTCTTCAGAAGAAAAATTAAAATATTTTACAGTTTGTTAAGATTTCTGCTACCTGCTGTGCAACATACTAATGAAGAAATAAAAGGTCATTTTATATTCACTAGCACCACTTTATTATACCTATAATATAAAATGAAGGATTTCATACTAAAGAGTTTAAACCTGGCCGCAAAGGGTAAACATGAAACAAAAAGTCGAAAATACCACATATTTTATGGAAAAAGTAGTAAAGCAACTACTTATACGCGGAAATATATAGTTACAAAACTCACCAATATTTTTATATTTCAACTTAGTCGCTGAAGTTGAAAGAACGTCTTTGGGACTGATGCTCTCTTTACTGAATGGATAGTTTGAAGCATTGTCTCCGTTCGGAGAAGCAGCATCTGCAGAAACGTTTCCCCATGAACTGAACAGGCTAGCGCCTGTAGAACCAGTTTCGCCTTTTCCATAAGGAGGAGCCTCGATGTCGAATAGTTCTGGTTCCATTGGTGTACCATACAAAGCATATCTGAAAAAAGGATACCATATGGCTCAGAGGCGTACCTTGCACTCCACTTCCTTTTTTTACAAGATTACAAAATATAAAAGCCCCCCTTATCTTCAATTAAAAATTAGTTACCGGACTGATGTACATAATCTAAACATTAGAAGCAGCTGCTTTAAGGGGCAAGCTGATGTAGCCCTTTATTCTCCTAAAGCTTTTTTTGTTTGTAAACTTTGTATATACTGTTTAATGAGGGTAATAAATATTATTATTACTTCGAAGTTGAGTCATTTATTTTAACAGTGAGTAGATCTGATCAAAAGAAATGTTTTTTTCCTTTAACATTTTTCTGGTAAAATTAAAGTAACAAAGTTATAGCCCTTTAGAAGTTTGAGTACCGCCCTGTCTCAATAATAATATTATGTGCTCGTGTTTGACGACAACGGATATAATCCGCCTTATCCATTCATCGCATCGGAAACAAAAAAGCGAAAGAATTTGAAACGATGTTTTTACTACAATGTACAATCTTATTCAGTTGTATTCAGTCGATGTGTCAGTCGGTAACGCGTGAGTGATTAGTGAATAAAAAATGGCACATGTTTACGAAAATGCTGAATGTAGTACAAAGGGCTCGTGAATCAGGTGACTTAAGACCTCACAGGGGAGGGCATGCCGGTGCTCCAAGACCGCACGATCAAATACAGGTCCGCACTGAAATACTTGTCGGGAGGATACTTTATAAAACAAGGTAACATTTTTTTTAATTTTTAATTTTTATTTTTACACACATATTTTGGTTTATCTTCCTTCTACAATCATTATCTGAAAATTAATGACTCAACTTCAAAGTCACCCTGTATACAAGGTGGTCCACACCTCCCAAGACTTATACCATCAGTAGTAACTTACGTCGTATTGATCGTGTGATATTCGCCTAAGCACTTACAAAAGGTGACTAAAGCAACATATAACGTACCTACTCCGCAAAAGCAGGTGATAGGGATTCTGTCGCTTCACCAATTCAGTGGATATGTCTCTGAGGATTGACACGCACTTTGTGGATATAGATTGTTCTCTATCCTTGGTGGTGCACTTCAAGAGCAAAGTGAACAGCCATTGTAAGCCAGCCGCTGATCTGATCTCGCTCACCGAATCCAAAATGGTGAACAGTGATTGAAGAACTGACGATTGGAAGCGTTCTCCACACGATGCGGTTACGTTATCTGCACCTCTATTAAAATAAAACAAAAAATAGCGATAACAAAAAATGGTTTGCGTTTCGAGTTCTCAATTGCGAAACGGTAAACAGTGCACAAACAACCTCTGCTCACGTTCATCCTTGAGTTTATAGATTTCTTAGCTCAACCAAAGTATTTTAAAAGTTTTGAGAATTTTAACATACAAAACTGAAATTTGAATAATCAACATTGCAGGGTCAAAAGATTAAGGCTAATATTTTTTCCCATACTTACTTGAGAGAAGTGATGACTAGCCTCGTACACTTATGTGCTATACTCCTTTCACCCTGTATGAGACAGTGATGCAACAGGTTCATCAACTCTTTCTCCATTAAGTTCACGAATGTATACTGCTGATTTGGCGGACAACCATAATCGCTCCTATTTCTGCTCAGTCTTATAGCTGCTATCCAGTCCAAGATGTCCAGGATGATGCCAAGGGTTTCTTTGATGCTGCTTGATACAGCCGTCAGGAGGAGAGACCTATGTAAAGATACTAATTCAAGATACATGCTACAATACACGACTAAAATAAACTATACTAAGAAGAATGGTGATAAGTAGATTGACTATATCGTTTCACGCCTTCCAAATAACTTCTAGTACAATTTTCCATCAATGCTTGGATCAGCACATATACCTTTAGCCGCGTTACTAATAGATCTCCGTGTCGAACACTAAGTGGCACTTTTTATTTCTAGAGACTTTAAGTGCTGCCATGAACATTTAGCGATCTGATAATTTTATCTTACCTTACAAAGATATTCGATTCTAACATAAGGCTTCGCTGCGCTCTGTCACTTTGCAGCTCTGACTGCTTCAAACCATGCAACGTCACGCTGAGTTCGTGTATCACATCGCAACCCATGTAGAAGTCAGTCTTCCTCTGTTGTTGGTTGCCAGAAAGTCCAAGCTTGTCGATGATAGAACCAGCTGTTGTGCCGGAAGTCTTTTCGAACTTTTTGAATTTCCCGCCACTTGAACCGTTGCCGGGGCTCTTATCGTCTTTAGCGGTGTTTACAGCGCGGATGTGCAGCAGGAGGTTCCGAAGTTTAGCTGTCAAGATAGATGGATAGATAGATAGATAGATGGATCTTTATTTCCAACAGGTACAATCACCCAATTACAGGAAATAGTTCAAAAAGAAAACAAGAGCAACACATAATCCTAGTATATAAAAAAAATCAAATTAATAATACAGCTAGATCAAAAAGCCAAAATATAAAAAAATAAAAGAATAACTCTAACCGCAAAAAGGTCATTACATGCCAGATAACGTTGTTTAAAGTCATTTCTAGATGAAGTATTCACATCACAATATTCACCTAAAGAATTGAAGTTCTCAAACATAACCGTGGCCGGCGATTTTCTCGAGATATTTGTTCGAGCTAATTCGCAGTAAAATGTCATTTGGTGACGCAAATTGCGCACAGGTACATGAAAGTTTTGTTGATGAAAACAATTCGCAGCGGGGATTAGGCTGGCCATATACATTAATATTTACGGAAATTCCATCCTTATTGTTTAAGAGTTACACATCTTGGTGCATATGGCCAGCTGGAGCTGAAGTAAGAATATAGCCACAAAGACAAAAACTGTATTCGTCTCCATTTTTGTGGTAAAAAGGTATCAGTTGATGTTACCTTTAAATAACTTTGGTCCAGTCAACGTAATAACTCCACTCTGATCTGTCAAGTCAAGGTGCGATGCAAGATTGACGGGTCCCGCCAAAATGTCAGCATTATGTGCTCGTAGATATTCTTGTGAAACTACTGGATTGTCTACCCATTGCAACATATCTATCATCACTGTTTCATCTACAGCAAATTTCACATCCTTATTGTGACCGATTCCACTTTTGTTCTGTCTCAGCAAAGTCACTTCCACCTACGCAAAGAACAGATATCCAAGTAAGGTACAAAAATAATAAATGAAGTAACTTGCACTGCATTTGGGATTGAACAATATTGAGCATCAAATATTTTGCGGAAAAGGTACTTGCGACGTTTTATCTTACCTGAGGAAGGGTACTACTGGGTTGCAACGTAAAATGCACATCGACGTGACCCAAAAATGTCGGCGTAGGTAACGTAATTTCAAAGATGTGCTCATCCCATGTAGTCGTGTCGGTTTGCAATCGCCACGTTTTCGTATGCTGCTCGCCATCTGTCTTCAAGGCTTGTGGTTGTCTCCGTTGCCTCAAGGCTTGTTGGAACTCACTCCAACATGGTGGTACGACTACATTGTATCTAGAAGATTAATGATCAAATATCTTAACCCTAGCTAATAAGGAGAGTTGTCGTACGACCAAATCGCTCCAACCATACAATATTGTATCACACCAGCAATGAAAGTTCACGGTTTAAACTACGTGTTTCCCGGGGTGTCCGCAAGGTTGGGGTTTTCCTCTTCAGACACAACTGCAAAACAGCAGCTTGCTCAATTATCAGACGTAATTCGTCAACAGTGTGCACTTCGCGTCTAAAATGAGGCGGTACACCGTCATGGAGAAACCTCATTGATTGTCTTACACTCAAAGCCACATCTTCTAGCAGGGTTGGTAAAATGTTCTGTAAAAAGTCTAGGTATTGTATCCCGTCCAACCGATTAGGAAGAATAAATGGTCCAATGAGCATGCTGTTTGCCATGCCAGCCCAAACATTCACAGAAATGGTTTGTTGAAAGTGTGACCGACGGACAGCGTGAGGATTTTCTACTGACCACACATGAGTATTGCGGAAGCTATTCACCCCATTACGTGCGAACGTGCATTCGTCTATGCACTTCAAAAAGTCCGGATTATTGTCATGTTGGTGCAACAACCACTTATAAAACTCTTGCAGGAAAATCCTCCGCCTGGAGTGCTTGTACACGTTGCACGTGAAACGGGCACAGTCCCTCATCAGGCATGCGTTTGCCACACTTTAGTTTTTGACACTTGCACTTGTCTAGCCACATCCCTAGTGCTTGTTGAAGGATTCTCGTCTACGCGATTCAGTACTTCTTCCTCAGTTTGCACCATTCGGAGTTGTCTAGGTCTTCCACTGTGCCCACTTCGACATTCCTCCAAACGAGCCATAGCCCTGAGTCTCTGCACAAAGTGATGACGTCTGGGAAAACGATCTACATACACTCGCGAAGCCTGGGTCGCATTTTGAAGACACTCACCGTAAATTAACAGCATGTCGACTAGTTCGCTATTGGTGTATGAGTGAGCCATTTTTTTGTATTATTGAACATCAATCCGTTACCAACGTAATGGTTTGTTGACCTACACTACCGGCGTTTAGGTCAGGTTGCATACTATCGGATTTACATCGTAGTCATACGTCGTATAACTGTATGATGGCGCTGTGGACTTGAGAGAGGGATAGGACCGGTTCCGGTTTGGTTCAGGTTTGACTGAGTTTGCGGAGCACAATACCTTGGTTCTCCTAAGATATTAGTGTTTATGCTACTAAGAAAATCCGCTTATTTTCAGTTGTACACGACGTGTAAAGGAAAACCCGAACCTGTATTATATAATTTTTGCAATTATTGCACGAAGCACGCCATGCCTGATGGCAACGCTGTGCGGGTGTTAGCCACTACCGACCAAGCGAATGATATGTATATCAGTTGCTGAACGATCACATTCGTTTGTTAAGTTTTACTATATCTTGGACTTGGACTAGGGTATAAAATCCGCAAAAAAGTGGATTCGAGCAGAAAATAGGATAGGTAACCCGAGCGATACGCATTTCTGCTGGCTGGCTTCATCAAGCCCGAAATGAATGAACATATGCAACTACAAAAGTAGATACACACGCCCACACATCCGGATACGGGTGTAACCTGAGGAAACGAAGATGGAGAGGAAAAAAAAACAACACACAACAAGAGCACACCCTACACATTTAGTATAAAATGGCCTCGAATTTTCAAGGAGACATCTAACCACAACCTCGCTGCCGGTTATAGCCACTTGCTGTGGTACTTCAAGCCCAAGAGATCTACAAAAAGAAAATGAAAATTGACTTGAAGTACCACAGCAAGTGACTAAAACCGGCCGCGTGGTTGTGGTTAGATGTCTGCTTGAAAATTCGAGGTCTTCTAGCCATTTTATACTACAATGTGTAGGTTGGCTCTTGTTGTGTGTTGTTTTTTTTCCTCTCCATCTCCATTTCCTCAGGTTACATCCGTATCGGGATGTGTGGGCATATGTATCTACTTTTGTAGTTGCATATATGCATTCATTTCAGGCCTGATGAAGCCAACCAGAAGAAATACGTATCGCTCGGGTTACCTATGCTATTTTCTGCTCGAATCCTCATTCCTCCTTTTCCTTTTTGCGATTTTTGCCCATTATTTTCCTACTTTTGGTTATATACCTTTCTCCGCACGATCATTTTCTTTATATATATATATATATATGTGTGTTTCAAAGAGGTACTATATTTTATCTTGAGGAAGTAACTGTGGTGTTTCACTGATTGCATTGCTGGATCTAAGCTATTTTTTCATTAAAATTTTCAGGATATGGAACGCAATAAAATACTTTCACTAAATTAGATATTCTCAGTGCACGTATTTTTGTTCCACTTGTGATATTCTGCGTCTACATTTTTTCGTGCTCACCCTGTTTTTAGCGGCTCAAACTCGCACAGCTGTTTCAGCTTCTTCAGATCGTCCACCTGTATGACATCAGGTTCTATGTAGAACACCTTGACAAGCCGAGGATCCAAGGAGTCCAAAGGAGGCGCGACTGGAGCGTCCGCGTTCATACCAAATAGATCGTCTTCCTCCTGCTCGTCACTATCTTCGTTGTCAGGGTTGTTCAAGGCGAAAAAGTGCAGGGAGCCGTTTTTTGTTGATGCGCACAATCGGTCCAAGCCTGAAGGCAAATCAGCTTATTATATTTTTTTTTGTTGAGAAATACATGCGTAATAATGCTTGTTCTTCAGGAGATTGTGTTTTCTGGTTTTGATACTATTTAACGCTGACCAAAAGGGTCCGTTCCGATTCCATAGTTCTATTTCTTAATGCGTCTAAGTGTAGTCAGCTTTTCAAGGAAAACGTCTGTTTGTAAAAGTATTTATAAGATTGAGTATGTTTACGTAACTCAATTAAGGATTTGGGTGTAGTTTTTGACCACAAACTTTTTACTCCAGATAGCTCACAGGAAAGGTGAAGCTTCACGGGCATACGGTTTTATTGTGATTGTTGAAATTTTTATTTTTCAATGTTGATGGTACATATCTTGTGCAGGATATCTGAAAGTTTGTTATTTTATTATTGTATAATAATGAGCTTGTGGATCAACTAAACTTTAGTGTCACATCTATTCAAACTTTCATGGTTAAAACCTTTTACAGGGCTCGCACAAATTTATTTCTGAAAGCACCCATATACAGAGTGATTCACAAGTTGTGACAAAAAATGAAACATCATACACAGGAGCGCATTTTAAGGGGGGTCTTCTATGTAACATTTCTTCCTCAAGGGCTTCGTTAAAAAGATATTGAAGTTTAAAAATGAAAAACATTTTTTTTAATATCATCAACTGGAATGAACTAAAATTTGGTATGTGAATTTACTGAAGTATTGTCCACATTCAAAAGTCTTTACTTGAAATTAACGTGCACCAGTGGCGGAGATACAGGGGATTAGTGGAATTATTTCTCCAAATAATTATTTTGGCATACTTCATTTATTTACTCTCATTTTTCAGTTGCATTTTCCTTCGATACAGATGCAATACTAACACTCCATACGATCTTTGAACAGGGCCAAGTGCCTTACCGCTAGAACTAGTTAAATCTGTAGTTTGAAATTATAATGGAAAAGTACAGGTGTTCTGATGCATACATTTACGATGCGTTCAACCTTATCTCCTACCAACAACAAAGTTTAGACGTTAGGTAACAAGCCAGGCGGAACGAGCGCTTGTTTAAGAAATTACTTACTTTGACAATACGTAGCTGAAACAAACGCATCATCCTCGATCTTCGCATAGCACACTACGTTCAACGTGCACAGATCCACAACCCTGACAGCTCCGTCCACGCACACCATCACAGCGCAGCCTTCGGCATCTGTCAGCCGTTCCGACTTCACGTCAAACTTGTCAACGTTGGGCAACGGTTTAACTTCCGTCGGTTTGTGGTTGATGTCTAGCTCTTTCACGATGACAGGCTCCTCGCGCAATTTCACCATCTTATCGGAGCAGTCGAGCGCGTAGAGTAACAGAAAGCTCTTGATTCCGAAAGCACTGCGCAACACTACCAGTACGTGTTTTTGATCGCGCGTGGGGAAGATGTCAATTACTTCTAGGTCTCCTAGGTCCTTGCATTCTGAGGAAAAATAATGATTGTTAGAATAATATTCGTAATAGTTTAGATGAGATTTAATATGCGATTAAATTTATAGGTTGGGTCGACATTAAAATGGATTACAAAAAGTTGTGTGTGTGGTTTTAATACATTTTAGATCCATATATGATATTTTAGGGCACACTATTTTAAGGCACTATTGACATCACAGCTGGGTTCAAAGTTCCGAATTCAACAGTCCAATTTTCACTGACTGCCCGCTAAGCTAAAGGTCTATGCATATTCAGGGTCCATTAGAAAGAACGTATGTTTTTCGAATGGGTACTACATCGAGTGGGCTGGTCCCGTGTCGGTGGGGAAGGGCGTGTTGGATAGTGGGAGAAGTGCCGTTTCAATTGGCAAGATGGTTTGGAACGTTGAGCATCGTGTGTTCAGTGTACGTCGGTACTTTCAAAATGACGAGTCTGTCGTTCGAACGCAACGTGAGTTTCGCGTTCACTTTCGTCTTCCACGTCGTGGGACAGTACCAGACCGTAACACCATTTTGAGATTGGTGGAAGCATTCATCACAACAGGTAATGTGATGAAAAAACCGCCAATGCGAAACCGTACTGTTAGAACCCCCGAAAACGTAGAGAGTGAGAGTTGACACGCTGCAAAGCCCGAATCGTTCCGTCCGTTTGCGTTTGCGTGTCAGTTCCCTAGGGATCCACGCGTCATCTGTACGTCGCATCTTGAAGAAGGATTTAGTGTTCCATCCTTACAAAATCCAACTTTGTCAACAACTGTAACCAGGGGATTATGCACAACGTGTTAATTTTGTACATCTCATGATTGAACAGTTGGATAACCATGACATGACATTGTTTATGAGTGATGAAGCATATTTCATTTACATGGATACGTCAATAAACAAAATTGTCGATATTGGTCTCCAGTTAACCCTCAACAGTTGCATGAGCACCCCCTGCAAACCCCGAAGGTTACAGTTTGGTGTACAGTAGACCCAACGATTATTGGCCCTTATTTTTTGAGCATGATGGAGGAACAACTACTGTGAATTCAAAGCGTTACATCCATATGCTGAACAACTTTTTTTTCCGGAACTTCGACGTCGACGTGTCCGTCTCAGAACAGTGTGGTTCCAACAAGTCGGGCAACATCTCACATAACTCGCACTTCGATGGAACTTCTTCGGCAAAAATTCTCAGGACGTCTCATTTCACGTCATGGCGAGATTCCATGCCCTGTCAACGTGTGATTTTTTTATGGGGCTATCTGAAATCAAAAGTTTACCAAAGCAAGCCTCGGACCCTCGTCAATTTGAAGGAGGAAATAAGAAGAGAAGTAACCCAAATTCCTGCACGGATGCTGGCCGACGCAATGGGCTCATTTCGGGAAAGGCTTGATTCCTTGATATAATAAAATATTTTTACCCATACTTATTTTGACTGTACTACTCATTTAAAAAACATGCGTTCTTTCTGACGGACCCCGTAGATCGTTGTTTAAATTTGGAAACTCACCAGGTGGCAAGGAGACACATTGCACTGCCCTGGAGTAATTCAACTTTTTACTCGACTGGTTATTCTTCAGCTCCGTGATATGATCAGATATGCTCAGATCGCTGCTTTCCAAGCTGCTAAGCTGACCGTTCGTTAGCGCATGCGTGCCCGAAGATTCCGTCTTCGCACCACCACTGGTGCTGTAGTCTTCGAACATCAGCACCTTCATCGTTTTCTTCATAGTTACAGTTGGAGGCAGGAACACTTCGTCACTCTCACCTGGAATTCAAAATCAACATGTCAAGAGTCGAAATTCTTTATATCACATTCCTTAGTAAATTTCCAACTCCAAATTCACAACAGCCCAAGCTATATCAACACGTGTTTCCTTCAAACTAGTTTTCCCCACATATGGCTTGCGTCTAACGCAAAAAAAAAACGTGTAAAAGCCGAAAGAAGAGTTGTTGGCTCAAGCTTTCAAAGTCATCAAATATAACTTCCCACGCGAGGAGGTATTGTAATCTCGAAAAACTCCGAAAATTGGATGTCCCCTAACCCTAACAGCCTAACAAGGGCCACTGTGAAGAGGGAATATACATTCCTTTGAAAAAAGAAACATGGAGGCAACTAATCAAACATTACCTGGTATAAGCGTTTTGTAAAACGACGACAACTGCTTCATCAGATTATAACACGGTATTTCATCATCCTTCTCCAGACTCTCCAAATTAGGAAGCTCCATGAAGCTGGTGTTGAGCTTATCTTCTCCTGATACTACATTATCCTTCTCTTCAGGCTGATAGGCCAGATTCGTCTCAAAGTTGATCTCGTTCTCGGTCTCCTCCTGTTCTTTGCTGTACAAAAAGTCGTACACCACCAGGTACAGCTGGCTTTTGGTGACCTCAAAATCGTTCTCCGATTGGTCGGACGATTTTTGTTTTGCTTGACCAGCCATTAGGTTTAAGCCGCAAACGATGGTCGACCTGGCAGGTTTAGGTGTCGTCGCAGCTGCGTTCGCGCTTGTTGTGCTAGTCGTACTTGGGGTTTTCTCTTTGTCGCAAACGATGCATAAAGTCGTAATTTTCTTTTCTACGGGATGTTTTTCTGTAAATTACGCAATAATCCGTATGACATAGAATAATGATTCATTCTAGTACGAGTTATCTCGATCTTTATTAAAAGCATGTTGCAAGTAGAGTGGACCAGGCTTGATTTTTTGACACTAGGGTGACGATCACCAGCCGAGAAGATTTAAAGCTAAGTTTGTTGCTGTTAACATATGAAATTCGTCGTAAAATTGGTTCTGCATATGAATGCAGTAGAACTACGTCACTTCAGTATTAAGAATATGATCTCATGATTCGGACAAAGAACTCCTGAAGTCACTAATTTCGTATATTTTAAGCAACATACTAACTTGCAGCAAAATGTGCTATTTTCATCATAACTAAGACGCGTCAGAAGGTGTAAATGTCATACCGTCTAAAAACCAATAACAATTATATATTTTAACGTCTGTTGCTCCAAAAATATTTGTATAAAGGAGTTCTAATCTTTATTGTGCAATTTTGCACTGATATATTGAACAAAATATAAAATATTTTTTTTTGTAATAGGATTTGAATATGTCATGCCTCGATTCTCCTGGAGGTTAGTTATCAATTTTTAATTCGCTTTTTACTGTATAATCAATTGGGAATTAAGACAAGTAGTATGGTGAACAAAAATCTTCCAAAAAAAGGTACAAATACATGGTTGGCAATTAAAAAAATTACTTCGATAAGTTCCTTTCGCTCTTGCGAACAATGTAATGTAACAATAGTAATGCATAAAATAAGTTTAATTGTTCACCCCCAGCAAACTTCCTCTAACTCAAAATGTTGCTACTGTTATCTACTTTTACCGTCTTAGGAAGTGTCCCTTAGCATTCTTCATTTGCAGCTCCCGATATCTTACGTCAAAATACTTGGCACCATCTACTTGTAAAACTTTTGGCACGGACAGGACCACTTGCCGTGTAGCTAATAAGTAAGAAGTAAGAAGTAAAAAATACTTACTGTTCTCTCCAGCCTGCCATATACCAGGTTGGCCGAAATCTTGAGTAAATTTATCTAAAATATGTGAGTCGTATTGTGTGACGTAAAAGGAGAACTGCCTTGTAGGTTTTCCAGCTACGTCGAATACTGATATGAGACCGTCCGCGTTTGCGGTTGGTATCAGGTTTGGCACACTGCTGTTCCCAATTATCTGCAACAACACGTGAGTGAAAAATCTTACATATTTTTTTCCACACCATTAGGTAGAATAATTATAAATACCTAGGATCGCGGTGCGTCTATTTGATGCCTTTGTGTATAGATGAAATTGCACTACATGAAAAATTATACTAGAAGCCTATTCAATGAAGTAGTAGTAGTCAATCTACTTGGAGCCATTTTTTGTAAATGAAAAATAATTCATATCCTCGTTGGTTAACTTGGCTAGATTTTATTTGTGTTCATTATACGATTTTTCGTTCCATCAGGAATTTCAAGAAGCAAAATTTATAATCCGCCTTACATAAGCAAGTATTTAGTCTGTGGCTCTATCCACAAGCTCAGAATAAAACTGCTAATTGCTTGGAAGTTTCTTCAGTGAGGACACAAAAGCAATAACAAAGCATCATAACTCAAGTCGCTATCAGGTTAAAATCAGGTTACTGACAAGTTGCTTTTAGTAAGAACAGTTTCCAGTATTCCAAGCAATGGCATGTACAAGCCCCTTCCCATTTCAGTTGGCCCAACTATTGAATCTTAGTTTTTTTCTTATCAAACACAAATAATAAAAATGTAGCAGGGTGTTATAGGTTTAAAATATTAACAATGAATATTTTGATAATATGTAGTAGAAAACACCAACTTTATCACTCCCTCATCAAATTTGCAGCATAAAAATAACACATGTTGCAATTACAGCATATCAACCTATTTTCATTTCAATGCAAAATAAGTCTATAACGCATAGGTGGCTGTGAAAAATAAAAGCCATGACAATTGTTTTTATTAATCACAGCTGTGAGAATACGTTTAAAATAGTTTTGGATAGTTAAGGTTTTCAAAATGGATAGAGGAAAGGTTATTAGTGAGAAAATTCGGTTACTGGTAATTAATTTTTTTAATTCCGGGAAATCAAACTCAGAAATTGCAACTTTGTTAGACTTATCGCGGTACAGTGTAAGAAATATTGTTAGAAGATATAACGTAACTGGTTCAGTTAATATTAAGCCACGATATGTGAAAAAAAGTAATATCACAAATGCCGACCGAAGAGCATTAAGAAGAATAATCGTGAAAAATAGGCGTGCCAATTATTTACAATTAAGTGCTCTGTGGAGTGACGCTGTTGGAAGGAGAATTTCGAGGTCCACAACTCATAGAGAGGCCCACAAACTGGGATTTAGCACTTGCAAGGTAAGTTTTCTTATAACAAAAAGTGAAGTAAAAACCCTAAAGTTGCACAACTTGTTTATAGGCCAAAGAAAAGCTACTATTAACTCCACTGCAAAAGAAAAATCGGCTTAGATGGGCTAAAGAACATAGACAATGGACACCTCAACAATGGTGTGCAATACAATGGAGTGATGAGGCCCGATTCGAAGTTTATGTTGGTGATAGTCGCAGTAGAGTTATTCGCAAAAAAAAATAAAGCATTCCATGTTGACTTTCTGAAGATAAAAGTAAAATTTCCAGCATCTATTATGGTCTGGGACAGTATGTCATCAAAAGGAGTAGGAAAACTTCATGAATGTCGACTTGCTTGCTCATAACAACATCCTCAGCAGCTGCTTTGATTCATTCAATTTCATTCAAGTCATTGATGAGCCTACACGTGTTACAGCCTTCAGTTCCACATTACTTGATCCAATATTTGTTAGTAACAATACCAGCGTCAAAAGGTCAGGGACACTCAATGCAGACTCTATTAGTGATCATCGGCTCACATACTGTGATATTTCCGTTTGTTATAAAAAAATAGAGCCTAAATTTGTAACATATAGAAATCTTAATAGCATTGATATTCAAAGTTTTAAGACGCAGATTACATCAATGCAGCTTAATGACATTTATTTCGTGAATGATGTGGATATTAAATTCTCTATTTTTACTGGCCGTCTTCTTTATCTATTCGATCTCTACGCTCCGCTACGCACAGTACGTGTCACAAAACCTGCTGCGCCCTGGCTCACTCCTAACTTGAAAATGATTTTTCAACTCAGAGATGAGGCATTCGCTGCCTATCAGCATAACAGATCTGATCAGAATTGGGCCAGCTACAAAGATTTGAGAAATTATGCCCTTGCATCGCTTAGAAGAGAGAAAAAAGCATATATGTCACGTTTCCGGAATCTTAACTCTAGTCAAGCTTGGAAACACCTGAGGAGGATGAATGTGGTAGCCCAGAAACATGTTGCGATACCTCCCAGTCTCCTTGAGCCTAACATTTTAAATAATTATTTTCTTTCAATTTTTCAGACAGCTGCAGCTGATCCAAATTTGATTGATAGTGTCTCTAACTCTTATAGCGATAGACGCCATACACCGGATGCACCTCTGTTTGCTTTTAAACTCCTTACTCAGCAAGACATCGTCAATATAATCTCTCACATTAAGTCTACGGCATGTGGCTCTGATGGTCTAACTTTAAATATGGTTTGCTTATGTTTGCATGATACCATAGACCATATAACTCACATTATTAATGTCTGTCTCGAAACAGGTCCTGCCAGTTGGAAAAATGGTATTATTATTCCAATAGCTCAAACTAATCATCCAGAACAATATTCGGATCTCAGGCCAATTACCTTATTATGCTTTCTATCAAAAATACTCGAAAGAGCTGTCTACTCACAACTAGTGGAGTTTTTCGAACAAAATCACTTATTTCCTCTACATCAGTCAGGTTTCAGAGCTGGTTACAGCACTACTTCGTCTTTATTACATCTTACTGATTCCATCATTCACAATTTAGACAATCACATCAACACCGTCTTGGTACTGTTAGATTTCTCGAAAGCCTTTGATATGGTCAATCACCAGATACTACTGAGTAAGTTATCTCATTATGGAATGTCAGATATAGTTCTAAGGTTCTTTGAGTCATACTTGCTAAATCGTCAACAAACAGTGAAAACTGATCAGGGAATTTCCTCCTCTGAGCCAGTTCCTTCAGCAGTTCCTTACTATATCTGATTTATACCATCGATCTGCAAGACTGTTTAGTCCACTGTAGTATGCAAACTTATGCAGATGATAGTTAGTGTTGGGTTTCGATCCATCAAAGGTTGATGAAGTTTCTTTTAAAGTTAATTTAGATTTGGCTAACATCGGTGATTACTGTAACAAACACTGCTTGAAGATCAATCCCAATAAAACTACTGCAATGTTGTACTGTTCGAAGAACTCCTACCGTGAAATGAAGCAGAGGATTTGTGTTTTTTTGGATGAGACACTCATCCCTTTTGTGGATTACGCCAAGAATCTCGGTGTTACCCCTGATTTAAATATGAGATTCGATCGGCATGTCTCTTGCTTATCTAGAGTAACGTATTTGCGTTTGAAACTCCTCTATTCTAATCGATACATCTTGAATTTTAAAACCCGAAAAAAGCTCGCTGAAAGTCTTGTGTTGTCTGTCATTTCTTACTCTCTTGTTCTGTATTACCCATGTTTAGACTACGTCCACAAAAGGAAACTCCAGAAAATTCAGAACAGCTGTTGTAGGTTTATTTTTGGATTGCGCAAGTTTAGTCGCGTCTCAGATAAAATCAAAGAACTCAACTGGTTGCGAATTGATAAGTTGTTTTTATATCTTTTGACCGTCTTCACGCATAAAGTTCTACTATCTAACAGACCAGCTTACCTCGCTAGCAAATTAGTTCACCGAGGTAGTTTTGTTACCAGAGCTCTTAGATTTAATGCTAATTTTAACATGCCTCCTCACAATACCTCGGTCTTTGAAAGAAGTTACACATATAATGCTGTCAAGCATTACAATGCAGTCAACAGTAGCTGTCGATCCAAACAGGTTGTTTCTTTTAAGAAATTAATGAAAAGTCAGCTGCTGGAGTCCATTTAGTTCAGTTTTTCTTGTGCACATGTGATTTTCTTTTTATTTTTTTTTTTTTTGTTTGACTATTTTATACTATTTTTGTTTCAAATTTAAAACTCTCGCAATAGTATCTGCATTTGTCTTGTGCAATCAATGTTGTCATTCTTATGAATTGTATATTTTCTTTTGTATGTTATTATGTTGCTTATGTGTTTAAGTATTATTTTTTCCTGTTGTGGGGTTGAGTGTAAGAGTAGCCTCTGGCTAAACCTCGCCTCACTGCAGTTAATAAAGGCATTATTATTATTATTATTATTATTTTATTGATGGAAACAAACAAATATTTGGCAATTTTAGAAGAATCGCTTTTACCAGTGATGGAAGAATCTTTGACATCCGGCCAAGATTTTGTGTTTCAGCAAGATGGTGCAGTGTGCCATACCTCAAAAAAGGCTATAAAATGAATGGAAAAAAATAATGTACCACTTTTGAAATGGGTTTCTAGCAGTCCAGATCTGTCGCCTATTGAAACTTTGTGGCACGAGATGAAAAAGGTTCTACGACAACATCCTTCTCGTACAATCACCGAACTGAGACAAAAGCTTCAAGAAATATGGGATTATTTTACACCAAATTTTTGCCAAAACTTGGTTAACACTATGCGCCAAAGAATTTCAGCCGTAATAAAAAATAAAGGTGATGTTACCCAATTGTTGCATTGTTAACTTCGCGCATTTATTCGCATATTGTTTATTTGTTCAGATGTTCTATTAGTTATAGGTATAAGTGATTTCGAATATGTATTTTTTACTACTAGAGTGCATCTAAAATGTTTTTGAGAAAATAAATTGTTTTAGAAGTAAATAGTTTCGTCATGTTTAGTTTGTAAAGGCATATTTTGGTACAAATCTTGAAGTGGGCCAACTGAAGTGGGAAGGGGCTCATATTACCCAACAAATAGATTGACAAAAATCAATATAAATTACTTTTGTTAGACTGCGACTTTCCAAAAAGCGCTTTTAATGCGCTAAGCACATATGATGTAATTATTATAATACGATGATGCTGTCACCCCTGGTACCCCGGTAATTGCATAGTTGTTGATGGAAGTAAACCTACCTTGATATTTAGACCTCTGTAAGTCGCGTCAATTGCAGGATTGGTTGCAAGTGTGACCGACAAAGGTACATTTTGTGTGTATTCTCCCACCACAAAAGGACAATTTGATGAATGTCGCTCGTGTTCACTCCAAGGTTCGTCGGTACGTTCCCAACACACCTAGATAAAAATAATAATACCTGATTTCCATTTGAAGGATCATGCATTTATGCACGCGATTTGTGTCAGCCAACAATGTTCAATAATGAAGTCAGATATCGAACAACCATTTGTCGAGCATTGTTTGGTGACATGTTCGCATGACTCAAGAGCATAAATGTGCGCTAACACACCACTATGATCTTATCGAAAAATCTCTGAGAAGTTTAAACAAGCTAAATAAGTAATTTATATACCTAAGTCAAACTATCTAACATATTTTACTTTACTTATATCACCAATAAAAGGTTATTATTTCAGTGGATCTCTACCTATGAAAAAAACGATTTACATTTTTCTATCTTGTACTATAACAATGCTAGAGTTTTTATACTGTATACTCATACATCAATTGTATTCTTAAGTAAGGGGTTCTGCAGTGTTTGAGTGATACTTACTAAACAAACAGTACAGGTAAAGCACATTGCACGATCATGGCCTGAAGAATTAGGTTGATGATAAAAACCAGCTTGAGCCATCTGATCTGGTAAGGCCCATCTAGTAAGAAAATATATTTTAGTAGAAGCAGCACCTAAATATGTGTTATAATTACCTACGAATATAGAATATAAGTTTCGAATAACATATTTAGCATGAATGCTAAGTCCAAACAATTTTATCAATAGAATAATATTGTCACTTAAGCTGATATTTTTCAAAGAAGCTCTTGTCACCAAATGAGTTAAAAGCTGTTATTGAATTTTGAAAATGGAATACATCTTTAAAGCTTCATTTATTTTAATAGAACTGTTTCCATATCTGTAAACTGATTGTTTATTGATACTCATTTTGACCCAATATTTCAAAGTGGAAAAAACAAATATTTGGATTTAATCTTTAGAAAATCTTACTTGTAGTCCATATGAGGCCAATGCCTGTAGGTCTCCCTCCTCCTTGCCTCACTGGCCATTGACCGCCTGTCTGCTGGATCTACAGGTTCTCCAGCAAGGTCTGCTAACCTCTCTTGCACTGCTGATGCCACTCCCAGTTCTGGGATATGCTGATTTTTTGACAGAAGTGCCGAAACTGTGGAGGCAGCTGCACTTCGAAGTTCGTCCAGAGTAACATTTAAGCATACTGTGTTCCACTGAAAGAGATAAGGTTTGAAATATCCAGGAAAATTAAATATAAGGCAATGTTGACTAAAACTAATTGTAGTCTCAATAAATAAAATACAAATAACTTACTTTTTGAGCTTTGATGCCCTTCTTTGGAAGTTTCTGAGCATTCAAAATTGTGTCTGCTAGTTGAGTGACAATTTGTTCTACTCCAGAGGAGTTGCTAGTATGTAGTCCTTGTTTAACAATGACTGACTGGTTGCCATTAACTAAGCTTTGTTTCAAAATTATTGCCTGAAAACAAAATAATAAATGTTATACACTAGGTTCAAAAGAAATAAAAAATACTACAAAAAGAAATGGGGATATCATTCAGTATCAATGGGGATATCATTCAGACAATAGAATATTTCCTAGATTTGTATAGAAAAATAGGAATAAAAACATTGGATCTACAAGCTAAAAAATGGTTTTTAACCTCCAACAGTGATCACAGCAACAGGATAAACTAGAACAATGGTAGATCATTTCTTAAAGCAATACTTTGCTGCTAATGAAATCTTACTGATTTTTGATAGACAGATTTTGGTGATCACAGAATGTGAAATTGTTAAGGTTCAAAAAGAAATAGCATAGAATAATTTTTATAGATAACAAGAAAATAAATAACAAAATACATATAAGGTGATAGAAAAATAGATAAAGGTAAACATTTTGCATTCTTGTATATATGATAAAAACATGTGCGATAATTTGTCAATCTAACTCATGAAACTTGTCCTGAGGTTTTCATGCTGACGGGACTCCATTATTTAACCAAATCAAACCACATATCATCGATGATACAAGAAAGAATGGTAACTCTGTTTCTAAGAATTTTAGAGGAAAGCGTAAAAACAAATTGAGTTATGCATTATATTGTTTTAGGAATAATAGCATTATTATGATAAATGCAATATTATAGTTTAGTTGAGCAGTTTCTGAATGATACTTAAAGAAAGCTGAAATTTTCGAAACAAAAATGGAAAATAGGTAAAATCAGGAATTACGTGTTTTTCCTATTTTAACACATTCACGACGACAATGCGTGGAGTAAAATACAATTATAGCCGATAGTTGTTTTTTTTTTAGTGCAAATGTACATTTTCTGTAATATAATCGCTGGAAAATGTGTAAGTATTATTTTTACCTTTTTTAATATGTACCACCCGTGGTACACGACGGCTTTGATGATTCTTTTTTTCGTTATAGCCGTAGTGTACCACCGTTGGCCAGTGATGATTTTTAGCAAGATATGCAATGTACCACCGGTGTACTACGTCGTCGTGAACGTGATAAACGCCATAAAAAGTGGAGTTACGTGGTTTTCTGGTGTTAACAACGATATATGTTTTAATTTATCTCTACTGTACAATGTTTTTGCCTTTTTAAGTACAATGACAATCAATAATAGTATATTGTATTATAAAAAATATATAGGTACTGTCAATTTTCTCTGTACGAGGGTGGTCCCAGAAGTACCCAGCCTGACCTAGAGATGGTGATAGTTGTTTGAAAAATATCATTGTATTAGAAAGTATGCAACCTATAAAGCATATGTGTCAAGTTTGAAGAAAGCCACTTTGTTTAGTATTTGTTTCGCAGCCATCAATACTGAACGTTTTCAGTGAATTTGTGAAAATGGAGAAAATTGGTCATCGTTATGTGTTACAATACTTTTATTTCAAAGGCCCCAGCCCAACCAATATAAAAGCTGAACTGGATTCTACTCTGGGTGAGTCTGCTCCTTCGTTTACCACAATAAAATATTGGGTAGCATAGTTTAAACGAGGCCGTATGAGCTGCCAAGACGAGCATCGCAGTGGTCGACTTAATGAGGTGATGACTCCAGAAACAGTGAAGAAAATTCACAAATGATCGTCGACTGAAAGTGCGCGTAGGCATTTGCAAAAAGTGCGGTTCATCGCATATTATCTGAAAACTTGGACATGAGAAAGCTGTGTGCAAGATGGGTGCCGCGATTGCTCACAATCGAGAAAAACAGTGTCGTGAAAATGTTGCAATTGAGTGTTTAGCGAAGTTTCACAGCAACAAAGCAGAATTTTTGCGTCGTTTTAATAACCATGGATGAAACATGGATCCATCACTTCACACCCAAGACAAAAGAACAATCAAAACAATGGACTCAAAAGGGACAACTGGCTCCAAAGAAGGTGAAGACTGTTTCATCTACAGGCAAGGTTATGGTGTCTGTTTTTTGGGATGCATGTGTTATAATTTTCATTGACTATCTTGAACTATCAATGGCGAGTATAATGCGAACTTATTACAACGTTTGAGCGATGACATCAAGCAAAAACGGCCGCATTTGGTTAAGAAGAACGTGTTGTTTCATCAAGACAATGCACCAGCTCACAAATCTGTTATTGGAATCGACAAAATTAACGAATTAAAGTTTGAATTACTACCTCATGCACCCTATTCACCAGATTTAGTCCCCTCGGATTATTTTCTGTTTCCAAACTTGAAAAAATGGCTCAGAGGTCAAAGATTTTCCAAAGATGAAGAAGTGATGTCAGCAGTTAATGGCTATTTTGAGGAGCAAGACAGACCTCATTATAAAAAGGGTATCGAACTTATTGAACATCCCTGGGTAAACTGTATAGAACTCAAAGGAGATTATGTTGAAAAATAAATACATTTTTTACAAAAATGTTGTTTTCCTCGTTGGGTCGGGTACTTCTGGGACCACCCTCGTACTTGAAAAAGATCAGTATGATGGTCACATGCAATAGAGAGAAATTAAAAACTACAAATATGGTTTGATTTCGCCAGACAGTGGAGTCCTATACTCAAGTTCCTTGAGTAGGGGGTAATTATCTGCTACACAAAAGCTGTGATATATAGATTTGATGGAAAATTAAAATGACAGATACTTATTTAACACTAGTTCTTAAACATCAAATAATAAAGGATGGAACAAATTAAAATCTGCTTAAAGATAGAGTTTCAAAAAAGATAAATTAGCTTTAACATTAGTACCATTTAACACATTCAGTGCGAACAGCGTCAAAAGACGCCCTCCACTCCTGTGGTGGGAGGCAAACTGCGTCTTTCGACGCTCTCTGCCGGCTTCCAAAAAAAGTATTTCAGTTTCTGAGGTGGGTATCCTCATCCCAGTTCGCAGTCAATGTGTTAAAGTTAGGTTTAGGTATAAACAGGAAATGAATAATAAGAAATTATTCTTCCTTCAGTACAGTAAAACAGTAGTTTTAAACATGTCATATCATTTGTAATGACTATCTAATAATAGCAATTCTCTGTATTTTTAATATTTCCATCAAAACATGGCCTATATAAGGTTTCAATACTCTTCAAACAGCTGTTGAGAAATTACTATTCTTTTAAAAATTAAACATGCGTTAACCTTGAGATATTTTGGTATATTGAGCACAATCAATAAGTGAATCTTGTTTAAGCTAAACCAAAATGAGATTGAAATGACAATGGAAAATATGATGTCTTCATATCAGCTGAGAGTAGATAACACATAGGAAGTTGCTTTGCAGTTTTTTATGACAAAGCAAGGTGAAGTAAGATTTACCTCTGAGAGTGGCAGTTCAATTTTGACTTCATCCTTGCTGTCATGCACAGTTTTCTGCAAAATACTATCTAGGAGCAATACCCCATTGTAGTCTGACCTGACCCCCAGAGACTGGCCATCAGAGAACAGCACCCTATCAACTGTTGGAATGTATTTGCACTTGATTTCATTGAGATTTTGAGCTGAAATAGGACATATTATTACGTGCTGTTTATTTTTATAACGTTATATAGACGTACCCGAAAGGGAACTGGATTGTAATATTACGCCCGAGTTCACGTCTAGTACTTTTACCAGTCCGCTGGTTGTAGATATTAGAATTACGTTCAGCGATGGATGGTAGATTATTTCTTTCACGTCCGTATCAACATTTAAATAACCGTCTTCGTTTAAAATCCACTGATCCTCAGCCATTTTGCCAAATACATCTTGCGCCATTAAAAATTGAAGACTGGAAGAAAACACACATGTGTCATTTGTCAGTTACTAATTTTTTAGTTACTTTTTCACTTTTTTATTGTCACCCTTACTTGCAGCTGCGACATCTACTGTTTAGTGTCGCAAGCGTATCAGGCCACCTGGCGACAATGAACTTAAGCATCAGAAATAAGATCTCTCCTATACGTCTGGTCTAGATTACTGTACACCGTCGCTGGGAATGTCAAAGACCATATGATTTCCAAAAATAGGTACCGAGTGTTTGAATTCAAATTTAAAATTATTTATGATTTATCAAGTGAAAAATAACAGTCATCTTTGAGCTCGTAGATAATGCACAGCAATTCGTAAAAGTGCTTACAACCTTAGGTTTGATGATGCTTTTTGAACAATAATTAAAATAATTGCTTCAAAACATTTACCTTTCATTTTTCAAGGTAAGTGTACAATTTTCGATACATCTTCTTTGTTTTTCGATGTACTTTGTTTATTTTATGCTTTATTATAGGTTTATTTCGACTATCTGGCTTTCTTTTATTTGGAATGTTAGTAATTAAAGTACTTTATATTATTATTATTTGCAATGGCCAGAAACAGCGAATTATTCGATTGAAATTGTCTTGATCCTTGTAAACTGGTGAAACTTCGCGTAATAATTATTTATAATTGTGAATCAAGCAGTTCAATATGTCAGTTTTTTCAAAGTAATTCAGGTCCCCAAAAATTGGCATCAATAGTTTGTTCCAATAAAGAACATAGGGTTATCAAAAGTCACTGATAGTGTGTTTAAAGAGATTGCCCACTAGAGATCCAGAAGTCAGCCGTCAGCGTTCAGTTGTCGGTCCGACTGCAATCACAAACGATTGTTTCTGCTACTTTGCCGCTCTAGAGTGATTGATTTTTGGCTGACGTTGAATTTGTGTGCCAGACTACGAGCAATATAACACATACTTTTTTGATCGGTTATAGAAAAAAAAAACATAGACAAAAAACGAATATTTCTACAAGCGATAAAAAAGTGCTTGTTGTTGCTTAGTCTAGCACACATAGATAACCTTCACCAAGAACCGAGTACGTACCGCTTTCATGTTGCTGGTATGCCAAATAAGTTCATATGACATTTTCTGTTTACTCTTGGATTCCTATCAATTCCACAGCGATTATATAAGTAAAGGTAAATTGGAGCAGTATAATGTATATTATACTGATAAACTTTATTTCTTGAGCAGCAAAGAAGTACTTTGCTCTGTTAGTATACAAATAAGTATTGTGGTCTTTCTTAGTAGGACTGAAATTTATTTATAACATACCTATCATTCTAATTTTCAAATATATATCTCATAATTTTTTACACAGAAATTTTCTCTGCACCATGAAATCATCTAATGACATGTTTTACAAGTTAGAAAAATGGGCCTTTTTAACAAATAACAATATTTTGCCTATCACTTACTTTTTTATCTGCAATTGCAAATAAAATATTTATACCAACTGCTGCTTTGTGATGAATTTTTTTTATAATATTAGAAAATTGTAACCGACAGAAGACGTGAATATATTCAAATAAATTTGCAGATTTTGGGGCAATTTTTGTATGAAAGTAAACATGGATGTATTTGGAAATACTCCAAAAGCAAACTTGTACTTAAGTACTCGTTTATATGGACGTTTATATTTAAGTAGGTCGATATTTTATGCTTTTTATGAGGCCCATTCCAAGCAAAAGTCCTAGACTTTGGTGATGATTTCATTTGTGTTGTAATTTTCCTTGTCTGTATATGCAGTTGTAAAATTCCATGGTTGGTTAAAATATACACATTCGAGATTATATTTGATATAATAAATGTGTGAAAAGATCCCATTTGATAGCAATTAAACAGCTGCATTTTGACCTTCACGTCGATACAGCATTTTTTATCCGTTTAAATGTGGATACCAAATATCATGTAATGTTATCTCATTTGTAGGCTTGATGTGCTTCTATTGTTCGTAGCTAAAATGATAACAGTCGAATTGCCTCTGTTGCTGGTTTTCTTCTCGTTTATGTTCACAAGTAGGTAAGAAGACAGAATCATTGATACCAGAAGCACCATCTGCAAGGAAATATCAACGTAAAACCGGTACTAATTTTGCTTAGTAGTTCTGCATTTTCAACAAAGAGGAATAGAACCAAGGATATGTAGGCAATGTTTGTTATAGGAAGTTTCGAGCTTATCTCATTAGTATTTTTTCACACTACCAGATACTTTGCCTAAAAATGCATTTTTTGATACTTATCTATTGTTATTTACACGTAAAATCAATATTTCAGTTTTTGTTAAGGCACGTATTCGGGGTTTCAAATTCGATTCTCACCCTTGGGATCTCGGTAAGTGATACGAAGCCGCTTAAATGGGGGAAAAGTTGCGTATTTAGGTAACGAACAAAATGCCGCTCAGAAAGTTTTGAAATGGTGAATAATCGTCTTACAACTTGTCGGTCATTGTTAAGTATGGCGGCCAAACAACCACGATTTAGGTCGCGTGACCCAATGCCGCCCCGCATCAAAACTACGAGACACGGCACACGTGACCTTAATGGCTGCTCTCAGACTAAAATGCATGATTTCCTAAAAAAACTTGGTGCATATGTGAAAACACTCAGAGGTGAGATTGGTGAGATTTTCTTAACAGATCTTGCATTGACGGACAGTCGATGGTTCGTCCCTTCGATATTCCAACATCAGTTGTCTTCTTCTTTATCAAAGTTATTGATTAATTCCTTTTTATTTGTATAACCGACTTTAAAGCGATTTACATAAATAATATAGAATTGGACAGCGTAAGCATGAAGCTTATTTTGAAAAAACAATCTTTTTGTTAACATATCACATTTTGTTGCCTAGTAGCCAAATCAGAACTTTAATTCTCCAACAACTGATGGTTGTTTATTGAACTTTTCCGCGATGGCGTTATCACGGTTTGGGTATAAAACCGGAAATTTGCTCTTATTTCACTAAAAATATTTTCTTGCGATTGCGCTTCTGGCGTATATGAATTCTGTGAAGACTGAAGTCTGTTAAATCATGCCACTTTGCATTCTCATACACAACAATTTTCAGGCTCTGTCTACACAAACCTAGTGATATACCGTACCTGTTATACAATATTAGGTTACAACCAATCAGAATGTGCCTTACTGGGAAACGTCGACAACAATATCACAGAGCATTTAGAAAAGCTGGTCGAACCAGAGGCAAACATTATAGGTATGGTGAAAGGCACGATAGGTTCGATTTTTAGCGTTATCATTTGTATATTCATCGGACCATGGTCTGACAGGTTTGGACGGAAACCTGTTATTGTTGCCAACCTAATAGGTATGTATTATCATTGATCAACTTATTTCACTAGAAAATAAATATATGTCATAATTTCTGTTTATTGTACGATGTTTCGGCCCCTAGGCTGGCCTTTTTCAAGTATAATGACAACGACAGTATATATTTTATTTAGTTTCCGACCACTCTCAAAAAAATATGATATACAACCAAATTCAGGCCAAATCATGTTAGACAATATTAGGTTACAACCAATCATAATGTGAGTTACTGGAAAACGTCGACAATAATTTCCGAGAGCCGTTTTGTAGTTAGTGTGAACCTTGCCACCTTTCTTACTATTACTGCAGGTTGATTTTCTGTCTCGAGAAATTTTAATAATACGAAACCTTAGGATAATCATGAAAAAAGTTAAGCGTCGGCTTTTGTTTGGAATATTGATGTCAGGTTTCGGAATAAGCAATTTTCTTTAAAACGGAATTTGAGTCTGTTTTTACTTCTAAGGGAATTACTACTTAGCTACATTCTTTGACGATACGTTAATTATGCTTTATGTTTCCATTTTGAATTTTTCGGTCTAATAGGTGTCTATTCTCCTTCATAAGAAAATGTCGTTATAGAAGTGTCAGTCCAGTTAGGCGATCTTCTGCCATAGAGGCTTGCAACCACGTCTTGAACCTCCTGAGCGTGGGAAAGGACCTCGCTGCTGTCGGTACACTCTGATAATGTAGCAAGGATACATATAATAAGAGTAGGAATCAACCGTTTTGTAATTAGAGTTTTATATTTATTGTGTTTCATATAATAGTTTGTTTTCATGAATTTATATTTTCTGTTAATAGGGTTCACATTGTCGGCCATTCTAGTAGTTATATACTGTTTTTTCGATAAACTCTCTCCATGGTACCTGGCTGTATGTTCGTTGCCAGAAACGCTTACTGGAGGTTTTGCCACCTTGTTTACCATGATTATATCGTATATGGCCGACACTAGTACTGAAGATAACAGAGCAATGAGGTAATGTATTGCAATCACAAGGTATAATAACAAACTTGGTATTGTTTTTTCTATACGCGCAGTACTTTGCCGGTTGTCCATTGTAATAAATTTATAATTCTTCTGGGCTTTTACTCCCATAAGTAAAACACCTTAATTTATTTATGGTCAACTTTATTCTATCTATGATCCTTGTTGTTAGGTATTGGGAGGTAATTGCTCTGCTGTTCGCAGCATTTCCGGCGACCTATATTAATTGCAATACCTAACATTTTCTAACGGTTTACAATAACAATATACAGAGTATTCGTACCGTACTACACCGTATAATAAATCTGTAGAATTTATATTAATTTCCTTACCCTATACGTAGTCGTGCCATAAGTTCTGTCCCATGATAATCTCATGATAAAAATGAAACAAGATAAGATATATTTATATGAAAGATATTATTTATTCGACAACATTTTTAGAATTCATAATCAAACAGTTTTATTCAAAATGTCCCCCCTTGGCCTTCACACACTGCTTCAATCTCGCGGGCCACTCATCTATCACTGCACGCACAGCTTCCAAAGGAATAGCTGCCGCTGATCGGATCAAATCCGCTTTCAGGGACTCGATATTACGGTGGGCTTTGGAGCAGGCCAACTGCTCTAGCAGGTCCCACAACTTGTAGTCTAAAGGATTGAGGTCCGGACTCCCTGAGGGCCAATCTTCCGCAGCAATGAACTCTGGCACATTGCTTTCCAGCCAGCGCTGCGTACTCTTAGCCTTGTGAGCGGGGGCGGAATCCTGCTGGTAGACCCAGTGTTGGTTGGCAAACAATGTACCACTTAAAGGCTTGACGATAGGATCCAGTATGTCGCTCTGATAGTTTGCCGCTTTTGTTTTCACGCCCTGTTTACAGAAATGGAGCTGAGTGACCCCTTCGTAGGACACCCCCCACCAAACCATGACTGACGCAGGGTGGTGGCCTCTCTCAACTCTCGGAATGATCTCCGAAGCTTCCTGTGAACTCCTTGCATACACTTTGTGATTTTGTCGGTTGAATTTTTCTTCTATGGTGAAGATTTTCTCATCCGTGAACAAAATCTTTCGGAATCCCCCAGCTGCGTACACCTCTCCAAGAGCTTCTTGGATCTTGTCGCCCTGATGTGTCGCAAGGTGGCCGTAAGTCGCTGGCCCGTACGTCTCCGGTAAGCCCCTAGCCCTAGGTCTTGTTTAATGATGCGCGACATCGTCCGGACAGGAATCTTCATTTCCCTGGATAGGATCTTCTGCTTCCGGAGTGGATTCCTTTGAATCCTGGCTTTTACGGCTTTGATGGCTGCTGGAGTCCTTACTTGACGAGGTCTTCCGCTTCTTGGCCTGTCATCAACAGAGGACGTCTCATTGTACCGCTGAATGGTCCTAGACACAAATTTACGCGATATTTGAAGGCCGCGTAAGAGTTCAAAAATCTGACTAGCACTGTGATTACACTTATGTAAAGCTATCACTGCAATACGGTTCTCTGCCTTGCCCCACTCCATCGTTATGCTTCGAGAGATCAATACAAACTGAGGTATATGTAATTACCCGAAAAGCGCTTAATCAACTGACACCACAATGTAAACAATCGGACAAGTATTAACAGGTCTACACTTGTTTGAAAACGAGGGACAGAACTTATGGCATGACTATGTAGATGCTTTTCTTCCAGAATGGTGGTTTTTGAAGCCGTACTCACAGTAGGATCTCTGATGGGAGCAATTCCAAGTTCCTATGTTTTTTATTTGACCAGCTACCAAGCCATATTTGGTATAGCAGCAATATGCCACATTATAGCCGTAGTTTATACCTGGTTTTTTGTACCTGAATCTGTGACAAATGCTGAGACCGAGGTAAGATGTCAGTTTTTACCGGTTTGTTATATATGCTTTCTTTTCATTTAAATATCTGCATTCTTGATCAATTCATATTAGTAAAAAATATATTTCTATTCCAGAATAAAGTCGGTGAATTTTTCATCTTGGATAATGTTAAAGATATGGTGAAAGTGGCGGTGAAAAAACGTGAACATTCTAAAAGAGCAGTTATATGCTTATGTGTTGGGATATTGACCGTGTATATTTTCATAATAAACGGAAATACGCTAACATTCCAGGTAAGGCTCTCCTAGTGTTGACAATTTTCAATGGCGTGTTCTACTCTTATAAGTTCGTAATCCATAAAATGGATTAAACCAAATGAGATAAACTCTCCAAGGTGTAAACGAATACCTTTTTTGATTGCGAAAGCTTTGTTAATATAAACAGGCATGTTTTATATTTAGCATTGATTTTTTTATTTGCAGTAAATTCACACATTCACTGAAATGTATGCCCTTGTTTGCTTTCCGTCTCTGCGACCATGACCAACCGTACATGATGCAAAGCAAAGAAGCGAAAGCTCTTGTATTGTGCAAAAAATAAAGGAAACACTGCCAGCTATGATAGTTATGAGACACTACAGACGGAGGAGAATCATATCTATGACAGATTCTTATCGATGACGCTAGGGTATCTCATATCATGTCAGATAATTTATCGCGAATATAGCATTAGATTGCCAATCTTCAGGTAAAATATATTATAATCAACGTCAATGCTGGTAGTAGGGTCCGTTTGTAGTACTTTCCTGAGTGACGCCTATGTGTGAGACAACCTTGTTCGACTACCTTACATTAGGGGTTGGCAGGGATATTACGTAAAAACCCCATAAAACGTCAAAAACAAAAAAGACAAAATGTCAACTTGCTACCTAGATAGTTCCTAGTGTGCAAATAGTACATTCCCCGTTTAATCACTATGAGCGCGGTGACCGTCATCAAGAGCGTCCATCTGTGGAGAAATAACCCAACGACACGACGCGCTCAACAACCATGCTGCAACTCAGTTCCCCATCATGCTTTGTTGGTTACAGAATGCCAAGATAGTCTGTAGAGTAGCAAGACCACATCTGGATGATTGTGTGTATAGGTCTGCATGTGCATAAAATCAGTCATATTTGCTATGTGAGAAAATTATTGCTGAATAGGCTGCCCATGAGATATATCTATTACCTGTGAGAATCATTACGTAAAATCAGCACTGCACCCGCGTTGTGTGTAATTAAGCCACATCACAGAAACAGTAGGAATCTGATTTATATTTTATACTTGAGACAGTAAAATTAATTTCTAAAAAATTTAAATGAAATAAAAAATAATATAAAATGTAATAACTTTTGTACGTTTCATAAATATTCCTGTATGCACCATATTTTCTCAACTGTTAGTTTTAATATACTTCACCAACCAGGGATTTTATGTGCTTATCGCTCTCTTTTTTTAAATCCAGCAAATTTGCATATGTAATTTCCAGCAAAACCAGATGCGCAACTAATTTTTAGCTTTTTATACATCTCAAGTAAATGTATTTATATTTATTATAAGAAACCAGACTATTAGTATATAAATCCCCACTGTTCATCTATGCACTGCCGTTTCCTATGAGCTATAGTATACACCTTACAGCTTAGACCTCCAATAATGTCATCTCTGAAGCAGATGTAACATCACATCAGAGCCGAACATTGATAGCTGAAGCATCATGACGTTTAGGCAACACGTACAGCTACAGAACGAGTCCACAAGTGTACAACAGCTAGTGCTAAGTTGACATCTTGTAGAAAAACTTCCTTAATGTCACAAAAAAAAAACTATATGTCAAAAAAAAAGCAAAAATGTCACTTCAAAATACGTAATACTCCTGCTATAGTACCGCGATTGGCGAACAGGCGACATTTCGCTTTTATTTTTCTGGTGCCTTCACTAGTTCACTAAGCAAATGTTACGCACTGACTGATTATGTTAACTCCATACATGTTAATAGTGTCATCCATATAATTGTATAAAAATTGTTATTCCAGTATTTAAGAGAGAAGTTCGGCTGGACACTGACGCGGTACACAATATTTTCAAGTATCGAGTCTGTTGTATGGACCATAGGATCTTTCCTAGCCACTTACATTTTGCACAAAGTGCTAAAAGTGACAGAATCTGTTCTGATATTAGTTGGATGTATATCAATGCTGAATACATCGCTGTTATTCGCGTTGGCTAGGAGCAATGCTGTTATATACGCAAGTAAGTAGCTGTAATATTTTGAAAGAGATACTAATTATACGCGAAACACTTTGATTTCGAAAGAAACTCTTTAGGGGTTGATCGATACTCAAGTTTATCCAGTTTACTCTAGAGAAAACCGCGTAAGACGTCGATTTCAAAATAATGTAGACAAATTACTCGAGGTAACAAATTACATGGGCATCCATGCAGAAATCAAATTTTCGCTGATGAGAGCACCATGTCAGTGTCACGTTAAAAATTGTTCACCTTATACTCGTAGTACTGGCATCTGATCAAACCATTTTCGAAATTTCCTTTACAGCACCCGCCGTGAAAATCCTAGGAAGCCTGATTAGTCCTATGGTCCGAACGCTGGTATCAAACATGGTAGATCATGAAGAAGTGGGCAAGTTATTTTCCCTGATAAATTCGAGCGAGTTTCTGCTTGGTATTGGTGCTGGACCTTTGTACACGTTAGTTTATAATAAGACATTGGATACTGACGCTGGACTTTACAATTATCTTTCAGCGGGACTTTTCGGGTTGATGATATTGATGATTGGGTAAGTGAACAGAGTGAGTCGAGACTGTAGGAACCCATGTTACATCTGTGTTTATTATACAGGACGAAACTGTTGGCTTTTATTTTTGTGAGAGATGCTTTCAGTTTTCAATATAAAGATCCATATAAAATTGTTCAATTTTCTTTTACAGGTCTGTAATAAGCTTACAACTCAAGTCTTCTATCCCGACCACAATTTATGAACAGCTAGATGAAGAATCAGAATCAACAGCTGCTACTGGCTTTCAATCAAACGCCCCAACAGGCCATTAAGAAATATCACTACTACTAGTATTTTGAAATTTGGTACATACTGGCATTTCAGGCCATCTTTTCCCAAATGTCGAACAATAAAGAGGAATTTTAAACATATGTGGTTTGATTCGTCCAGACAAATATAGGGGCTTATCAACATTAAAACCACAGGATAAGTTTCGGATGCTTCATTAACCTCCCCCTTCTCTAGGTAGAACATTTTACATTGTTTCAAAATTGTATTGCGGCGACCTCGTTTACGACCCATATCGTCAGTCGTTCATACAATTGTAGCACGCCTTTATGGCCTCCTTGATTGTCATAGTTTTCTACTTTTCTGTATCAGCGCTCTATTTTGAGGTTATGTCACAAATATCTATTTGTATTAAATTGTGCATGCTTTTGATGTATATGATGTTTTATCAGCCTGAAATTGCCTACAATTTAAAAAGAAAACATCTTCACAATAGGAGAGCGCTGACGCTGACACAGAACAGGTGCAATCTAGAAATTTTTGAAGGACAGAAAATACTATGAGAATCAAGGAGGCCATAAAGGCGTCGATACGGCCCTAAGTTAATGTGCATCTGCAGATTTGTATCAGTTTTATCATATCTCATTAATGGTTCTCGTAGATAAAAAAATTAAAGGTATGATGAAATAATGTCTTTTATCAGCCACTTATACAGGGTGTTCCTTAATGATATGCGAATATTTAAGGGTGTGAATCTACATGAAAAATTAATGTTAATGTGCTTTATAAACTATGGTCCAAAACTGTTTCCTTACAAAAACTCGGGGTTTTGAAGTTTTAGGAAAAAAATTCAAATTAATTAATATTTTTAGAACTGCTTCAGATGTTTTATTGATATTTAGTTCGTAGTGAACGTTAGTAAATTTTGCATATTTTTCAATGCAAAAATAATTTGTAGCTTTAACAGTGGCGTGCGTACGGGTATTGACTTCGATATTTTTTAAGAAATAAATAGTACGCCAATGGTTTTTTGCCAAATAAAATTTATTTTTGAATTCCCCGTTCAATTTAAAACAAATGATCTTTCTTGGGTTGCTTTCCTTCGATGCGCATTTTTGAGGAAAAAAAATAAAAACCGTTGTTGTCCAAGAAAATTATGGTATAATAATTGAAGAATGCAATTTAGCAATAAAGATCTAGTTGCTCTGGAATATGTCACTGGCTTTTGACATCTGATAAGTGTCTGCTATTCAAATCTGTTCGCTGTGACATCTTTTTCATTATTTAGTTTTTACAATCTTGTTAATAATGGTGAATTATTCAAATGCAGAAATAGCGGAAATGTCCTGACGTATATCGCCTTGCCGACGGTAATGGTGAGCAAGCCAGACGGATTTATCACCAGAGATATCCCGATCGTGCTTTGCCAGATAGTCGAACCTTTTCTAATATTCATCGTCGTCTTGTTGAAACTGATTCTGTACGAAAAGGAACATCTGAAGGTAGACCTCTGAGTGTGAGAACACCTTAAATTGAGGAAGCAGTGCTGCACGAAGTCGAAGAACATCGTGAAACGAGTACGAGGAAGATCGCTAGACACTTAAATATTTGCCTCAAATTGTTTGTATAACCAGCATGGACCAAACGTCAATTATGAGAAAATTCTAGAAACCGGGGTGATATTTTTGATATATTGTTTTACATGTAACTACATTATCCTTTGTGCATAATTAAATATATGTATATTCGAGATAACTGTAAATTGTTTTTATAGAGAGTCTACAGTATATTCAGATAAGAGATAGACCGGACATAAACAAGACCACGTGATCATCGAACGCTGTAACATTCGGCAGGGACGTATTAAGAGTCACGCAGTACATATTTTAGATAGTAGATGCTGCTTTGCGTAACTTTGTAGTAAATTAGCAGACTTCGATGTGTATACGATTGGTGATGGATATAGGATCATGTGGGGGTGGGGTAAGAAATATATAATGATGTAAATATACATAAGGGTTTCAAAATTTTCGCTTCGATTTCCAGCTTCGGATGCCGCCTGATGTTTGGTGAAATACAGTCGAATATAATCTCAAAATGGCGTTTAAATTAGCCTAAATTAAAAATAATCGTATATCTCTTAAAATTGCTTTTAGAATGTTGATTAGTATATTTTTTGATTTCTAGGTAAGTATGTAACCAAATTAAACGTTCAAAACGTAAAAAAATGTGCATGGTTGAACATTGTCAGAAAGTTTTGCCAAAATGGGTTCAAAAATGTCAATAATTAATTAAAAAATACAGTAGCTTTATAATTACTTAAAAAAGACGCCATCTTTGAGTCCGATGTCCGGGCTTTCTCACGCAAAAATCGTCAGGTTCGTAGCTCCTTTATCTTCGGAGGAGATAGAAAAAGCGCGTCGAACGGCACGAAAATCTACCGATTTTTCAACTTTACCGGCCATTTTCGATCGCGTTTGTACCTCCTACCGCGACAAGTCTCGCTCCCCCTTAAAGCGCCGAGTTTCTAGTTTCTGAAACGGTATCGTTTTTCTTCCGAACGTTCCGCGAACCCGGAAAAAAACCGGAAAAATCGGAAAGTAGCGCGTAGTCGAGGAAATCAAAAAAATCGAAATTTTCGAACGAAAAGGCATAAAGAAAAAAAAAGAAAGCCGCTATCTTTGAGCCCGAAGCCGGGGCTTTCTCTCGCAAAAATCGCCAGGTTCGCAGCTCCTTTATCTTCGGCGGAATCCTATGTTGAACGTCGGACAGAACGAAAATCTACCGGTTTTTTCGTTTTTACCCGCCGTTTTCGATCCGATTCCTCCCTCTCACCGCTCCGGCTGTCGCTCCTGCGTAAAGCGCCGAGTTTCTACTTTCCTCTGCCCATATGAGCTCAATGGGATTGAGCTCGCAATGGTATGGAGGTAAACGGAGCACAGTTTTATTTTGACTTGCTGCCATTTCGTCAATAGCGTATTTTTGATATTCCGCCTTGTGATCCTAGACAATTCTTAATAATTGTACTTTCAGCATTGCTTCTTCAAAGTTGATATTTTTCGAGCGGAGCCAATTTTGAACATCAACTTTCCTTGAAGCCGTTGTTGGGACCTTCTCCATTCTTCGAGAATGATAAGGCGCATTATCCAACACAATTACTGCGTTTTCCTCCAAGTTCGGTAAAATTTTTGAAAACCACTGTTCAAACGATTCGCCATTCATTTCCTCGTGGTAATCTCCAGTTTTCTTAGACTCAAAGCACCACAGACCGTCAACAACAAATCCATCCTCACTGCCAATATGGCAGATAATGAGCCTTTTCCCTTTACCTGGAAATCGAAGTACTAACTGGTGTAGATTTATTTCAATAAGCGAACCTTTTTCAAATGTTTTCATCACATTCAGCGAAAAAACATTGAGACATGAGTATCAGATTGCTATAATTGGGATTATTTAGTCATATTGAATGAAAGAATATTGAACGTCGTATGATTACTCAGCGCTTCACAATTTAATTTAAAGTTATAAACCTTTAAAAAATGAATGATCAGGAACCTGAAATACGCGCAAATATTAATATTAACAAATTATCACTTTATAAAGCTTAAAGTATGAATTAAAATAATTTTTTCCATTTGAAATTTAAATGCTTCAGTAACGCATGGAAAGTTGATCGTTTGAAATTTGGCAACGTTGTATCTCCATTTACCTCCTGCAGTACTTTATCTATGGTAGGTATTTCATTCCTAAAGAAGAATTCATGCACTTTCCTCCTAATCGCATGCTTATCAGCTTCATCCAATGATTTAACAATACTTTTGCGATGTTTACTGGTCATTGGCTCAGAAAAGGTGTGATTTTTTTTGTATTGTCTTAACACATTAAACACTGATGCGCGACACACCCCAACTTTGTGAGAAACCTTCACAACAATTTCTTTGATGGTTGATGCCTCGTTCTCCTCGCGCTCGATCTTATATACGAGTATATTCAAAATGACCTCTTTCATTTCTGCACTCAGGTGTCTTTTTTTAGAGCGTTTCCTAGGTGGACTACAGGAGTTTACAACTTCATCGGCAGTATCTGTACTACTGGGCATTTTGCGCAAGCAGTTGATAACAATAACAAGGTATAACAATAACAACGACAAACCCAACAACTTAATAAGATAACAAACGAAAACTTCCAAAGAAATATCAAATTGCAATGATGCACACGACATACGTAACTCGTCTGAACCTGAATGTGACTCTGCCTTGATACGACTGCTCTGCCGCTCGGCATAGGCATTTAATTGCGAATTGACCAATGAGGGCTCCTGTTTTACGTCGAGACGGCGGCGTTAGCGTGAAAATCACCCGAACCTTTTGTTTACATCCGGTCTATCTCTTATCTGAATATACTGTACTATTACATTGATAAATGCAGTTTGGAACTTATGTGACCTTTCATACACCCATTGTTGCACATGCTTAACCTATGAATCATCCTTAATTAGAATTGGAACAAAACTTTACTGCAGTGTGTGTGCGTGTATATAAATCTTATCAGAAACAAAATTATCGTGTAAACAACGATTCTAATCGCCACAGTTTGATCCAGGCTGTCGTGATACTGAGCCACACTGCCTGGCATAGAGTTAAGATGAGTATACTGCTAGCACCCTCACACAATGGAGACAACTCAAAAACCAATGATTTGGTGTATATAGAACATCCTGATCAACTCATGTCACATCCAGAACTGATAGAGAAGCTTCCAAAGGAGTACCTGCTTAAGCTGTCACCATACCAGTTGGAGCAGTTTTGGGAGTGCCTGTCGAATAAGCTGAAGGAAGATAGTGATTTGCAAGAAAGGCGACCTTGTTACGAGCATTACAACAGACCAGAGGATGAAATTCATATAGATGGTCCTGCCCCTCCGAAATATAGGTGTTACGTATGCCAAGCAAACAAAAAAGTGTATGATACATAGTAGGCTAGTTTTCTAATAAAATTTATTTCAAACAACTGAGTTTATATCACAGCAACAAGATTATTATACAGTTAAATACAGTCACGTTTTCAATTGTTTAGAAGCTTTGTCCATAGGAGAGCTCAAGGGTCTTTTGAGGCTTGGGCCATCCTCTTCATCTGAACTTTCTGCTTCACTGTCAGCATCCTGAGTCATTTTGGAATTTCCTGAAAATGACAGACAATTTAGCATATCGAATATTATGCCTGCCTTAAATTAAAAGTAGCTATACGTCTCTGAATCAACTACACACCTTCAGATTTCTCGGAATCGACAAGCTTTGTCAGAGTTGCATTTATGCTTTTCTTGAACTCATCTAATCCAGCTCTGTATGAGCCCCAGTTGGCAAGATCAGCTTGAACAGATATATTTTCTTTTGCAGTTTTACTGTGCAAATTACATTTAAAGCTTATCATTTTTAAATTTTAAAAGTATTTTTTTATTGTTTGGAAATGTAAACATGCCAACCACAAAACATACACACTGATGCCAACTTGCGATGACGAAACAACTGTCATCTGTATCTATCAATGCACATGTCAAGGTTGTCCAGGAAAGCGTCATTCAGAGTTGCCATGTCATAATTAAATCATCTGGCCTAGGTAAATCAGAACTCAAAAGGTGATATACATAAATGCTATAAATTTGAAAAAGCGGATACATGACTATTTTGCATTGTTTAGTAATATTTAGCACAGAAAAACCAAGTCATCTCAAATTGACCATCGAAATGTTATACTGTCGCTATAAAATCACAAAAAAGGAAAATTAAAAACAACGTGTAAAAATGTAAATTTGAAGAAAAATATGGTATGGCAAATATGATGAAAACCTTTTGTTAAGGCGTAAGAGAAAAGTTGCACAAAAAATTTCTGAACAAATCTCCATGTCTTGTGTTATTTTGCTCTTCAGCTTTTTTTATGGCATAAATAATAATAATAGCGTTTATTTGCAGAGCAAAAAAATACAAAGAGAAAAACTTATAAATGAAGAAACAACATGAATTCCCTGCAAAAGGGACTAGTAAACAGACGAGCTGAGCAAAGTACTAGCCCAACAAACAAAATTACAACAGAGGAGTTCTTAACCAAATTATATAAGTTAATATTAATAATTCAAAAATAATAATTACAAACGTCAAAAAAATATATGTATATAAAGAAATTATATAAAAAATATAATTTATGGAAAAAGGTTAAATCATTTTAGGCAGATTTAACAAAAAAAACATTTAAAATTTTAAAAGTAAAGGAACAAATCAAGTAAACACTACAATTCATCTAATAGAAATTTTCTGTCACTTCTTTTGAAAGCTGACACAGACATAGACTTAAGGTTTGTGGGGACGTGATTGTACAAGTGGTAGATAAAATGAGAAAAACATCTGTTAAACATAGATGTACGATGACGTGGTTGGGAAATCAGCTTCCGATACCGAACATTGATATAGTGAACATCACTTCGAAATATAATCTTATAATATAAATAAGGCGGAGTTTTTATAGAGAATAATCTTATGAAACAAAACTGCAGAGTGCAGATTTTTCCTATTCAAATTTTTTCACTCCAAAAATAAACCTAAGACAAGAGTTTTGGACACACTGTATACGATCAACATCATACCTTGTTATACAAGGCCCATAAACTGAGTCGCAGACATTGAATAATGACAGAAAAAGCGTGTCACAAAGCAAAGCCTTAAGTTCGGTAGAAAATATATGACTATGTGGAAATAACATTTTGAGCCGACGATAATAGCAGAAATTGAATAATGACAGAACAAGCGTGTCACAAAGCAAAGCCTTAAGTTCGGTAGAAAAGATATGACTATGAGGAAATAACATTTTGAGCCGACGATAATAGCAAGGCAATGCATTTATCAACATGCTTTAAAAACCTCAGGTCACTATCCATAATCAAGCCTAAATTCCTGGTAGCGGATGTATGAGGAATAACATTATTATTAATTGAAATATGGAATGAATCTGCCACGCTCTTTGTGTGTTTCTCGAACAATAAAACATTCGACTTGGTTGGATTTACAGATCACTGATGTGCTATGCTTTATTCATTTGTCAAATTACTAAGATCTTCATTTAATAATGTAACCGCAGTAGTTGTATCTGTATGAGAGAACGATAATTGTATCTGGGTATCATCAGCATATAAATAAGGCTATGAATATATCAAACTACTAGTAATATTTGCAGAGTATACTGGAAAAAGTAACGGACCCAAGATAGAGCCTTGAGGTAACCCACACAGAACAGGCTTGAAAACAGACACCCCGGAAGAGCTTATGACAAACTGTGTCGTCTCCGAGAAATATCTTTTGAATAGTTGAATAGCATTAACGGAACATGCCATATATATTTTAAAATACAAAACATTAACTGGTGATTAATTAAAAAATTATCAATATCCCTGATAATTGTCGTTCGGTTCATAGATAACGGAAAATTATAAGAACGTTCTGGGCTTTTTATCTTTCTTAATTTTCTCCACTGGCAGATATTAAATTCTTGTGTCTTTAGTCTATGTGAACTGACCGAAAAATCGTATTCCTGGAGAATGTGGCAACACCGCATTATTGATCCTATATCCCATCCCATACCCATATCGAAATCGTGAATTCAACATGGCCGATGCGGCATCCGAGTTTTGAGTCGGTTTTCGTTTATATTTTAGGTATTTCTTTAGGACTTCCAGTCGATTATATGCTTTTGGTACGTCTTTTTCTTACCTTTTAACGTACATGTTGACATTTTGTCCATTTTTTGATAAAATAATCTTTTTAGGATTCAAAGGAACTTCACGATTTAGGGCCCACACGCTAGACATAAAGGTGAGTCGTTTGCGATTATCCTAGAAAGTACCTCGTCATCTGAAGAATTTATTGTGCAAATTTCAACTTTGATAACTATTCGTAATATTTATATGATTGTAATAACATTCCCACCTGTTTACGCTTATTTTTTATCAAACCAAGTCGCAAGAGTGCTTCTCCGGGGATAGGACGGTTAAACGTCATAGGTATTGCTTCGAATTGTGAATTAACTTACACATTTTTAGTATCTTGACCCCTCAGGCTGTGGGGCCGTGCCCAGTAATTGACTACTTTTATTGAACACAGTTCATGTGCTCATATTGAAGGTATTAGTAATTGCTTCTGTACTAGCATTAGTTTAATACATCTGATTCAATTATGAAAGTGCCACAAGGGCTAACAGTTTGAGTAAGGCCAACTAACCCTGGGTCTTAGACCTACATATATTGAAAATAGAAAGAATCCCTTTTAACATTTGTTCCCACCATACTACCAACTCTTGGGTGAAAAGCGCACAATCAATATTTACTGTAGACTGCACCATTTCCACACTATCAGTATTTATTGGCCATTCCATCAGAGTCTTGGCTAATATGGTCAATAAATGCCACATTCCTACATAAATATTAATGGATCAGAGTAAATACTGTTTTTGTGACATGGGTACTCTTCAGTATTCACATTGACTGCACTTTATGTGCCAAAATAATATTTGTCTAAAATTGGTAAGATTGTTTCTATGAAATCTAAATACATAAAGGGATTGTTTTTTAGGGGGACATCTTTTTCCTTGAATGTGTAAACAATTATCCTTTTAAATATGTGTATTATAACATTTCAAAATCAAGATATGGCAAAATGTGATGCGATTATAATGAAACTATAATTTATATGATTCCATGATTGTCTGGTTGCTAAATGAAACCAAATATGTTTGATTAAAATTTTTTTTCAAGCATATGTGGTTTCATTTAGTGGCCAAACAATAATGAAGTCTTATCAACATGAAAACCACAGGATAAGCTTCAGGTGTTACATTAACTATAATCATTGATTAACATTTTCACCTGAAGATAGCCAGCCTAATACCATATTCCCAGTTCAAAAAAATTATCTGAGATGAAATGAGATACTGTAGCATCATCTTCGAGAATTTGTAACAGCAATATTTCTCTCCATAATAATTATAAATATACTTTGAAAAGGTTAGTGTCTCATCGATGGTGCTGTAGTCAACTATATGTATAGCTAAGCTACAGCTCCAACTATGAGACATTAGCCTTTTTAAAGTGGATTTCTAATAAGTGAGGAAAGGAGAAACATACCTGTGACAAATTCCCTTAGGTGATCTACAGTATCTCATTTCTGATAATTTTTTGGACGCGGAAATGTAGTATTAGGTTGGTTATTAGGTATTTTAAAACTTTTGTACCTCTTTTTATTATAATTTTTACTTGTAATCGAGGGCTTGTCTGAAAGCAAAGGGGATGGGTGCCCATCAACAAGGTAGGCTGCTCCCCTGGTAGTTATATATATATTTTTTTTTTTTGACTACTCTTCATATAGTTGTGTAAGGTTCCAACAGCTATGCTGAATGATGTAAGCTGCAGCGTGAGCGTAGCTAGAGGCTGCCCTTAGGGCGGAGTTCTGTCACCCCTACTGTGGTGTATTGTGGTGATCGAATTCCTCGTGAGGCTCAGCAGTGTGGGTGTCTACGTGCAAGCCTATGCTGATGATGTAAGCATAGTAATTAGGGGGCGTTTTTGTAGAACAGTCTCGGAGATATGCAGGGCGCTCTGCGCTCTGTGGAATCGTGGTGTAGGGAAGTCAATCTTTATGTTAATGCTGCAAAAGACCGAGCTGATCCTATTTACTAGGAGAAGGAGGCTTGACGGGCTGGTCATGCCGACCTTCTTTGGCACTAGATTAATATTGTCCCAGTCAGTGAAATATCTGGGAATTATCCTGTATTGCAAACTGAACTGGAGAGAGCATGTTGAATACAAGGTTAGCAAGGCTCGCAATTCGATGTGGGCCTGTAGACGTGTTGTCGGTGTAAGGTGGCGGCTTAAACCCAAAGTGGTATACTGGCTCTACACGACGATAGTACGTCCATCTCTCTTGCACGGCTCCCTGATCTGGTGGCCTTGCATTAGAACTGAGACAACTAAGGCCAAACAATAAAATTCAGCGTTTGGCCTGTATTAGTATTACAAGCGCAGTGCAAACAAGGCCATTGAGTGCAATGGAAGCTCTGTTGGATCTCCCACCGTTGGATCTGGTGATCCGCGGTGAAGAGAGAGTAGTCGCTCATCGACTGTGGAGTCAGGACAGCTGGGCTTTCTTGAATCCTGTCAAGGGGCATACTGCCATCTTAGTCGAATTGCAAAGGGAGGACCCCGTCCTTCTAAGCAGGGGTGATCGTATTACCCCTAAATATCGCTTCAACCGCAAGTTTATTGTGGAGTTTCCAACGAGGGAGGAGTGGGACGCCGGTAGCCGGAAACTCTCCTGGTGTGAGCGGGCAGGTCTGGTACACGGACGGCTCGGTCACCAAAGAGGGCTCAGCTGCTGGGGTCTCTGGGCCTAGAACTAGGCTATCTCTGCCTCTCGGTAGATACACCACTATTTTTCAGGCGGAAATCTTTGCGATTCTGGCTTGTGTATCTCACATTCTGGAGGAGGGTGGGCCTAGGAGAAGAATAACAATCTTATCCGACAGCCAGGCTGCAATGAAAGCACTAAGTGCCTGTAAGATTACTTCGAGTCTTGTATTGCAATGCAGAGAGGCTCTGGATTGCCTCGCAGCGAGGCATCCGGTATCGTTAATATGGGTACCGGGGCACGCTGGGATAAGGGGCAATGAGACGGCGGACACTCTGGCGAAGACAGGATTAGCCAGCAAGCTCGTTGGTCCTGAGCCAGCTCTAGGAGTGACCGCGCATAAAGCTAGGAGGAAAATGGAGACGTGGGTTGCAAGGCAACACTCTCAGAAATGGAGAAGTATCTCCAGACATCTCCGCCAGGCACGAGAACTCATTGAAGGGCCCAGTGCTAAGGATGGGCGCTTCTGCCTATCACTGGATATAGCCAACCTAAGGTTGCTGGTGGGACTGTGGTCTGGCCATAACACGTTAAGGCGTCACCTGCACGTGATGGGGGTGGCTGAGGATCCCTTGTGTGAACGCTGCGGGGTAGAGGAAGAGACCTCGGCGCACGTTTTGTGTCGCTGTGAAGCTCTGAGCTACTATAGGCAGACTATACTGTGGTCCATTACTTTGGACCCTTAGGACGTCAAGGAGCTTGGACTCAAGGCGATTCTCAACTTCGCTAAAAGGGCGAGGCTTGTGATCTAAGGATTGTAGAGGTGCATAAGGGCCAGCTTAAGCGGCCTATGCACTGGCTCCTTATGGTGGCCGGAATGCCTCTAATTTCAAGATTCATTCATTCATTCAAGGTTCCTATATCTATGTTTGCTGCATCTTTTTATATATGGGGATCAAATTTGGCTGACAAGAGAGAAGAGTGCAATATGTGTTAGGAAGAGTTTGCCAAATTATCAAGGCGTGAAGAACAAGAACTGATCAAAATAATGACACCCGCCTTGACAATAGAATTAATAACTCTTACAGCCAGAGATTACTACGATGATCAGTAATACTCGTAACTTATTACCTATTTGTTTTTTAATGTTTTACTGGAATATGTCTCAGATCTAAGATAACCCTAATCAGTAGGGATTTCAAGAATAATTTTTGTTTCAAGTGCTGTCAGTGGCGCACCATTAATGGCTGCCAGAATAGGTTTAGTTGTAGTCATCACTGTTCTTGGCGTCTTCAACGTCATAATGAAATAAGTAATAGATCGAGTCTCCGTACCATGGACGGAATACTGCGCAGACTAATCTTCAGCGCATCTGCTATTCTCTCCAGTACGCATGAAGTAGGTAACAGAGGACCGCTGTTTTCATTCTCTTCTTGGAAATACTTTAATAAATTTAGCAAGAGCTGTCGGCCGTCTCGATTGATTGTATTTCCGGGCATTGCACAATTTTATATTAAAGATTGATAACAGGACTCTAATTGCACGCCAATGTCAAGTAAGTTATCACTCTGACAAATATGATTGAAGGACACTCATACGTAACGACAAAGTTTTCGAGATTGAGATACACAACTAAAAAACGTATGTCTTTGAGCTTACCGAACAAACGTTCACACACAGGAGTAGGTTGCATGTGTATTTGTGAGGGAGATGGAGATATATAAAGGGATACTGGTAGTTTTACTTTGACCCGCCAAGAACGGTGACTACAACTAAAGGTGAAATTCCTTACGAATGTCACGGTAGAAATTAAAAAAATTGGTACATGACTCTTGATACACAGTACAGTCTCCAAAATCCAAGAGTTCGCCAATTTTGGCCTGAAAAACAAGGTTGAAATCGCTTTAAAGTGAACTAATCTACAATTTAGATACTTGGCGACCTCAGAAATTATAATTTTCAACCGAGTGTTCAAGCATCGAATATACCCCCACGGAAACCCAGATGAAATTTATTCAAACAATTTTTTGGTCCGGACAGATTTTTTTCAGGTTTTGGAACAAAAAAGGCTTGTCTGAAAAGCCCTCGAAATTGGTATATTCAGTTCTTAAATAATATGTTAAAAATTATAATTTTTGCAATTGCCAAGTGTCTAAATTAAAGTTTAATCCCTGCTTTGTGTGATCCCTAGGCGTATTTTGGAATTTTTAACCTTGCATATGAAGCAAAAATTGGCGAAATTTTGGTTTTCACAGACTGTACATCTATGCTAAATTTCATCAAAATGTCTAAAGTTGTTATTACAGATGATATTAATAATGAACGCTTTATTTTTGAAAACGTTACCACCTTGTATCTCAAAACTTAAGACGTTTAGGACACAAACTTCCTTCTTAAAATGGACCCAATAATCGCCCCCTTAAATATTTACATTCAATTAGGAAACACCCTGTATATTACAGTGATCCATCGAAAATATGCGGTTTATCATGCGACTAATTTCCGATCTATGTCCGTAGAATTAGTTATTCTGACCATTTTATTGCAGATCGCGAGTGTTGTGACAGGAATCAAAATGTTGAAACATCAGTTGTCGAACACCTAAACTGCAAAACTGTTGTCTTCCATCACAAGTAATTATCATATAGTTAACTGAAGAATATAGTACCAGGAACATGGATCTTACACCAATGGAAACTTCAGATTCTGTAAGCATGGACCGATTTTATATGTCAAAGCGCCACAAAACACAGAATGTCACCATTCGCCTTCACCGTAGACAAGTATTTGGATGCAAATACAGAGGCACACATTTTCATAGTGCTAGGCAATTCTATCAGAACGTGTTCCCGAATTTCACTGTGATTAACGTAGAAAAACCGCCTTGTTTTTTGAGGAAATTCAGTCCAGATGGCAAGCATTTCATCGCCTTTTCTGCAGATCAAACCTCATTGGAAATCTACGTCTACAAAGGTCCTGCAGCTGCAGCAGACCTGCTCAAAGGCTGTGAAGAGCACGATGATGAAAAAAAAAGATTTGAAATACAGAGTAAGATGTTTGACAGATTTTTTGCATTCAAACATAGAGTTAATGTTGCGAAAGACTCGGAACAGTTGAACAGAGAATGCAGTTTATTTAGTGAGGATGGCCGATATGTCATTGTTGGATCCGCATCTTTTATACCAGAAGAAATTCGACCTCATTTTTATGAAATATACACAAACAATGAGTCAGTTACACCAAACTTACAATCGCCACTTGAAGATTATACATTGCACTTGGTCGACCTGCATCTAGGGAAATTGTGTGATACACGGCAGTTCAAAGTGGATAAAATTTATTTGTCACACAACCAAGGATTGTATCTGTACAAAGATACATTGGCCGTGTTGTCAGTTCAACATCAGGTGATACATATCTTCCAGTTGATTGATGGTATGTTAACAGAACTTTAGTTTGAGTGATTTGTTATGTAGCATAATCTCTATTATTATTTGTTTCTTTAATTTTTATACTTCAGCCACCACGCAGGCTAGGCTATTTTGTTATGTTTGATGTAATTAACAGCGCTTTGTTCCAATCCGCGGGTAGTTGAGGTTTTGCTACATACAAGTTCATATAACTCGTCATTCCTTACACCGCATGTACAATCTTTGAAGGTATGTTCGAGGACGTAAGAAAAATCGGACGCTTTTGCTACGAAACTGACAGCTACTTCTACAACTCTGTATACCCTTCATCCAGAGCGTTCAGAGAGACGGCGATAAACTCTCTCAAGCACAGACTGCTGGCATTTTTGTATAAAAGGGCGGCAGAGTTCAGTCGAAGAACGGGCGATCCCACAGAATTGAGAAAGTTTTTCCACTATTTTGACAACTTCAACTCTTTGAAAATGTGGAAGATGCAACTACTGGATGAGAATCATTTGTTGATAAAATACGCTAGTGAGGATGTGGTGACTATGAAATCTACAGATATCAACAGCCAACCGCAGTTCTTCGTCGTGTACAATATGAAGACTACAAACATCCTGGCAGTGTACGAAAACACCTCTAAAGAGTTGTTGCAATTATTCGAAAAGTTCTGCGATCTCTTCAGGAACGCAAACGTGTACAACGAGACACAGTTCACGTGCAGTCCTTCGAATAATATGTATGCAAGACAGTTGCTGAACAGGTTTAAGCAGACGATCATCAATGCAAAGTTTGGAGGTACGACTGAAGCGACGAAGAGGTTGTTGGCACAGCTGCCCATCAGTGCGCAATCATACAGCACTTCGCCGTATTTGGATTTATCGTTGTTCAGTTATGACGAGAAATGGGTAAGTCGTAACTTTATTGTCGTGTGACTTTGTAATCGTGGATCTAATGGACAAAATTGTGTTCATCGTTTGTTCACGCGTACAATTTCTGTAGCTTAGAGATATCGATAACACTGATAAACACAAGATCTGTGACATGACAATTTTTGCGTGCGTCTTATGTATTTTGAGACCCTTAAAACAAATCTTAAAACAGAATTTTTCTATCACCCACATATATCCGGTAACATTACTTTTATGAATTACAATACGTAACATCTCATATTGCTACATTTCTCGGCGTTTATGCGATGACGCACATATAAAATGTTAAGACCTGCCTATTCCTGTTTATTATATGAGAGCTCTATGTTTAGAGAGCATATTGCGTTTATTAGTAGACTAATAGCAGCCGAGTCAGTTAGTGTTCTGTGTTGAAGAGTACCAAGATTTTCTGAGTACTGTTAATTTTTGTTAAAACGGTGTGTTGTTTTTAGTTTATTGTGATCGAGACTAGCTTTATGGACCATGCCTAGAAATTGTGTAAGTAGTGCGAACAGTTTTTATGTGTGCGGAGCTAAATTTAAATTCTAAAAACGTTTTTTTACTCCGCTTGTGTTGAAAGCATACCAACTTTATTTTGGAATGAAAGCTGGCGACCAAGGTAAACTATGGGCCCCTCATATATACTAAGTGACATATAAATCCGAACACCCAGTTTAAATGGTTTTATTTTAATAAAATTTTGTATAAGTACTTGATGAAGCATAATACGTAAATGATAAAAATTTCAAAAGCCCTTTGACCTTTAATAATGTGTGGATGCACCCTGATGTGCTACGCATTCTCCAACGCGCCTAGGCATGCTTCTGATCAGGTGGTCAATCTCCTCCTGTGGTATCTCATTCCAGGCAACCACCAACTCCTCTCGAAGTGCTTCTAGAGTCTGAGGAGGACGTTGCAAATTGAGCAATCTCCTACCCATCATATCCCACACGTGCTCAATTGGGGATAAGTCGGGAGATCTTGGTGGCCATGGTAACAATGTGAGATCATTATGTTGAAAGAAGTCTATTGTGACTCTTGCAACATGTGGTCGGGCATTATCTTGTTGGAAAGTTGGATCTGCCAGCGTGTCAAGATAGGGTAAAAGATGGGGTTCTAGAACTCCGTGGATATAACGCTGCGCGTTCATGTTACCTCTGTTGAAGATTAAAGGTGACCTGGAACCATAAGCTATAGCACCCCAAACCATAACTCCAACTGTGTGATGAACATGTTTTTCAACAAAAAACTGTGGATTCCTCCTTTCACCACGTCGCCTTCTAACCCTGGCACGACCATCGTGCATGCCTAAACAAAATCGAGACTCGTCACTAAAGACAATACTGTTCCATTCCTGATTCCAGAGTGACCGTTGTCTGCACCACTCAAGGCGATTACGTCGGTGTTCTCGAGTTAAAGGGAGGACCCAGTGTGGCCGGTATGAAAACAAGCCAAAACTTCTCATTCGTCGGTAAACACTTCGCATGCCAATAGGTCTTCCGTGTTCTGCAAACCATTCATTTGCAAGGCCAATAATCTTAGGCGGCGATCTTCACGGTCTGTTGTTCTACGGCGGCATCCAGTGCCCCTTGCTCTTTGCGTACGGCCTTCTGGAAGCCATGCCTGACAACACCTAACCACAGTATCTACACTTCTTTGCACTCTAACTGCAATTGCACGAAAAGAAAGTCCAGCTTCCCGAAGTCCCACTATACGGCCCCTATAAAACTCACTAAGTTGACGAAATCGTATAGGTCTCCGTACTCTAGGCATCGTAACCGATCGTAAAGGATGTCAAGAACCAAAATCCGCCAACGTTGATTCTTTACTGCGGCTGAAATATTCATTTTTAGAGCGTTAGTGAATTAAAAAAAAGCAGTATAAAAACCGGAATGTCCAACTGATAAGGCTGAAAATTTTTTCACTTGTTATTTACAGTAAGATAAATACATTCTCCAACTTTTATTAAAATAAAACCATTTAAACTGGGTGTTCGGATTTATATGTCACATAGTATATGTTGTAAGACTTTTGTAACGTTGTTAACAGGTTGGTTAAGAGGCGACAATCGTAAAATGCCCTTTGCAGTACCAATGGTTTGGAGAGAACCGAGAGACCATACTGTTGATTGCTATTTTTGAGTAATAAATATTAAAGGTATTGGACCAAAATCGAAACATACTATTTTAATTTACCATCAGCTTTGCGGCCCGTTAAGCATTGTGATTAACTTTCTGTCCCAGTTCCACCAGAATCTTGGTCTTTGGATGAAAAAGTCGTATCCACCGATTCTGAAAGTGATGGTACAGAAAGCGTACAAATTTCCTATCCTTCGTTTGACTTGCCAGGATGTTCAACAGTGCCGCGTTTGATCACACAGGGCGAACTTAATGAGTTCGAGAATTGAATCTGTCAAAATCCCAGTCAGAACTTTTAGCGTCAAGATTAAAAGGATGGAATCTTCTCCTTGGTAATGCTAACATTACTTTTTACCGAAAACGGCAACAAGGCCTCACACAGTGTTTCCGTCAAGAAAGGGAGTTGATATATTGCTCCGATGTCAACAATTTGTTTGACGCGTTAGGATAGAAACATGATCCAAATGATTGGCGCCTGTTCATTGATTCCTCTAAGCTTAGTTTGAAAGCGGCATCGATACACAACGGTAATAAATATCCATCTGTACACAACATTTCCGAGACTTAGTTGGGCAAACATTAAAGAGAGCATAAATACTTATTTGTGAGTCCACAAACACGGAAAATCATGATGGATGATGTATTTGACAAAGCTCTAAATGAAACTGAATTACGAGCTTGGAATGCTTTTAAATCAGTTACTGCATTTTTTTAGGCAATGTGAAGGCGGACAATTATAAAGATTGTGAGTGAACTAATTAATGCTTATAAAAGAATGGGATGTAACATGTCTATAAAAATTCTCCTTTTGGATACTCATCTCGATTTTTTTCCGGAAAATTTAGGTGCTGTAAGTGATGCAAGAAAAACGTGGGTGATCGAAAAAATCGAATGCTATTTCCGGCTTTTTGGGTACGTTTTACATAATCACCTTGTTTTGTCCATGTCACAAAATATTATTTTGATTTTGTTCACCAGTGTAATCAATAGCTGTTTGACAAGACAAGACAATGTGGGTCCAGAATATACAAAAGCTGCGAGTCTTATCTCCTTGCTTTATTAAGTTTAAGGGACATTTTATACGAACGCCAAATAAGTCGCGCTGACTCCGACCTGTCGGATGGAATGTACTTGATGCCTTCTATAAATTGACCCCTTTAACTTTTTTGCTTAAAAGAAGTTGTATACAAAAATACTAGGGTGTGATATGAAGTTTTTCATGCAATACCTTTTTTGTAGATAGGATGTCTCAGAAAAGAGCTACTAGAAGTCGTATTTTTTTAAAAATGGTACAGCCTGTATATTTACAGTGAAAATGATAGTCGTGATGTATGGTTTGTCATAGTTATTTACATTAGTTTAGTCAAAAACTGGAGAATTGTGTGCCATTTATTTGTGTGGCCAGGTTCAAACCAATGTTCATCTAGCTATACAATCTGTTATAGTTATACGGGGGTCAGTTTATAGTGAGACATTGTGTACATACATTCAACAGCGGTTGGTTAAAATAGTTGACATTCCCTAAAAAATCTTCGCCATTTCGAGATGTTTTCCAGGCGTTTTTTTTTATTTCAAATTTGTCATTCAATTTATTGTAGTATATTTATGCGTCTTCCCTAGAAGAGCTTGATTTGTCCCATTTAAAGTTATATAGTTTCAAAATTCGAATCTTCATATAAAACCATAAATTAGGATTTTGGTCATTTGTCTAAATTAACACGGCCCAGGATGAACTAAGCTATAATATTGTGAACATTGTGGATTTGTTTAAATATTGTAATAGTATTCGTTGATCAGGTATCTGTGATGGAACGTCCAAAAGCATGCGGGGAACATCCGATACGATTCTACGCTAGGGACTCCGGTTTTCTCAAGTTCAAGATCTACGCTGGTACGATCAAATCCTCCATGCCATCTTCTAGAAGATTGGTCGCTTTCACGTTTCATCCTACAGACCCTTTTGCTATATCTGTACAAAGGGCCAACGCGGAGTATATTGTTAACTTTCATATTAGGCACGATTCTGGCGGGACGATGACGATAAATTCCTTATGAGCTTTTTGTGATAGTTAATTATGATACAGTTGATTGTATTATTTGTATATCGTAACGAATCATCTTGAGAATGTTATTTTGCCACTGATTGTGTTTTTCCTATCAAATTATGGACCTTTATACATGTGGTGCCTTGATGATCAAGTTCTCTTGTTATAGTTTCGGGAAGATTGTATTTTGTATCATTGGTTGTAATAAACATTTTTATACTTTCCTCGATTGAAAATATTTTGCGAGTATTTTACTTGTTAAAATATTTTAGCAACTTTACGACTTGTTATACAATGAAATCAAACTAGTCATATGAGTTTTCCTAAAAACAGTTTTATATGACATTACTGCCATTTTCTTGATTTTGCTGTGTTATAATATGAACCAAAGATGAAGTGTAACTCCTGAAACTCGTTCAAGTTCATAGCATTGTCTAGCCTAGTGTTTTCCAAAGTGTGGTACGCCTACCCCCAGGGGTGCGCGTGTACAGTGCTGCTGGATCACATATACTGAAACCGACAGAATGTTTGTCTCATGTTGAAAAATTGTTGGAATTAACTTCTGACAGATTCACAAAAAATAAACATAATGAGTGTATCTTAACATTGTTCTGGTAGAAAACACGTATCCGGCTTTAACAGAAAAAGTATTGAAAAGAATTTTTCTGTTTCTAGCTATATATTTATGTGAAGTTGCTTTTGCAACACTTGTAGACATAAAGTCTAAAAAAGGAACATTTTATTGTACATAGAACCACAATCCAGGTTAAAATTAACATCCAGAGAACCACATTATGACGATCTGATCTCACCCCAGCACAAACAATTCCATGCTTTACATTAATCCAAACAAATATTATTCACAATGCAAATTTTACTTGTTTCCTGATGAATATATTTTATTTTTCGTTTAATGTTATTTTGTGTATACACTGAAAAAAGAACTTGATGTTTTATTATGTATTTTATTTTTTGTTTGTTACTATTTTGTGTATGTACTAGAGAAAGAACAATATATATGTTTTGATAACAATATACATCCACCCCTTTTGAGAAGGGGTACTAAGCGTTACGAAAATCACAGAAGTGGTATATGAAAAGTTTAAGAATGGTCTTGCACATATGTGTTTAAATTCCTGTTTATTGCACATCGTTTCTATCACCACGGTTGTCTTTTTAAGTACAATGACAATCACGACGGTATACTTATTTATCTTTCTTCCAGGTGACAACTTATTTTTTGCTTATCTCCATTCCTATACAGCGTGCTGCGACATCAGATTGAATGGTCCTGCAGTTTGCCCAGTTTTACCAGGAAATCAATACAGTTTTAAGATGGGACCGTGTAATACCAGAAAAGCCGAGGATCGTCTGGGATAGGCATTCCCGTTCCCAAAAGGACGTTCCGTTCCGGAAAGCGACAAGTGAGCATGATGCTATCTCGTTTTTTAATGTGTCAGACACGGCTCCCTCGTCAATCGTCTCATAAACCCCGCACAAGCTGTGTGGGCTTTTCGCGTTCTAGGGATGTGGCATTTTCGGGAGGATAAACGAGGAGTACATTAAAAACAACGGTGCTACATAAGGTGACTAAAAGACCGCTCAATCGACTGTCGCTACACACTGTATAGGAATGAAGAGAAGAAATAATGGAGCTGTCATCTGAAAGACAGATAAACAAAATATACTGTGATTATTGTCATTGTACTTGAAAAAGGCCACCGTGGTAATCGAAACGTCGTACAATAAACATGAATTTAAACATGTATATGTGGTTCGATTCGTCCAGTTCTATAAAAATGGAATGTTTATGTTCAACATTACAATAGCAATTGTTATTGTATGGGAATACATTTGCGTATTACTGTATTGATTTGTTATGCTTATTTTGAGCGAAATGTGAAGTGCAAAAATGATTTGATTTTTTAAGCTTTTTGCTTGTTCAGAAACCTGATAAACTGAGAGCTTATACATTGCGTGTATAGTACACTGTATTCTTCATTGACCTTTCATAATCCTGGCGACGAAAGGGCGTTATGCAAATTTTGTTCTGTGAAATTCATTACCGGTATTTTACCATGTGGAATCCAAGCCAACAAACCCTAGATTTCAAACGATTAAAGTAGCGCAAATATTCACAATATTGTGGCGACAAGTTTGTATACCATGAGTTGATCAATTGTTTTTTAAATATTTGTTGATTTGCAATCAGTTTTTTACGTTGTATTTATGCCGGAGTATACTGTTGTTCGTACAGTGAACCTGCGACTCGAATTTCGTAATTATGGAAATCTATGACAGTCAATAGTATCAGTTCCATAGAACCAGGATACAAGTGCGACGGTTAAAATTGAGTGTTTACAGGACATCGATCTTTCATAACATCATTTTCATTTATATCTGGTTATGCGATTGATAATAACGGATTAACGATATCTGGATATCTGTTAGATATTAACATCATTTTTAATTTATTTTACTGTGTTTAGGCATCTTAAAAGAAATTATATATGGTAAATATTATCCTTGAACATCCAAATCGAGCAATCGTTCGCAAAGTTCCAAATAGTGCAGATACTTTTGAACTGCTGCAATTCGCTTTTTATCTAGTTTGTGGCATGTTATAGTATATTGTATCTACATGCTTCATTTTCGTGTTCCGAATCTGAGTTTCGACCTTTGAAATTAACCTAAATGTCTTGCCATCATATATTTGGATCGTTATGATAATTTCGACAACTGATTTTAAGTAATATCTACCTCAAAATTATCATGGCAATATCAAAATTAGGCGTCATCGAATTTGATTTCGAGCGTCGTAATTCAGTTAGAATTAGACCCCTGGACATTAAATGATACGGTTGACTTTATATTCCCGTTTGGGAAATGTGTCTCTTTGACTTGAAGCAGTACTACATTAATGTACTTATAGCGCTAGTGTGATTCGAAATGGGGTGAAAATAGTTTCTCAACGACGATAGTGGTTCCAAATAACGTAAACGACTACAGTTGAACATACTAGTTGCGAAAATAGATTTAGTCTTTCGGTCTATGATGAACTTGAAAATATCAAAAAAGAGTACACTGGTTTTTTAAAAATATTTGGTAAACGGACACAGTTATGTGAGTGAATGATATGAGTTAGCGTAAAGTTTTTTCTATTTCGATTTTGCATATTCTATGACCTTTCAATACTGTCGATATAATCTTTACTGATAGATATTTTCATTTTTCCGGAATCTACGGATAAGTATCAGTCGTATCTATAATGTATTGTGCGGAACAATTTACGTCAGATATGGCATTAATTAAAATGTTTGTAATCATACAGATGTTTACTTGTGACGAAAAATAGTTTGTTTTTTGTCTGTTTTATTTTATATTGTATCCCAATCATGCGGAAATTTGATTTCTCGTATTTTATTGTACATATTCAGTTTATCTTATCTCTCTTATCTTATTGGATAAACAAATGCAATTTTGCATTTGTGTATAAAATTTATTTTGTGAATAGTTTCTTATACTGACTACATATGCCTGCTCTAAGAAAAAACAAACATATTACACCTATTGTATGCTTTTCCATTACGAAGCGTTAGCTGAACTTTTAAGTGAATAGAAAAATCAGACAAAATGCGGCAAAATCGTCCGTGGTGGACAAAGAAAATCAATTTATCCATCCCGTACAGGGCATTTACTGTTACATCGTGCGTACTATGAGAACTGAACAAAGAGTTCTCATTGTGACGGTATTCATTTTTGAGATTCCATCTTGTGTTTCTGGCGTCAGGTTTAATTTTCGTTGCAAGGCAACTATCGTTTATTGTTTTGCAAAAATAAACATTTTCGCAGCATCATAAAGCGATTGGGAGATCATCGTTAAATGCTTTTTGACCTCTCTAATGCCTATTTTAATTGGGCATCGTCAGGTGAAATATGTATAGGCATTATAGAGACCAAAAACTGATTGAAGATCCTGGCGCTATCTATGAAACAGTAGCGGAACCAAAGACAAACTCTTTTCAAAGTGGATTTTTAAATTCTTTTATGTGTATGGTTGGCTATCTTCACGTAGCATACGTTAATCCATGCTTACATAAGGTTGTGTTATTACCTACGTCGTTTTGGCATCAAAGTTGTGGCTTACATGTCAGAATAACGTAATGTTGCCTTATGATTCTTGCAAATGTTAATGATGCTAAGGTCCTGAGTCAGATATTTGTAGTATTTTGTGAAATATGATTGACGCCCTCGTATATCATAATCCTAATTCCTTGACATTTATAGCCCATAAAAGCGCGACAGAATAAATCTCTTTGAGACGAGAAGAGTTTCTTGATTAAACACCATCTAATTCAGGTGAGTTTATATAGAAATAACTGAGGGTGTTTTAGATATAGGAATTGAGCATATTATTTACCTGCTTTAATATTTACAGGCTATATATGATATGCATTTGCAAGGATTATATATAACAGTTAATAGAGAATATGTTAAAACATTTTAGCATATCAGAAATATTTAGACTAAAATATTGATAAAAATCTATTTATTCATTAGCTGATTCAAAATGATGATCATTGGCAGCTATCTCGATTGCTTCGTTCTGATTGTACATTGGGAGATTAGATTTTTTGAACGATACAATGCAAGAAAATCTCAAAAAGCCATGTCACTCATTTCAATTGGCGTTTATCCGCTAACCATTGGTCTCTCTATAACTCGGAATGTATGCCAGGAACGAAAAAACTCTAGGTTTTGCTTATTTATCCAGTTGCGGCGCCGGCGCAGAAACGCAAAAAATGAAAAAAGATACGTCTATGGCGATTCAGAAACTCCTGATTTTATCCTTTTAAAATTTTTTTAGATACTGATACTTTAAAACCAAGATTTGATTTCATGGAATGGATGTACCCATACTGCATATAAGAATGCTAGTGCCTAAAGGAAAGCGTAACACAATTTCCTACTCCATCGAAAGCTCAATTCCTATACTCTAACCAATCCCTCCAACTACAAATCCTAATCTCGACCATCTTCTTGTAGCTACGCGTACGATATGTCGTGGGCGGGATGGCCCGGTGCTGCCGGCGCCATGGCTCACCAATCGGCGCTGTTGCAGACGCCTGTCAATTCCGCGCCACCTGTCATGGCACCGGGTGCCTCGGCAGCGCCCAACCCCATGCAGTACACCCCGGAACAGTGGGCGCAGGCGCAGCAACAGAATTGGCAACAGTGGGCTCAGTGGCAGCAGCAATATCAGCAGTGGCACCAGCAGTACGGAGCTGAGGTAGGTCGAACACTGGTAATTATGGGGATGACAATTTGTCAAAAACTCAAGGACATTTTGAAGTGATAGAACAAATAATTTTAAAACACAACCATTCTTTACCGTTTACTTTTATTTTGCGATTCAACTTATTGATATCTATTACACACTATTTTTCAGTATGAAACACTATTATAATCGGTGCTTTCGGATTTCGTTTTTAGATGAAAAAAATTTTAAAAAATATGTTTATATTATCAGTATTAAGAAGAGTGGGAGCTGTGTTTTATAGATCATCTCCAAATGCCAGCCTAAGCTGTATCTATAGATGTCCACCATCTTTCGACTAAAATTTTCGGTAAATTTTGGCACAATTGTGATTCAATTTAGGTTTTTAATGGCTTGCAAATCATTTAATTATACTTTATCCGGGAAGAATCCTCACAAATGATGCCAAGTTAGTTAGATTGTATGATCAAGCCAGCGGATATCATCATAGTAAGAACTCACGCAGTCGTCAGAAAAGCATGTCTGGCAATTCCAAAGTTTCCATCGTCGTATGACACGTCCTATCTTGTTGAAAGAATATCTTGTTGAAAGAACATCTTGTTTAGGTGCATATTACCAGATTGGGACTCAGAAAACTATATTTGTGGTAACACTCGTCGTGAATATTTATCTTTGTACCATCGTTATTTCCATGAAAAAACAGAGTGAACTATCCTAGTACGTTTGCACAATTCTGGAGCCTTCTTCCGTCGTGAACCGTTTACAATTAAATTTCTGGGGTCCTACATGACATATGCGCTATACAAAATTCCTTAATAGTCAAAATGTGGAAAATAACGTCAAATGTTGTATGTAGGCAAATCGAAAGTGCGTGAGACAGTAGCTCATAGGTGTGACAATGCATTAATCACTAAATGTCGCGCGAAGTTTCGATTTCTCATGTTTGTATCTATGAGGATAACTTTTATACATGTTACGTTTTTTTCTCGTTTTCAGTACCAAAAATCCTTGACGGCGATGCAAACAGTAGCAACGGGGGTACAACCACCTCTTCCTGTTAGCATGCCCGGTGTAACTGTAGCTCCCCAACCCCCACTTCCAACTGAGAATCCTCCATTACCCCCTGAAGAAACCCCCAAACCACCAGGTTATAACACGGCACCTCCTCCTTTGATGGCGCAAGGTCCGTATGGGGTATCCGGACACCAACAACAATATGGAGTAAGTACAAACAATTAGGCAGATAAAAACATCTCCTTAAAGCTGCACTTGAATACTAACAACACTCACCTCTGAAAAAATATTATTTTATATGATCTCCGGTTTTCCGAAAAAAAAGACAAATACTGAACAAGCCTACCTAGCAGCTAGCATGGGGGTCTTAGTGGTGCTTCTAGCTTAACCTTATAAAATTTTTTATTCTTCAGTTCGGAATAGGACAGTATCAACAAGAACCGAGGACGCCTCAGCAAGCACAGAAGAGGCCCTATGATCAGCGGGCTGATGCTTACCAGGATCCCTCGAAAAGACCATATGATGGGGCTGGGGCAAATAGACCTGGAGCAGGTGGACAACAGTGGCCAGCTGGTGGTGCAGCAAAAACGCCTTTAGGTAAGTTGAAATAGTGGAATCAAGGAGATTGACTCATTCGTACCAAACATGTAACGGGAATTATTTTAATCGCGAGTAGTCCAGAAAGTATCTGCATATCTGCTCGGAAAAATATTTGGATTTTTTTGCGTAAGCTAATTCAAAAATGATCCCCATTAACGAATCTGCATTTTGTCAGCCCCAAAATAGTTTCAACAATTCGTAAGCAAATTCCAATAATTGTTTTTCTTCGTTTAACAGAACAGGCTCTTATGAACTTTTCTCTAAAAATGGTAGTTTTCGAGAGTAGGTATATGCGATTTAATATCCGAAAATCCGAAATATGCTACTTTAGAAGAAAAAAAAAAACAAATTTCTACAATAAGAATACCACCTAAAATGCTTTGAGATTTTGCTAATGTGTGAATATTTAGAAACATAAGTATGTTTTTTGTTCAGAATGACCTGAAGCAGGGTTGTTTCATTTTAAACATTTTATTTTAATCAATTGTTTCAAACATGTTTTAAACATTCACTTAGGTTTAAAACAGTTTTTGTTTAAAACATGTTTAAAACACTTAAATTAAACAAGCGTTTTTTTCTTCATTTTCTCTATTAATATAATAAATAAAAATAGGAAATATTCTTAAATACATTATTCACACTTTTTAACATAAATATTATTTGGACTTGTCCAAAGCAAATGCAACATACTTTAATTTTTTTAAATAGTCTTGGGCATTTGTCTTCAAATTGGTAAAAATTTAAAATTCAAAGTTACTTGTATCATTATCTGGGTAAACATTCTTTGAATATTTTTGAGTTTCATAGATAATTGACATTGGTAGCTGAGAATTTTCACATTTTTGAATATGTTTCGTCATACGCAGCACTAGTCCAGCCATAATTACTTTACATTTATCAGTCACTGATTTTTTGTTATTATCTTTAACAACATCAAAATAGGACCAAATGGCATCTTTCTTTCTTCCTGTAGGCGACATTTTTCAAAAAAAGAACACCACAAAATAACTTACAGTAGACGTTATTGCAATAACCAACTTGCAAGGCAAATTTATAAATAGTAGTCTGTAGTTCCCCCAGGCCAATAGTTCCTCATTGCAATTGGTTTTTGTTATTTCGGGGATTCACCGGCACAGCCTAACGGCGGCGTGGCGCGACGTGGTTCGTAACAACTGATCGCGACAGTTTTGTACAGAGTCGAACTTTAAATAAGGTATCTATTATTTAGTAGAATAATAGGTCGAACATTTTCAATTAATATTATGAAAAAATATGATTTAAACAATGTTTTTTTCGAAGTTTTATTTGTTTAAAACATAAAATTAAAAAAAGTTTAAAACAAAAAAAAAACGTTTAAAACAAAGAATTATGTGTTTTGTATAATATAGAAAAACATGTTTTTTTTTCAACCCTGATCTAAAAGATAAAAAAACTTTGTTTGGAGCGAAAAAAAAAACGAATTTTAAAATTGTATAAACATTCTTTGCTTTTTTCAACAAGATTATGCAAAAAAATTGGGCAATATTTATCCGAGCAGATACGAAGGTACTTAACTAGAAATATTTCGAATATTTGAAAGTATGCTTTTTTGATGTCCTATAACATATACGTCATTGTAATCGTGTGTTGCATATGTGCATATTCATGATAGTGAATTCATTTTATTTCATTCGTATAACGTTTCGGCCATCTAGGCAATCTTCAGGTACATAAATTATTCTGGAAAATATCAAAAGCGTATTTCTTATAAAATATTACAATTAATTACACATACTACACGCACCGTATATACAAGTTTAACATTCTTAGTTTACAGAAAACTTTATAATGGGTTTATCATACCGTTTTTTAAAATTAATTCTCGAACAGGCACGTGCACATGTAGTATGATGAATTATGTCAGCAATTCTTATTTCTCCAAAAAATCAACCTCTTCTCTCCAGCCAACCAGAAATTCAACCAATCAGCACCGCAAGCAACATCAACGCCAACGCGTTCCGATGGCGCGGCTGCTTCTAAGCAGAACACTGAAGAACTCTCCGAGGCAGAGAAGAAGTTTGATAAGGAGTTCGCCGCTTGGGAAGCGCAGTTTAATAAGTGGAAAGAGCAGAATGTCAACCATCCAGACAAGGCGCAGTACAGGGAGTACGAGAAGAAGTGGGAGTCTTGGAGGAATTCTCTACTGGAGCGCAGGGAGCAGATGCGTAAGAAGAGGCTCGCTCTGGCGGAAGCAGTAAGTTGACAGTTCGAGTCTTGAATCAAAAAATAAATTGTTTTATGTGATTTATTGCATTTCTCCCAATTAGTGAACGGTTGAATGAGAAAATAAGTTTTAATTGGTGTTTGGTGTTGATCGTTCGTCGTGAATACGGTCAAGAATTTCGTCAGATTCATTATTGCCAACAGTAAAGATTTAATTCAAAAATTTCATTTGAAGATGAGCTGTTTACCTCAATCGACGTTAAAATGTGAAGTGCCGTGAAAAATAGATTAGTTAAAATACACGCTGGGCTATAAAGGTGTTGGCAATTCAAAAATAACTACGTAATATTAAAGAAAAATAAATGTATTTTTAAAAAGTAGAAAGATAGGAATTTTTAAGGCCTAAAAATAATTTTGTTCAATTGACTTCCTTCAGCTGCTTGGCACTCTTGAAACCGAAGATGCAGATTTTGGAAAACTCGTTGAAAAGTTGTTCTCGGTATTTTGTCACTTTCCTGAACAATATTCCTCTTCAGCCGCTCTAAATTAGTTGGGTTATTCTCGTAGACCACCGATTTGAGGTAGCCCCAAAGGAAATAATTGCATGGAGAAAGATCGGGGCAACGTGGTGGCCATTCAATATCCCCCCTTTTCGAAATGAGTTTTCAGAGAAAGACATTTTTCAGCAGCTCTATAGATACCCTAGCTGTATGACATGTGGCCTCATCTTGTTGAAACCACATTCTAGAGGTATTGCCTTGGAGTTCTTGCAAAGCTGGCACCAAAAAGTCTGTTATCATATTGCAATAATCGTTAGCTTTAACTGTCATCGCTTGCTGTCTTTCGTCCTCAAAAAAGCCCGGTCCAATAGTACCGGTTGACGTAATTCCGGCCCACACGACTAGTTTAGGGCTGTGAAGTGGACGTTTATGCAAGCGTCGAGGATTAGTTTCGGACCAGAACCGACAATTTTATTTGTTAACATGGCCATTGAGGTGAAAATTGGCCTCATCACGAAACATCACGTTGTTAAAACTGTTGAATCGGTCGAGCATCAAATTGACAAAGTTATGTCGGTTATTGGCATCACCTGGTTTTAATTCTTGGACTGATAAGCCTTCAAATGCAAATCACGCTTCAAAATTCGCCGCAAGCTCGTTCTTTTGATGTCCAAAGCATGACTTCTCTTACGTGTTGACTGATGCGGATTTCGCTAAACTGAAATACCAACACGACGCTCTACATTGTCGGCTGATCTTGCAGAAACTGGACGACCACGAGCTGTTATTGCTACTGTCTGTTCGTGTTACACAAAATGCACGCTGCGCTCCCGTGTATGGCTCCATGGCGACTAAATTTCCAGGCAACGGCGCGGCTAACAGCTTATCCCACCCCCAACTAGCGCCCCACGATTCCCAGAAATTTAAGATTTAAATCGCCAACACTCTTAAGGCCCACCCTGTAATAATGTTTATTGTCCAAACTGCAAGCAGATAACTAGAAATGACAAATTTCAGAACAATGAACATGGGAGAAAACCCGCAGAAGGCTTGCCTTGTACCCGGGTATGCATGAGCTTAGTTGATGCTTATTATGTGCTGGAGTAAGATCCTGACAATGTTTTGAGTCTGTAATGCGTCTCTGCCATTCTCCTTGGTCTGTGAAACATACTATAGTTTTTTCTCCATTCATCAGGCCAGCGCTGCAACTCCATCTACGCCAGCCACAAAACAAGCCGCCTCTGCTCAACCTACCCCCCCTATTGGAGCCAGCGGTCGCGAAACGCCTTACGGTGGGGGCGGTCGCCAACCACCTCAGGGAAGCCAGAATCGTTTCGGTGCCGGAGACGGGGCATCGCCATATTCCAAACCGCCTCCAAACGTTGCCTCAACCACCTATGGCGATGATGCGCTGGGCAGGGGAGATGGTGGGGGAGATTTCTTGAAGACATCGGGCACTTCGGCTGGTGGGATTCCCGGGTTGGATCTGGTCAAAGACGGGGATGATGATGACGAGACGTCGAAAGGTCACAGCCAGGATGGAGATGTTATAGGTAACGTACATTCAAGCACCTGTTTACCTAGGGCTTGCTTTAGTTAATAGCACCGATCTTGTTTTACGTACATGTTCAGAAACAACTGCGTTTGAAATAACAGAGTTAATTTGCGGCAAAACAGTTCCGTAAACGTACAAAAGGAATTGAGGAAAATTACTCACTATTTGTTTGGTATGGTATTTCAAACCCTGCCATGTCAGCTATTTTATTTGTAATTAGGTACTACTTGAAGTCGTTGCTGTTTGATTAAAAAATATGTTTGCTCAGTTCATAAATTTGTAACATTTGGGGCTGTCTAGGTCCTCTAATGCGTCCACCCAGATGTCTTTTGCACGATAAAAACAAACCTACGCTGCTCAGATAGAAATATCAAGGACGACGGCGACTTTCTGAGTATTCAGATACATTCGCGGAGTATCAATAGAATCTTGAAGTCTCTCACAGTAAACTGATATCAAATCAATAATTACGTTATTACTGTAGGAATGTGCCAATTTCGGTTTTAAAATGTGCTTTGTCGATACACCGCGCGGCGCCTGATTTTGATACTGACTGAGTCATAGTACCACAAAACATCTCATACCCTTTGTCGTAAGAGGGATGAGAGGTGGCCTTGAAATGGATTATTTAAAGTCTTTCAGAACTTAATATCTCGGTTATCTTGAGACTTGTGTTACTATGAAAACTTGCTTATTATTCCCTGCAAATAAAAGTCCCAACTGTGAGGACACCCTGGATAATTAGAACAATATCAACAATACTTCTAAACTTTGGTTCCATTCTTCAAAACACATAACTGACCCAAAGTATTTGGTAAATAGCTAATCATGTGTTGCCTGATTTATTTACTGTGATAACTTTGTGTTTTGCCTGTAGGTTGAGCACCTATAAATGCAAATGTATAGTTCTTTCCATGGCTACATCACAATGTCATCAAAAAGTAAACGCACGCCCATGTCATACTAACGGAGACAAAACTAAAAAAACATGTCTGTGAGATAACACAAGCTTCTACGCATAGGGGCCCATTGCATATATATATGTGAGGGAGATGGAACTATGCAAGTAATTAGTAGTTTACTGTGCCAAACAACCGCGAAAGAGCCGTATTTTTTCATTATAATCTTTTGGCAAGCTGTTTTCGTAGATAAATTGCAATAGAAACTCTTAGAAATTGTTTTATCCTGCGCAGTCTTTTATATTTGTAAAACCTTGTGAAAAACATATAGATTTTATTATGATCTCTGTCCGCCTTAATACAATCATAAACTCTGCAATCAACCTTAACCTATTTATGGTAGCTTGATTGTAATTGAGTCGGAGATCTCTATACCTGTAGTGTCTAGTTTTTTATCTTGCTTGCCAGAATCGTACGAATCGGATAACCAAAGATTCAAACACCAGATTCCATGGAGATGGAATATTAACTTGCTTATCACTTGACGCAAGGTGCACGTTCCATACGTGATCAACTAATCTAATTAGGCAACGTAGCTTCAGCCTGATTATACCGGGGCTAAATGTCATTTAAACGCACAGTTTACTACGGTGCAAACATGGCAATTGATGTATCGCAGTGAAGCTTGGACATACTCTAAAAACCCTTTGTTTGTGTAGAATTGGACAAGGACGATGCGAAGCGCGACGTCGCCTCAGCCCGACAACAGGGACCGGACTTCGCGGCCATTTCCAAGGGCATCAACACCATCCTGGGCGATCAAAAGCTGCTCAGCATGTTGTCGAAGGTGTCGCAAAACCAACCGTTGCCCGGTGCTGGTACTCAACCGGTGCTTACTGATACAATCGCTGGCGGATTCACAGGAGGAAAGCCTGACTATAGCGCCCCACCCCCTTCGTTCCAGAATTTCAGAAGTGCCCCGCCTCCTGGTAGTGGTGGGTATTCGGTACCGCCTCCGGCGTTTGGCGATGCTGCGGGACAGAGGAGCAGCTATGGTGGAAAAGGGTGAGCACAGTTACTTTTAAATAATCGCCGAACAGGTTTTACGCTCTCCCGCGACAAAAAATTATGATGCGTTCCAACTCTTGCTCATGCATGATGCTACTAACAGCTCATCTACTTCGGCGCGGCAAATAAAACCGACCCCCTTCTTCCTGACAGCCCCACCCAACATATACCACGACGTCGCCCCACTCAATTCACCTAAGGAGTGTTAAACAGAAAAGTCCGGTTCATATTTGATTCACCCTCGGAGCATATTTTCTAATACATCGGAAGTTTGAGACAACTGTTTTTTCTGACATGTTGGGGTCTTTCATAATTTTAGGCGTAATGAAGGGGACTACTATGACGAAGGGGAACCAGTAAACAACTTTGATGACCAGACGCAAAGTAGCTTTCATGACGATGGATTCAGAAATAATAGAGGTAACGATAGATTTCTCTTAAACATTAAATAATAATAATAAACTACAATTTATTGATATTTGCTAATGGGAATTCTTTCACTTCCAGGCCCACCTCCTAGCGCCAGACCTCCATCGTTAATGGCATTGGGCGGCGGCAAACTAGTTCCGCCCACTCAAAATGACCGATTCGGAGCACCACCTCCCGAAGATCGATTTTCCGGTCCGCCACCCAATGATAGATTCAGCGGCCCGCCTCCAAACGACAGATTTGGAAGACCTCCTCCTGGTGACAGGTTCGGAGGACCGCCTCCCGGAGACAGATTCGGAGGACCGCCTCCGAACGATAGATTTAGTGGACCGCCTCCAAGCGATAGATTTAGTGGACCGCCTCCAAGCGATAGATACGGCGCTCCGCCCCCCCAATCAGCAGGTAGGGGAGCACCAGAAGACAAGTTGCAAGGAAGGCAGTTGGGCAACAACAGGTTCCAGGATAGAGGTACGTTATTTGTATAGTGTCATTTCTTGTCAGTTGTCACGATGTCAATTCGTTAAATGTCGAATTTCCATTTTATGCTTAATAACTGTAATGGCTGCGATGTGAGGTTTTGCCTCCGCTAGGCGGCGCTTGTTTGGTCGGGAGTCAAAGCTGTCAAACGAAAATCAGAAAAAGATAGGTTTGATAGAAAGGTAATTGAAAAAAGATTTGATAGAAATATAACCCATTTTTCATGTTTTGACTTTTAATGACGTACACACACACATGTCTCTCTGTATATGACTCCAAGCCGAACTTTCGCCATAAGCTTCTAGCTTTCCAGATTAATTCCCCCCATTACTGAAATGTTTAATCAGTTTTGTGCTATATGCACTATTACAAAAGATGTATGAGAAATGTCAATTTTTCCACAGGTGACACGGGAGGCAGAAATACCGGAAACTTTGGCAATAAAAGAAACAGTTTTGGTCGAATTGAAAGTGGAAACTATGGGGATTATGATGAATATAATGAAGAAGAAGATTATGATAAATATCATGAAATGTTTTCTGAAGATGATCAGAATCAAGATATGCCGCCAAGAGGTATGATATTTCACATGTTATGATTTTTGTTTCATTTTAAAATTGAGTTAGGGCTTTTAAATAAGGACTCTTACACCACAGCTCATCTGTCAAACGTTCAATGTTCGACATTAAAAATGGCCTGACGAAATAATTTGTTTAATCAAATATGGGAAATTTATATTATTTGCTATTTAGAATGTCTATTTGTTGCAAACAGGAGGCCGATTTGGTCAGCAAAATGAGAGAGGAGGTTGGTTCGGTTCTAAGGATGATAGAGGACGCTTTGGTCCTCAAGGCGGAAGAGGAGGCCGGTTCGAGCAAGACGATAGAGGAGGTAGATTCGGTGAGCAGGGCGATGGAAGAGGTAGATTCGACAGTAGGGGTGATCAGTTCGATGACAACATGGAGGAAGAGTTCGATCAAGAACCTCCTAGGGGACCTCCACCACTTATGCAACGGAAACCGATGGACCTCCCACCTCCGGTCAACGAAGCTCCGCCACCTTCAGTAGTCGAGGAGCCTCAGTTGGAGTTTGAGATCATCGATTACGATCACAAGTCCAAGAAATGTAAGCATATATATTTGTTGATTTCTAAAAATGGAAGTGAACATTCGCCAGGATTGATTAGGAATTTTCCTCGCTTGTTTGAATGTCCAACTATTTTTAAAAAAGCGGTTTTTTTAACTTAAGGTGATTCTTGCACTGACGATTTCATTTATTCATCCCATTATTTCGACAGCTTCATAAAGAAATTCACATACTACTTAATCAATTGGAGTATTTGAAAATGAATGATGTGACGAATTATGTCGGACTCTATCATGTAGCGGCAGTGTCCCTCTTCTATGCACCGTTCATTATTGCCTCAGGATATAAAAGTGTTCGACCGATACTGGCACAATTGTAATGGAATTTATACTTTTTTATAGCTTCCGATTTTGAGGTGATTGTGGAGCCGTCGTACATGTTCGACTACCGCCACAAGCCACTAAATCGCATCCCTTATCCGCAAAGACCTGGCTGGTTAGCAGAAGCGGTGAAATTCATCAGGGAATTCGATCCTTTGGCTCCTTTAAAACAGCACTATGAACGCGTCCCCATACCCAAGTATGAATGGAATCCGAATGAACACATCCCGGGAAGAGATAACCGAAGGGATGTCAGGATGGACGATAGAAACAGGTAAGAGATGTTTGATCTGTGAAAGTAGGAAGTTAATGTGGAATACAGGTATGTGGAGCGGATATTCTTCATTTTTACGGCATCTGGAATAACCTCTTTCGCAACTCTTAAGAAGATCGATAAGATACCAACAGTTACCTTTTCAAAAAAATCGGGTGAGGTTTGTACTCACGTAATCTAACTCATCCTAAGGATGTTAGCATTTGCTATGAGGCCAGACACTATATTTCACGGTAGGGTGGCGTCCTGGGTTTGTTGTGGGATTTTGAACTGAATCAGACTTTCTAACACTTTTATGATTTATTTATTTAGATCCGTGAACGTAAGAAGTTATTGATTCAGCTATTTATAGTCGTCAAAACGTGAACATTGATCAATAAAGTTTTAGCTTGGGGACTGATCTGCATTCAAACTGAAATCTACAGAACCACGTAAACTAAATGACATAGAAAATGCAACACCGACTAGGAGTGCTCTAATGTTGAACATACTTTTACAAACAAGTTTTAGGTTTACTGATAAATAGAAAGTGATTAAAATTTTAACTTGAAATTTCGCGAAATAGCTGAGATATCTCACCTTAATGTTGATGATGTCTTGAAGCTCCCCTGTTCGTTAAGTCGTCGCGGCATTGGCTTGCTTGTATGTCACTTGGTATATAATATCGCGGATAAACTGACGTGCTTTGCACATATCTACAGCTTTTTTGCGTAGGTTGTTGACCTGTGCATCAAACGACTGTTCTTTCAATTCACGTTTGTTTTAATTGTAGATTCGACAGAGACAGATACAATAACGGTAATAGAAGGCACATAGAATCATTCGACGCTGTTGGTGGTCGTAGAGGAGACAGACCGAACCGCGGAGGCGGTTCTATGGAAAGAAATAGAAATGATAGGGAAAGATACGATGACAGGAATGATAGAAATGATAGGTACGACCGAACCGATAGGAATAGACCCGATCGACGAAGGAGAGACTTTAGAGATAATGATAGACCGATGTTAAGGAAAGAGGACCTGGAAGAATTGTCTGACGATGCGCTGGACGAGTGGGAAAGGGACGATAATTATGAAAATAGGAGGAGTCCTAGTCCGGTAAGGAAATATTCGTTTCTAGCACTAGAATCTTTGAAGCATTAAAAAGTTCACTATCGGTTTGATAATTATATTCCTTGGCCGTAGAGTATGGGTATGAGCAATCCACCAAATCCCGAACCTGTAGCACCTCAAGAAGCTATGATTGATGATATTTTAAGTCCACCAGGACGGTTCAACCGACCACCTAGGATAGTGATCATTCTTAGAGGACCTCCTGGCAGCGGAAAAACGTATTTGGCTAAGCTTATTAAGGACAAAGAGGTGAGTAGATTAGACCTCTGTTAATAATATTGAAATCTAACTAGCGACATCTATTTCTAGCCCTCCATTATTTTGAAAGCCTCGAATACCATATCTGCTTAACTTGTTTCGCTCATTTTTTTTTGTTTGTTGTCCTCAGGTTGAACAAGGCGGTTCGGCACCTAGGATCCTCTCCTTGGACGACTATTTCATGGTAGAGCAGGAGCAACAAATAATGGAAGACGGTAAGACGCAGATGGTCAAAGAAATGGTGTACGAATATGAAGCGGAAATGGAGGAGTCCTATAGGACTTCTTTGATGAAGTCCTTCAAAAAGACCGTCACCGACGGCTATTTTCCCTTTATCATTGTAGATAATATTAACGATAAGGTTAAGCATTTCGGGGAGATGTGGAGTTTCGCGAAACAGAACGGATTCCAGGTAAGTGAGACGCTTATTTTATTTTTGCATTTCAGTATATTGGAGAGATGGAATTTATGTGCGGAGTTTTTCTATGAGTGTCGAAATATTTTACAGTTAATTTCGGGAATTTAGCGAACACATACGATGCTGCAATCGTTTAAGCACATGTTGAATTTGTCACAATTTTTTTCTGTGACTCGAAAGCGGCAACAATATCCCCTCCAGTTTCCACCATTGCTTTCCTGTGTACAGTTTTTTTTACCTGGCATCGCTCTACATGAAAATGTCTGCATTCTGTTTTTTTCTAGGATTTGTGATTTGATATATGCTATATTAAACTTCCTTGCAAAATCGAAGCGTTCTGTGAGATATGTCATGAGCCATTTCGTCTGTACCCTATCGATCCACGGGCTCGCGTCATTAGCCCCGGCTTGATCGTCGCCCCAAATGCAAAAAAAAAATTCAAAAATTGTCCCCCCTCTTTATTTTTTTGCGGCAAAGTAGGGTTCTGGATCTCGGTCTGGCCTTAGCCCCCTTCATTTGCAGGCGCCAAGGTTCTTCTTCAGGGGCCCCTACATAGCTTATGAGAGCACCGACGATGTATCTCGCTCTCACCAGGCTTATAATCGCGTGTCCATAGGAAAGTTTCGTTCTCTCCAAATAGACTAAAAAAGTTTCATTTACATTGTTCCGTTTCAGCTATAACCACTATTCGACAAATGTGTTTTGTATTAATCAGATGCTAACTATAGTTTATCTATGTTTTTTATACAAACATCATAATTAACGTAACGTTGAATGTCCTTGATGTCGCTCAAACTGCAACATCGTTCATCGATCGTCTATTGAATCTTTTTGCTATTTGATTGTGCCCAGTTCATGCCATTTATATAAGAACTATACAGACTCATGATATAATTGGGTTGTTTAACCTGTTTGTTGTGTCTCGTTGCGTTACGCTGTGGGACCGCATGACACGACATGAAATTTGCTAAGAAATTAACTTTTTATACGACAATTTGGAGTCTATATACCAGGTGAACTGGCCAAATGAGCAAAAAACTTGACGCCTGATTTAGGGCGCAGTGATCGAAGCGAGTTTTAGCTACTACGTATGCGCAGGGTATCTGAGGTTATAGTACGAGATACGCCGCTTGATTCTGTAGGTGTGTGTGTTTTTTGATAGAACTTCAATGATGCATAATAGTCGAATAGATTATAGCAAGGTACCCCAAGTAAAAATCATCAAAATTTGGGGAAAATCCCCCAGCATGACAACTCGTCAAGCACCACTGGTATTCCAGACGCCAACTTTCGGGGTCGTTTTTACAGCGCGAACCGCATTGCCGTATTTTCTCCTGGTATATAGACTCCATGATTGGCAACCTGACAATAGTGTGGTCGTTTTAAATGTCAACGGAGGTTGTCGCATCTATACTACTCCGTTCCTTTCCGCGACGCATTCTCCGACGTAGTATACCGACACTTTCAGATGTGAACATTTGGAGGTTATATTTTTTAACGCATCGTCCATTTGCGATGTTGTCAGTTATATAAAATACGATATCAAATTTCATGTAACAATCGTTTAACCTCTAGATATATATGAGATTCGTGACCACGGAAATGCCATCTTTCCGAAGCTGACAATGAATGACAGATGTGTTACATTTAACAAGTTTCACCTTACTTTCTCTAGAATAAGGTTTTTGCGTTCTATTGACCAGTTGACATTTGTTAATTGGTAACAGTTTCTAAACTATTGTACCAAGGAAATACTATTGGAGAATATCACAAAATCTACAAAATAAAAATAAACTATTTCTATCTGCAGTTTATTGATTACAAAATGTTTTTATAATTACTGAAGGCCATTAGTTCATATTCCAACTATTTGTTGGAATATGTTTGGCAAACTACTCATAGTGATCCTTATTTGAAGTACATGTTATCATGCGCTTCTTAAAGCTACTATGTATTCTATCTATAACTAAAAGTCTAAATGCGGTCTTCATTTCACATCTCTTTAGGTGCTCCGATAGTGATTAAAGTTCAATAGGTATGCTTTAGTCGGGGAGTCCTAGGAACCGCTATCTAATCCGAGGTGTAATTAAAGGTTTTGGACAAAGTCTAGATCCTTTTAGCATCAGACATCGACCGCATTGTTAGTAGGACCGACCGGCATGTCTCCTAACGGTCATTGCGTTAAAGGTGGTCTATAAAAGCCAGACATCTGTATTGTCAAACAGATATTCTGAGTGCCATTAGTGACGTAGTTGTAAATGCGCGGCGACTCTTCAGTGACACATTGAACTTGATGTGATATCTTCTTGTAACATCCTGCTGGTGCATGGATATCTTCCAAAAACCCTTCGTAAAATGTCATACAAAAATTACCGAATACTACGAACATGTTTTGTCTATATGCCTTGAAGACTCGCGTCCACATCTGTTAGAAAAAAAAAGTGACATCCGAACTTCATACTATTTTTTTTGAATTACTCATAAATAAACCCTTATCTATTTCTTGCAGGTGTATATCTGTCAACTGGACCTAGACCCGGTGCAATGCACGAAACGCAACATACACAACCGATCCGAACAGGAGATCGAAGACATAATATCCGGATGGGAACCAACGCCGAATCACCATCCGACTCTGGACGCGTCCTCTCTGCTTCAAGGTGAAGGTCCCATCCAGGAGGTCGAAATGGAGGTGGTAGAAGAAGTGCAGCAGGGAGGAGTAGGAGATAGCACGGAGGGCGGTGAAGATCAACATGGAAGTGCTCAGGATGACGAAGATGAACCGGAGGTAAGGTGGTGGTAAGATGGACAAATTGGCGGTATGATGGAAATTGAATGTGCTTTTTTTACTCAAGCATTCATGCTGGCGATGCAGGACAGTCTTCTGGTTTTTATAACGATTTTTATAACTTAGGTATAAAGGGGTCTTGATACCGGTCAGCTCTTGATGTACGATTGAGTAAGGTTGAGGTAGAAGCCTTACATATGAGAGCCTCAAGGGCAAGTTCTACAAAGACCCTCTAACGAGACCACAGTAAACAATTCCAGCAGATTTTTCTATGTTTAACCCCGGATTCAAACAAAAACGGTGTTGGAAATTTCAACATGGTGTGTTTAAATATTTCTCTCTGCTTGAGTGTGGCATCAAAGTAGTTTCAGCAGCGGACAAAAGTTTGGAAACATTCTTAGTAATTTTTAAAAAGTGCGGTACTACAGACTAGCATTAAAATACCTTCATATTATTTCATGACCAAAAATGAGACGACAAAAGTATGGAAACATATTTTTTATTACAAAATTAGATACAATAGTCCTACAAAAAGATTTTAAAAATACTGTTTAGCTCATATTTGGTAGCATAGCATGGTCTTTAGCATTCAACACTGCCTGACATCTGCCGCTCATAGAAGACATCAATTCTTTACAGACGTCTGTTGGGATATTTTGCCAAATCTGTTTTACATAATCAAATAATTCGTTCTATTTTTAAAAGTTTCTCTTGTCAGTTGTCTTTTAACATGCTCCCAGAGATGCTCTATAGGGTTAAGGTCCGGGGATTGCGAAGGCCATGTAAGAACATTCACATTTTTTAGTCTTAACCAGTCCTTTTAGAATTTTGAGGTATGCTTGGGGTCCATCGTAAAGGCATTTCTTCTGCAGCAAAACTGAGCATGTGTTCACTAAGAATATTTATGTAAAGTTTTTGATCCATTTTCCCAACAATTTTAACAATTGGACCCATTCCACAACTAGAAAGGCAGCCCCAAACCATGATGTTGCCTCCACCGTCCTTAACTGTTGGCAACTGATACTGTTTGTCCAATCTTTTTGGTATTGGACGTCTCATATATGCCGTACCGTCAGATCCAAACAAGTTAAACGCCCCATAAAACTGTAATCCATTGTTGTTCTGTGCAAGTTAGATGAGTTTTAGCAAATTCAAGCCGAGCAATACGACTTTTTTTTAAATGAGAGGCTTTTGCACTGGACGCCTACCAAATAGCCCAAAATCTACCAAGCGTCTCTGCACTGTTCTGACAAAAAGATTCTCGGCACCCTCTTCTACGATTCTTTTGAAAATCTATGTGGCTGGCATTCGAGGATCTTCATGGGCAAACGTTTAATGTAGCGATCCAAAAAAAAAACGTTTTTTTTTCGGTCTTCCGCACCTGGACCGCGTGGCTGTTGATCCGTATTCTTGATATTTACTAATAATTTTCGAAATCGTCCCTTTGTTCATTTTTAATCTGAGAAATGTGAACATCTCTGACACAACTTCTAAATAATTCAATTACTTTGTCCCTTAAATCTTTTTACTTTTGCCATTCTCACTGATGTTAATATTTACCGCACGCAATATCAGAGTATCGCATAACGAATAAATACGGCAGAACCGAAATGTTTCCACACTTTTGTCGTTACAAAAACTTGGTATTTAAAAAAACGTGTATTTTTATTTTCAGAGAATTTGAGCATTGATAAGATAAACCTTGTATTAGTACGGGTGCCAAAGGTAGACTTTAATGTTTATATTATGTGTTCCTTCACAATTTTAATTTAGGTATATGAAATAGTTCATGATAATGTTAATATTTGTTTCCAAACTTTTGTCCGCTATTGTATTTTGTTTCATTTGGATGAGTTGATCGACGTTCAAGAGAAGGCAGGACATTTTTAAACTTATAAGTTGTAAATGTAATTCCTGAAACTTATCCTGTGGTTTTCATGTTAATTGGACTCCATTGTCTGATCGATTCAAACCACATATACAGTTTGAAATTCTGTTTATTTTACTATGTATGTCTTTGAACAAGGCCACCATTGGGGTCGAAACGGTTACATTAAGCAGGAATTCAAACGTGTATGTGGTTTGATTCGGTTAGACAACGGAGTCTTATAACTTGTACTTGTTGATCTAATATGGTAGGCTATTAAGATTGTTTCCAATCACTGTAAACAGCCATTCAGTTTGAATCTGCCAGTAGTGAAAAATTTGTATGAATATCAGAATGAGTAGCTACAATTTTTGTACATGTGTTGAAATTCCATGGCTTGGATACAAAAAATAGATATATTTGGCAATAGGGTTGCAATTCTCAAAAGTTGTGTATTAGAGGATTCAGTATTGAAATTATTTGAATGCCATGGAATTTTTGCAACATTGGCATATATAATCTCAGGAGTTTGTAGTTAATAATTTGTAGTACATTGCATATTTAACCATGATTTTTCACAGCGACGGCAGATGACAAAAAAGCGCGCCCACTTTGTTGTTTTTGTTTATTTGTTGATCGTGTGATGATCATCTATGTTACTAAAAATACAGTATCGTCGTAGGACCATGTAGGCAGCAAATGGGACAATTTCGACTGTTCTTTTAATAACCTCGGTAAGTTCCATATAAGCTTAGTATGCGATATACTTATATTCTAAACCAACACAAGCTCTATTATTATTTCATTTTCGCCTATTGTGTTTATTTCTGTTAAATAATGTGAATATATCATTATGGACTTCTTTTGAACGGGCTCTATACCATTTTTGCGTGTTAGAAATATGTACATTGCGCGTTGCGCTGAAGGAGCTTGTACGACTGTGACCCTTCTGTTTTTAGGAGACAGGAGTAGGTGCCAGTCGGTCTCAGACCTTTTGTGCATAGTTACAACACATTCATACTTCTTATTATGAATTTGCGGGTTTAATGTGTACTGAAATGAATGAAAATATATGATTCAGTCTGGTACATTTTTGCACAGTAATTAGTCAAACTTTGGTAAAGGTTTTCGCATTGAAACCAATAACTTAGTTTTTTCAGCATACCGTTCTAGTTTTGAATGAAATGAATACTCGATTGTCTCATACAATGATCAATTGTAGCCCAGGAAAACAAACAAGTTAGGAGTTTTTTATCGCCATAACAGGCAAAAAAGGAGCAAAAAGTAGTGATTTTTTGAAAAAACTTAAAAGTTTCAATAACTTGAAAACGTTTCATGTTCATGTTGATTTTATCTGATCGATCTGAAGCCAATCTACTTCCCGTGCACTGTGGCGTGTTATTCTGGGACACCCTGTATATATTTACAGTTATTATCAGTTATGAATCTCGTTTCACGTTGGCAGTATTAGCAGCATTTCGTCTCGTGTTAAAATTAATCTCAATTCTTATTAATGCGTATATTTCACAAAAAAGACCGCAAGTGTGTATCTTTAGGTTCGTTTGTATGGACGGGCAGGAAAATTATTTTTCCTGGGTTTATGAAGTGCGTGTATTACGCAACTTGATTGCAATGGTGGTTTCTCTTCCAGCAAGGCTCGATGGGGTCAACAAACCGCTCAAACGATCCGGAACCATGGAGGACTACCTCAGGATGGAGAATGAATGGCAGCCGCCCGTATCATCCGTTCCGGGGAAGAAGAGGGTACGTTTTGAACTATTTTGATTTTTTTTATATACTCCAACTACCACGAAGGCCTAAGGCCTAAATACCCATTGGGTACCGTGGGGCTATAGGGGGATACAGGGGAAAGGGGGGACGCCACACGGACTCTGGCGACGGAACACGTGTGCATGCAACATGCACACATTCTGGCTCCGCCTACGAGATCCGCCGGGTGGTACCTCCACGTTCGACAGTCAGAGACCGTCTACCACCTACGGACAATCACAACATCCATAGCAAGAGAAAAATTTCTCCTGGGACGGGACTCGAACCCGCACAGCGCACGGCGACTGATCAGGAGACCGAAGAGTCTACTACTGCGGCCACCGCTGCTGCCTGCCATTATTTCATATAGATATAAATATACAATCGTAATCGAAATTCCAGCCATTGGAGACGAAGACAATATTTGATTTGCGTTGCTCTACCATCTAGCACCAGTGCATCTTCAGGGTACTACTTGTAATACTTCGCAAGGGTGTTACTTAACATATAATGAACCGATCACAGCTGTGTTATAGTTCAAAAATAACATTTCGTTCTCGATTGCATCAAAAAATCTTGTGGCAGTAAGTCACTTCACTTTTAAGCTGCTTCATTTTTAAGTCATTCCAAATGGACTAAAAGTTCTACTCTTATGAGAGTGTGCGACGCAGTGATCCAAGTGAATCCAAAATCATGCACATCACCTCTTTTCGAGCTAGTGCTGCGTGAAATATCCTATAAATACGGTAAGGCTGAAAAATCACTGACGCCAGGCCATTTGGAGCGAGCGAGAATGATCCGATATTTGTGTGCGATCATCAATTGAAAACTAAGGAGTGCTCTATTATGTAGGTTGATTATGATGATACAACGGTTAAGACAGAATTGTTACAAATTGTCTAGATGCATAAAAATAAATATAAACAACATAATTGATGAAATGGCCAAAAAACAAAATAAAACTGTTTTACGACTGCCTCCTTACCATTGTGAGCTCAATCCGATTGAGCTCATTTGGGTAGATGTAAAAAAATATGTTGCAGCAGGAAATAAATGTTTAAATTTTCTGACCTTAAAAATATTTTTGATGTTGCTATACAAAGAATAACACCGAATAAGTGGGAAAATGTATCAGCAAGTAAAGAAAAGGTCGAACCTAGAATGAGGGAATTAGACGGTATCATTGATACTCACGTTGCCCCTTCAATCATAAATCTTGATGACAGTGGGAGTTCCGCGGCCTCAGATCTAGAATGATTTCCATTTTCAAATATATTATTTCCAGTTTTAGAGGTAAAATGTCTGTGCAATAAATTTTTGTATAATATTTAGTATATATTATTGTGTATTCAAATCCTTTTTCTTTCAACTCCACCTAACTATTCATTTTTTAGTCTAATATTAAAATTAACTGTTTGCACACTGACGTCCCTGTTCAAGCGGTGGTTAGGTATACTTGTATGCATATGCAATTATCGTTTTAATGTGTCAAGACATTTTTTAAAAGCCTGCTTTATGAATGCGCCTTGATAAAACACTTCTACTAAAAACAACTGTTTTCTTTATGGTCATGACAGTTAAATTACAAAAATACATTAATTCCAAGCTTTACGTTTGGACACTGTATATGCCTGCAATAATTTTGCATACTTTTTGATGGTGTCGTAGAACCACAAATTCTTAGTGCGGCCTTGTAACGTGATCGGCGTTCTGGAGCGCGATTACGTGGAGTATACGTGAATATGTTTACTTTTGGTCCCTTTCTTCGATGGATACATAATAGGATAAGAAATCTTGACATTTGATTTAATGCATTCTATCTGAAGATAGTTAATGCTACATTCCCGCGTCCAAGAAATCCGAGTTGAAATCATATACCATAGCGTCAGTTATGAGGTATATTTCTAATAGTGCGGAGAGAAGAAACATAGCTATGACAAATTCTCATAGATTACGCTGCGCTGGTTCATTTTATCTCGGATAAGTTTTTGGACTCAAGAACGTAGTATAAGGTAGAATACGTTAATAAATGTTTCGATCCAGATTCATATCTCGCACATCTTTTTTTGTGAGAGCGCGTAGGTGCGCATATGGATATTAATAATTTGGTAACTATAGGTTCGGTGGGCCGATCTGGAAGAACAGAGGGAACAGGCAAAGATGAGAGCAATAGGTTTCGTCGTGGGGCACACGGATTGGAACAGGATGATGGATCCTACTAAGGGAGGATCTGCGCTCACCAAAACAAAGTATATTGAAAAAGTAAACAAGAGGTTTTGAATTGATATTATTTCGAATTAATCATGCAATTTTCTTCTGACTTCGTAGCTGACATTTTTTTAACGAAGATTCCGGGTTCAGATGCTATAATCGTATAAATATTCTCGAATCACTTTGAGCTTCAGCTAAAATACTTGTCTATAGATGAAAATTAAATAACCCGAAAATTGATATACAGTGGTTACACTTTAGGATCCAGCAACCAGACATTGTGCATCCGGTGCGCGTAATACGAATGTGAACTGCTATCACTGTAAGGGTTTGAGGTATCCCAGAGGTTCAAAAATACGTTTTTAATTGCTTTTGATACGTATCTGGAATCCATATCTTTTAACTTTAGAAAATATCGATAAATCATATATTAGTTTGTTTGTCGAAATATGGCCACGAATGTTCAGGATATAGAAAACTGATATATTTCATTGATATTTAAAACAAGACAAATGGATCTACATTAAATAAGAATAGTACTTTTAACTACAAAATATACAAAATACACATTTATTCTTCACTTCTATTTCAGGAAGTGATATCTCGAAACTTTGCAGTGATGAGGTAGTTCTGAGCTCGGATTTGTAGGTCTGGTCTCTGATTCTGAACTTTTATAATATTCTTTTGGCATCTAGATTCTTTATATTTCGTGGAAATATCTTTTGGAGTGTCAGTCGCGAATTGGCTCGATTTTTCTGTTTTTTCCTCTATTGGCATCTATTCTCTTGATATTTTGTGAAAAATATCTTTGGCGGTGTCAGTTATGATATCCAACCTAAGTACACATTTTTGCTGTACTTTATGACGAAATGACTGTTGACATATATGTCTTATTGAATTGTATAGTTGACTTAGCAATTAAATGATAAAAATAAAAGCTTTCAATTTACCATTTTGTTATTTTGTTACAAACCAGGAATGAATATTATACCTGAGCATATAAGTAATTCGCGTTACTGTGAAGTGGAATTTGATCAGGTTTGTACAATTTTTACTCACATGTAAATTTAATGCCAACAGTGGCCAAAGTATGAACATTTTTGTCTGTTGTTAAGGAATCGTAACTCTTTAAAACTTTTTGCTCTTATACTAGCCTAATATGTATTTATAAATGTAAGAAATAGTTAAATATTTCCTTTTTCTATCGATTTGTTAGTTTATTTGTATTATATTTGAATGAGTTAAGGCACTGTACGTTTTTACTTTAAATGTATTTCAACTACAACAATAAATCTAGTAATTTTAATCTTATTTGGTTTTATTTATTGAAATATAATTGTGAAGTAATGAAACCTGAAGGAATCCTCCGAACAATGTAAACAAATAAATTTCATTTCAGCTTTCCTCGTTTCATGATTGCTTAATCACAGATTAGGCCTTCACCAGTTAGTGCAAATTAAGTGAAAGGTATTAACAAACAATTGTGGATCTAAAGATACCCGCGCGTGAAGTGGGCTTAGTCTAATCATATTAAACGAAAATACCCCTGGTTTGCGAAATAATAGTTGTTCAAGGGGGTATTTAAAATATGGACGCATAAAATGGGTACACCAATTTTGTGGGAAAACTTTTTATTCGACAACAAAGAATGAGAAAATTTGTTTCGAAAGTGTTGGGGGGACATGAGACCACAAGTAAAAAGATCCATTAGTCGCAAAAAAGTTATAGCCGAAAATCGAGGCAAAATGCAGGCTTTGGCACTTGTTGGTAATGCAGCGATGGTTTGAATTTGAATTTTCTACGGATTTTAAGAATTTCAAGTAGTTGCGTGAAATCATCGTGATATTTTCAAATGCTAAAACCTGAATTTTTCCTAGTTTTTCGGCCATAACATTTTTGCTATTAGTCGGATCTTTTCACGTGTGGTCTCATTTTGTAGGTCTCATAAATACTTTAAAATCTTATATGAAAAGTTTCTTCGTTCCTGTCAACACTTTGGATTGAATCCCATAAAACACGCTTTCTCATTCTTTGTTGTCAAATAAACAGTTTTCCCACAAAAATTGGCGTACCCATTTTAACTAGACTTAACAGCTACTTCGGGGAAATTTGCTAATATTATTAGACTAGCTATCGAAATGGATTAAAAGTGCGGAACTGCGGAAAGGGTAGTAAAAAGAGAAGAACATATGCACCTAGTGACAAGCATGTTTTAGGTGGTATGTTCATTGTCAGTCCAGTTGGATGACCACAGAGCTGAAATATATTCTACGTAGTAGCTGCTAAGAGTACGTTAACTTTCCGTGTTTAACAGTTATAGGAAAATCTGATTGTTAACCGTCAGCCATAACTGGTTTCCATGTTAATACAAATTTTATTATCAGTGGTATCTTTGGTTTTTTTAAACATGTGCTCCGCGAGTTATTTTTTATTCTGGAATATTTGTGTAAGTGGAACTCAAACCATACCTTCGATTATCTATGCTCATACTTTCCCAGTTGTAGCATGATATTTGAAACTCAAGGGTGACCCTAATCTCCATCCCAAATTTACAAAATCACGCACCGCTGGAAGCTGGGCGGGCCAGTATTGCTGTCTACACTCGCTATGATACTTGTGTGAAGTATGTTGACAACAAAACTTGGAACAAAGTTAAATTTGCACAATAAATTCGTTGAATGCAATTCCTCAAATCCTAAAATGAAATTCATTTTTTTATTAGATGATCAACTGCTGTATGCAGAGTAACACATGTAGTCCTAACGATAGTTACCGTGCAGCCTTATCACAAATTGACCCAAAAAGGCCTACATAACCTCTCATCTCAAAGGTAAGTGCATAGATAGATAGATAGATAGATAGATAGTTTATTGTCCTATTAGATCATGTTACATGATATAAGACTTGTCAATATCAATTTGAGGGTCATATATGCGTTTGAGCAAATATGCCAGAAAAATATAGTACTTATAATTATAAAATAAATAAGGACAATTACAAAACATTTTAACAGGTTAAATCACATTATAGGTACAGCGCAAGAATCGTAATGTGTTCAATCTGTAACGGTAAAAATATATACATATACAGCGACTTTTTTTATCACAAAAAATGTTCGTCTAGCCGGTAAAAATCATTGAAGCTGATACAAAGAAAAGCGGTAGGAGAATCTGTTAGAAATACATAATATATAAACCCAATAAACATGGAGCAGTGAGGACAAATGGTTAAAAGCTTAAAATGTATATCTTTATCCAAACAATGCTGAGACTAATTGAAAAAATTAGCGTTTTTTTATCTCCCCGGAAAATAGATGAAATTACAACACAAAAGAAAAATATCCATGTGCAATTAATATTAAACACTTATATGTGCCCGACAGGTGCGAAATGGTGTCCCGTATAAAAAAGTCTATGCTGTTTTTTTTCTTATTTGCTGTACGTTTCTTCAAAATATTCTTTACTGTTTCAGAGTTAAAACGTTTGTCATTCGTTACGTTTCAGTTGCACTTAGCTGCTATGGCTTAGCTAAGTTACTGAATATCGTTTGCTATAGACCGAATCTGCTGATAACTAGAATAATTCAGGATAACCTGTACTCTTATTACGTAACTTCAAAATGACAGATACCGATCTGCGCCCGTATTACGTAACTTAAATTTTAATTCCATGTAGGTTTTTCCGAAAAAAAAAATGTAACCTTGGAACTGGATGTCATTCACTTCATGTTCATTTGTAGTAGCTGTGCGTGTTGCCTGAACGTCATGTCATTTAAGCTATATATGGTTTGGATATGAAGTCATGTAACAGCTGCTTTAGAGATGACACTATTGGAAGCCACTCCTAGATTTTCTGGCCTAAGCTGTTCCATCTGATACACAAGTGACAAAGCGATCAGCTCGCTATTATAGCGATTATTTCACAGTTGCGCCCGTTTTGCAATTAAAGTGAGACGGTCAAATATACATGAGGCTCTCAAATCTGATGTCCGACTTATTTGTGAAAAAATCTCGTTGAGATTTGGTAAAACGAACGCGCAGTAAACTGAAGTGTGGTGAGCTTATCTGAGGGCACTTCTGTCAATCGGTCTAAAGGTTTCCAAATTTTCATACCGATCCATTCACATAACATCCAGCAGACTAGGCTAAATCATATTTCATACAGCGCCAGCTCTTAACATATAAGTGAAACTGAACGTAACCATTGATATTATGTTTAGATTATCAGTTTTGATTGAAATACATCGAAAATACACCATCTCCGAAACCAAAGTTCTGCAGTAGCTTGACTGTAATTTTGCTCAGAATGAATCACATTTTGAAAATACGCCCTTATGCGTGTCTATAAATTTCTTTTCACATTATTGTCACTTTGACAATTTCACCCTAATGTCAAAACGTCGATAACGTTCACCCCGCGTTCAAAGTATTCAATTTGCCTAGTGCGACTTTATCAGCCGCGGTACTGAAGTTAATATGTATCACTTGCAGATATTCAATATCATGGATGATGTACAAAACGTTAGATCCGCAAAGGCTAACAAATATAAAGTAATATTGCTGGGCCTGGCAATACATGTTCTGCTACTAGTCGCAGTGTTTGATGTCTACTTTTCTAGTCCTCTGGATCATGGTATGAAGCTAGTTCAACCCATCAGAAAACCTCCAGCCAAAAGACTAGTTTTGTTCGTTTCAGACGGTCTTAGGGCCGCTTCTATTTTGGGACATGAGGTAGGATCAATCTTATGGAAGATGATTTTTTAGTGACTGAAAGACCACTTAGACATAATATCTTGGCATGGAAAAATATTTTGATTCGGATTTTATGCATCAAATGATGAATCGGCATGCTGCTAGACCCGAATTTGTGTCGATTTTTCTTAAACAAATTCCAAAAATGTTTTTTTTTCGCTCCGGTCAAAGTGTTTTTACATTTTTGAGACATTCTCAAACAAAAAGGTCCTTTACAACTTTTTTATAAAATTGGTATTTTTCGAAATATACGCGATATATGAAAAAGTGCGAATTATGCCATTTTAGACCTCGAATATTGGACTTGGTATCTAAAATGGATTAAAGTATAATTACTTCAGGAACTGGCTCCGTATCTGAACAATATAATGAAAAACAAAGGTTCCTGGGGTGTGGCTCATACAAGGGTACCAACAGAATCTAGACCTGGTCACGTGGCTATGCTAGGGGGCATCTATGAAGACCCCAGTGCCATATTGAAAGGATGGAAGAGCAATCCTGTTGATTTCGATTCTGTTATCAATCAAAGCACAAATGCTTGGTGTTGGGGTAGTCCAGATATCATTCATATCTTCAACAGGAATGATCTGCCAAAGATACGGTTAGTAAATATGAATAATTTAAAGAGTTTTAGTAATTTTGCCAATGTTTCATTTGATCTGCTTTCGCTTACGATGCACACTGGGACGACTCACCAATCTAAGCGGAAAAAATTATAATCAATTTACTGAGCAGTTATCAGAGAAGATTGTTTTGATAAGTCAGACCAGAATTAACGGCCCCTATGTAAACCTTGAGTTCAACACATTTGGTATTAGTGATTAGTTAACGGTTGTGAAAAGCGGTGAAACTGATCATTGTCTCATACCACCTCCTAGTGAACAAATTATTTTTCCACGATGGAAGACAAGTATAAAAATAAGTAATTCAGTTGAACTCCGATGTGTGAGAGAGTAAATTGTTAGTTTCTGTTCTAGAATAAATAATATTATTGAAAACTGCAGTAATTTTAATGCTGGAACTATAAATGTTCTGCTAAATCACAGGGAACCTCTAATATTTATTAATGTGGGTGTATTAGTCATTTCTGCAATTGAAGTCTGCATATACCGTAGGGAACTATTTGAACTGTGGCACAGCTGTAAAGAATTATTCTCGATTTTGCAGCAATTATTCGAGCGAATCTAACTAGAATTCGTGTCAGATTTTTCTGAAAAAGATTTGAAGGAACTACTAGGTTTTATATTCTGATATATGGTTTGTTCATCACACATTACCATGTGCGTCACCCCATACCTCTTTGTAAAATTTTTAATAACACAAGATATCAGATTTTTTGTACTGCCAGTACACAATTCGGTTTATTATTCACGATCCTTCATTTACAATGCCGTTAAACATTACAATAGTCTTTACTTAGTTTACTTAATGACCATTTATCAGGGCTCCAGGATATTCAGTGGTGTGCCTGATAAAAACAAAGGTGTTTGTATTAATGATTTGTCACTGCACTGCACAATATTTTATT